TTGAGGTGAGTCATATTCAGACCATAGTCTCCGTATCTTTCCTGGGTACTCGTGGCACTTGGATCTTCCCCAGCTTTAGATATCGAAGGTACGTCCGAGACGGTGCCCATTGGCACTGCATCTGAACGGACTGGAGGAAATTCCTGAACGATCTGCAACGAATCGTATCCGAGAAAAGAGCACTTTATCTCCGCAGCACCACAGTTGGCGCATACGGGATGGTTTCCGTCGCACTGCGAGGGCAGGAGTTAGCTTAGGATTAGGGATGTCAGATCAGGGATGGAGTAGAAGAGGCAGACACACTCTTATGTGCCGCCTTTTGCATTCAAGACAGCCATTTCTTGATTTCTTGTGAGGTCGACGAGACATAAAGAGGAGCGGAAGGAGAGAAAGCTACTCCTGGTTTTAAGATATTAAGTGCGGCGACGCTGGCTGAAGAAGCATTTCTCTTCATGCAATTTGCAACGGGTTTGAGCTTCTAATTGAACGAACGGTCTTTGACGTAAGCGCCAATGCCTTGGCGTTTCGGTGACGTGGACCCCAGCAAAAACGAGAGGGTCACGGGACCTGGACGCTCGTTTCGGTCATTGAAGATTCGCACAACCGATCGGAGGTTGCTGAAGCTCTGCATTATTCCATATCATCCCACACAGACAGCAATGAGGATTCTGCACGGAAGGCATTCTTTCGGATTGTCTCGGAGTATCACCTTAGCTGGGGGAACGGAGTACTCGCCAATGGCCTTGCAGCCTCTGCAAATGGAGTCCACCGCCCGGGGCTAATCGTGTCGTATAACCGTACTAAGTGTGATATCATATTCGCGCTGTTGGAGCGGTTGATTGGGATTTCTGGGGATGCTCCAATCTGCAGGGTAAATTGAGCGTCTGTTGATCCCTCACCGTTAACAGAATCGTTCGCTCCCGCGAATGCCCAGAGGAGAACGATGGCGCGGTGTAATGCTATATAAGCAAGCAAGTTGAACTTGACATCCGTTCGTTTCCGAGGAGGGTTTTGTTTCCCGATGAGTGAGCAGATGGAGATGGCCCGTTCGGTAGCAAGGCGCGCACGAGATGAGTTTGCCCACCTGTAAGCTAGTTGCAATTGGTCTGAGTCCAAAGGCCGGTTGTCGGCGAGACCGTACTGAATCTGGTGAAGACACGATATCGGGCAACTGAGGTAGACAAACGCGAGGTGGTAAAAGAGAAGACTGCTCATGAGGCCGCTGCGGTCGAAATCGGTCCGCACCAGTGATTTGACCCACGGAACGCATGATTCCCATTTCTGCCAGGCACATAACAGACGTCCGTAGCCTGCGGAAAAGTCTGACATTTGCCTTGGAGCGCTTTCGAGTCGTTCAACCTCGGATAATGTCGGCGTAGCAAGCATCCTTGTTGTCAGTAGTATCCTGTGCTGCTGGCTCCGACTGGTCTCCTCTTCGAGACCCGATAGGCCCGGGCTGGGGATGCCTGAAGCCGTGTGCGTGCTGCCACCATCTGTTGGTGGTGCGGTCGAAGCGAGTGGCTCATCTTTCACCGGTCCTAAGAACAGGTCCTGGTCTCGAGTAAACTCCCAAACTGGCCAAAGCAGACCGAGAGCGAGCAAATCGTGTCCTATGGGGTCTAGCGGAGGTAGCGCTTCGTCCTTTTCAAGTGCAATTCGGTAAATATCCGAGGCTCGCAAATCCCGCCCAGGGGTCTTGTCGCTCTCGATCAACTGCAGGCACAATCTTGGGGGCAGCTTCTCGCTTCTCCAAACAGTCTCACACGAAGGGAAAGCCAAATCAATTTCCCCCAGATAAACCATCGGCCTCGCATGGAGGAGAATGCTGGTGTAGGATTCGGCGCGAAATATAGCGAATGCCAGTCTTCTTCGGGCCTCTAGACGCAACCAGATCGCGAGACGCTCCTGATCCGAGGCTCTTGGGTTGTGAAACTCGGCCATGTTGCATTTCGTGTAGGCGTCTGAGAAAAGATCCATCCTTCGTACCTGTGCAGCGAGTAAAGCACCTAGGTGCTGTGCATATGAAAAGGCCTTGGGCTGTCCGAAGTAAAGCGCGGCCATTTGCGTGGAAACACGGGCCTGGGCGAGCCACATGAGGTCGCTCTCGGGATTGTCCAGTTCTAGTGGACTGACAAGGCATGCCCGAACGCTGCCGTGCATCATGTTGCCGTAGTTGCTCGACTTTTGGTCGGAATACATGGCACCGATCGTAGTTAAGACGAGGTAGAGAAGTGGATGGAGTTGGTGGATGTCCAGATTTTGCGGACTAAATAGTGGCCAGAGAGGATCAAAATACTCCAAAAATAGATGGACGAATTGGTCCAGTAATGGAACAGTCGTAGAGCAGGAAGTTTCTGGGATTTCAAAGGCTTCCCTGACCTTCTCTGACATGCCACCCCAAAAGGCTGAATGATTAGGGATCGCGCCAGATCTAGGTTCTTTGTACCGAGAGGCAAAGTCAACGAGCTCATTTACGACCCGGATCCGACCTGTGTGCCCTTGGTAGTTTGACTCGGACGGCCGGGGCGTTGTGCTGATGGTGTGGGGTGTCATGCGAGAGCCTTCAACAACATGCGAGATGAAGTTCGATGCCTCGCCGGAGGTAATCCAACCTGGAGTCCGCCTGGGAATACCAGGAAGGGAAACGGCGGTGTGTAAGTCTCTGCCGTTCGGGGAACGTATTTCACTGTTGGAGGATGCCATCGGGAATGGGCCATCTTCTGGATTGTATGGCATGCTTCCGTCCAACATTCCAGCAGGGGGTATGGAGTCTAGCATGAGATCATCGTAGGTGCTAGGGAGATATAAGGTTTCATGCAACCAAGGCCAGAAGACTGGGTCTGTGTGGTGTCCACTGAATTGTATATCCATCGCATCAATCTCCTCTACACGAGGAAGGCCAAGGCGGTCTGAGGATTCTTCTGGCTCCTGTAATTGCCCGTGTTGAGATCCAAGAGTCATGGTTTCCATGGGGTTTTGGGCCTCAGACATGGCGGCAGCAGCTTCCGGTAGAACCAGATCCGGTTCCGTAATGTGATCGGGATCTGGCGCCCCTCCCAAGCGTTCCTCTTGTTGTTCTGGCGAATTGTACCGCTCAGTAGAGTCGAAGTTATCGGTCCGACTAGAATTGGCTGTTTGGAATTGTGATGGCAGGTGGCTCAGCCGGCCAGAGGGCCTCTCATACTCGCAAGGTTGTTCGGCTTTGGAGCAGGAGGCACACGGGTTCACGCCGCTACACTTGATCCTCAGCTCCCGACACCGATTACAGGCGGTATGGCACCTTTTCCGGGTCTCACTATGGGCCGTGCCGGAAACGGAAGATTGCGCGTCGGAACCAACTTCGGATCCGGTGGGTCTGCGGTCGTGTAATTTCAGATGACGCGAAAGAAGATCGCGCCTGTAGAAGACGACGCCGCAGGTGTCACAGACGTGTTGCTTCTTCTTTTGATGGTTGAGAGTGTGCCGCGCTAGAGAAGTTCTGCCCGCATAGCTTTTACCGCACGCGTTGCATTTGTACATGAGGAAGGTGATGCGAGTGGACTGGGAGGATGCGCATAGGTAGGAGCGGGAACCTGCTGGGGTGTGTGGAGTAGACTCGCTAATGAAGCGGCATGAGCTTCACATGCAGAGAGCTATGCGCAGATCAACAGTGGCCATTGGCAATTCAAGAAGAAAGAAGAAACTGCGATTGTGTGCTCGAAAAGGATCTTTGAGAATGGGCGAGGGGCACACGGGCGGGGAGAGCTCATGGAATCGGTGAGTTGGGAATTACTTCGCAGAGTCAGAACTGGGCTTGAAGGTCACGGAGCAAAACCACCAACTGTATACGACACGCCCCGATTGCTAACATGAGCTGAGCTAATGCCAAAAAGAGCCACATCTTTGAATCTATTATTACTAGTGCCGACTGGTGAAGACCCATGATTGACAATCCCCGCATCTCGTTGTAGTTTAGTGCGGTGTAATGCAAATTCCTTCCCCAAATCTCCATATCTCTCAAACCCCCAAATTCAGAGACCTATTATCTACCGATTTTGTTAACCCCCCAGGGCGCTATACACTCTCTTCTTGACGGTAGTAGTGCAAATGGAGAGTGGCGAGCTACTGTGCGGGTCACCCACTTCCTACAGTCAGTCCACCCCGGCTTCTGTCGGGGTGGTTGGCTCAAAACCCGCTCGTGCGATTTTGTTCTTCGCATTTCTTCTTTCCCCGCCAGAAATTAAGAACTACTGTTCAGCTGTCGGTCTGTCCTCCACTCAAAGGGACGGGATGCGCTCTAGTGCATCGGACATCACCAATCCCTTGATCTTTTCGACTGAAATGTCCGACTAATCACGGCGCTTGATACGGCTTCGTCAACATTAATGTTGAAGTCAAGCTATCTCTTGAATACATATACTAGCATTCACAGGGCCTGCACTGGTACGTCGGCCCGGCCATATACCTATACAATTGGGTTAGAGTTGTGAAAATGTGCTGGATTGTGAAGCGTTTTGTCAGGCCTGCCGTTCCAACACCTGAAATCTACCTTCCTCACTGTGGCAAGGGGAATGAAAGACATTATTATCAGTATGGGCTAGGGTTGAGGCACTCCAGGCCCCCACCAATACATTTTCGACGGAGGTGAGTGGCAGGATAAGGTGGTGCCGCTAAAATAGTGACCCAATTCCTAACTTCAAAGGTTCCGCCAAGCCGACAGTAGCCACCCCATCGACATTGCCAGGTATTGAGGGATCGACACCATCCTAGCTACTGGTGATTCGAGAGGGACGCAGCAGCAGCAGCTAATTCAATCGAGATATTGGAGGCAAGATTATTTTGGCTCCTAAGGAGGAAAGGCCTTTCCCGCGTCATAAATGAGACTGAGCTGTTCACGTCAAGGAGAAGCTTTAGGTTAGAATCAAAAATGTATTCGGCCCATTAATACACTTTGGCATTGCATATAGATCAGGGACGCGGAGAACTCTCACGAGTGTCTATTAACATGCCGAAACCTCCCTTTAAAAGACTGGCGGCACGGGTGGGCCCCAGATGGACAAGGCTTCGGGTCCAGCCTGCACCTTGGAGACTTCAGTCTCGATATTGACAACATCTCCATCCGCATAGTGCTCCTAGATCACAGCAGTCAGAATCGATCTGTGGAAAGTCACCAACCAAGAAGACCACATACCACGACAAATTTACTGGGGTCGAACCAGTAATCAAATACCTGGCTTCCAAGGACATGCTAGATTGAATCCTGTTAGTCAAATTCGAAATTCGAGTTGGGGGTTAGGATTTATGATATGCTGGTTTCGCGTACCCTACCAACGCCCCAGCAAAGCTCATGACCCTGGCTTTGCAGATACTGATGTCCTAACTGCTGAACATCGAAATCATGCACTTCGAAAGCCGAATGGGCCACCGCAGGCGCTGTATTAGCCTTGCATGGCTTGAAGAAGAACGAATGATGATCGGTGTATTCGAGGCCGCGGTCGATGTGGAAGAAGCAGGTGATTGGCTTTCCGTCTCGATATACGAGGTCGGATGGAGCTAGAGATAGGGTTTTGGTGTACCAGTCGTACATCTCTTGGTATTTGCCCTCTGGATAAGTGACTCCGTAATGGCCCCATCGATGGATAAGAGCCGGCCCAGTCTTGAATCGATGGAATTCTCCTTTTCGCGGCTTCTCCTCCGCGTAGTTGACAACGAGTTTCTCCAGGTGAGGAGCCTCTGCGTCTTTCGGTGTCTGTCCGTGGACCAAAAACACTTTAAAACCGATAGGATCCGTCAACGTTACGATTTCTCCGCCGCCGGGAGCATCTAACTTGCTAATCGGACTGGCACCTGGTAAGCGGGCAGCCTTCTCGAGCTCTTCACGAGATTCGACCTCATAAGCCGCGCCACCGAACTTGCTCTCGCCATCGGCTTGTTTGGCCACGTAAACGAAGGGTTCTGTGCCATAGCCCTTGAAGAAGATCTGCCCATCGGGACGTTCTTCGGCGATTTTTAGTCCGAAGTCTAGGTAAAATTTGTGTGTTTTGATTAAGTCATTGTGGTAATAGACTGTAAACGCTGTGCGCAGAATGCGGACACGCTGATCATTTGGTGGGAGAGGCATCTTCTTTGCGAATCTTGGGCAAATAAAAATTGATAGGTAGTCTGCAAATTATATGAATATCTTGAAAACATAGGACTTCATTAATTTTCTCGAAGTTGGACAACATGTTGAGTCTATAAACTTCTCCGGTCCTGAGCCGTTATAGAATTCCAGACAGGGTTCCCAGAGGATGACACGATGGAGGAGGTGCACCACCTTTTCCGGGTTCAGTGGCAGAAACGTCTCCCGGAAAAAGTGGTTCTTCCGAATGCGTTCCCAGCACATAATGCTTGAAAATGGTAGTCAACCTCCCCATGCACCACAGGGGGAGAAAACAAAGGGAGTCTTGTGTTCTGACTTCCACTAAACATATTTATACATTCTTCTGCATTTCCCCAGTGTCACTCAATCCAGATTGGCGGCACGTATCACCCACCCCCCTACCATCTACGCCATCAACACCCTCTACACCTGCACATTACAAGCCTAAACAATGCCTTCTAGACTTGTTGCCTGGGATCGACTTGTGCGCTACATCCCCTCTAGTGGTGAAGCCGAAATCAGATATGGAGAGCCTCTTCTTGAGAAAGATTCAGATGTGGACTCCATTGCACAGCTAGCGCAAGACGGCAAGCTCCAAGTCAAAATGCTAGAGGGCCAAGACATCTGGAGCGCAAGGCCAACAGATAGGGTTGAGACTGTTGGACAGCTTTTGGGACCACTCGAAGCTGGAACAGTGCCCATCATCCGATGTATCGGGCTCAACTACAAAACGCACAGTAAGCTCGCTCGCCTTTCACCTGCATGCCATAGACAGAGCAACAACTAAATCACATTGCCCACAGTCCTGGAAACTGGTCGCCCTCTGCCAACCTGTCCAACTGTCTTCACGAAGCCCAGCCCTTCAGTGGCTGACCACGGAGAAGATATCCCTATCCCCAAGATAGCGCAGGAGCAGTGCGACTACGAGGGCGAGCTTGTCGTGCTAATTGGGAAGGATGCCAAAAACGTGTCAGCGACCGATGCACTGCAATACGTTGCCGGATATACGGCCGGCAATGATGTCAGTGCGCGCGATTGGCAGCGAGAGGTAGGCAAAGCGGGACCTGTTCCGCAGTGGACGTTTAGCAAGTCTTTCGACAAGTATGCGCCGCTCGGTCCTTGTCTCGTGGCTTCCCATGTTCTCGGTGACGCGCACGGCCTGTCTTTGAAGACGTTTGTCAATGGGGAACTGAGGCAGAATACGAATACGTCGGACCTGTGCTTCGGCGTGGCGAAATTGGTCGAGTTTTGTAGTCAAGGACAAACTTTGCAGAAAGGATCTCTGATAATGACTGGGACTCCAGGTGGAGTAGGATTGTTTATGAAACCCCAAGCCTTCTTGAAGGACGGCGATCTGGTTGAGGTAGAGATTGGGAAGATTGGTAGAGTAAGCAACCATATGAAATTTGAATAGAGCCTGGCTGGCTGGGGCTTGAGTTCAATATGTTCCTTCTTTCCTCGTCACACTTGCCCTCTCTACTCTGAAGTGTTCGTGGTAATCCATGACAAGGCTTCTTTCAGAGGTCTCTTTGGAGACGCAGGAAATACTGTACCGGAGCTCTGTGGCCATGTTTCCCGGTATGTGGAAGATTTATGCCTTAACTTCAATTTACGGCGTCGTTCATTATCATCCCCTACGATAGGCTGGGGTTTCAGCTCGAGATAAAGGGAGACAGAGGTAATAGATAGAATACTGAGCCAATTTCTAAGTCTAATAAATCTGTGAAGCGATATCAGCTATCTTGTAGATTGGCCGTGGCCGTATATACATGGTCAACGTCACAAGTTCAATACATCCTTGTCAACCTATCATGTGTCCAAGAGCGTGCTAGTTTGGATGGCATCTAAGCGACCTCGTTCGTCTGGAAATTCTTCCCGAGGATCCTGTCCAACACCTCGCAGAGCTTGCCAACAGGATCAGAGACGAGTTCCTGGCACCGCCAAGCGACAAAGTGATCAGGCCGCACGAGAACAGCGCCTGTCTCTCCCACGCCACGCGCATTGAACCAATCATTGTAGCAGTCAATAAAGTCACCCCTAAATCCTATCGTGTGGGCGGCAATTTCCACTCCAGATCCTGTGCTTGAGATCTGCTTGGCTGCCTCCTTCCATGCCTCCCCTCCAATGCCAGTCAAGAGAGTGAAACGGCCCTGACCAGTGATGTCGAGAGTAGAGATTCTAGAACCTTGCCCATTGGCAGCCACCCAGACATGGGGGAGATGGTAGCCTGGATAAGTGCTAACCTTGACCTCCCTGAGAGCATTCAGGTGTCCAAAGGTGGGCGGTTCGTCACCAGGCTCGATAAAAGTAGCCACGCCCTCCGACACGTAGACTTGGTTCATCTGGATGCCCAGGGCCTGCACTTCATCTTGGGTATTCGCAAGTGCCTTTCGAAGATTCTCGCGAGCCTCCGCGCCCTTCGAGGTTCCGGATGCGAGTGTGTCTCTGAAGTTTTTGCGAGATTCGGGATCAGTTCCAATCAGAGCCCACAGTCTCCGGTGAGCCAGCATGCCATCGTTTGCACGTCGAACGACACCATCTCCAACCGGTTTGCGCTCGGGGGTCAACGAATCCAGTAGAGTCGGAGAAGCCCAGCCCTTGAGAACGTAGGCCAACTTCCAGGCAAGGTTGAAAGCGTCGGAGATACAGGTGTTGCTGCCCAACCCATTGATAGGAGGATGACGATGGACTGCGTCGCCGATACAGAAGACTCGTTTTTCTTGATATCTGTCGGCAAACTGTTCACGGATAGTCCATCTGAATGTCGAGAGAATTTTGATGTCGACAGTATCGTCTCCAATTAGTTGGTGGAGGCGTTCCTGGATAACGTCATCAGGCTGATCGATAGGATTGAGGCCTTTGGACGCGGGATGCATCGACACAACGAACTCATCCCACGGCCGAACCATCCGGAAGTTTCCTACCGCAGCCCATTCGGGGGCACTTGAGTTCAGAACCCAGTTCAAGCTTCCGGTTCTGTGGTTGAAGTACTTGGAGAGATCGCACTTGATGTGGACATTGAAGGCGTCGCTGTGTGTGACTCCAGAGATTGGAATACCCAGTTGCTCGATAACTTTGCTGTTGGCACCATCGGCTCCGACGAGGTATTTCGCTGTGACAGTGTAGGTGTCGTTGGTGTCACGATCCTGGAGCGTGACACGGACCCGATCTGAATCCTGCTCAAAGCTGACCATCTCGGTAGAGAAGCGGAATTCAGCCCCAAGCTTTGTGGCTTCCTTAACGAGAACAGGCTCCATGAGACTTTGAGGCAAGTCAGACATTTGACACGGACTCGCGAGCTCATAGTCACCCTTCTGCTTGGGATTGTTTCCCCATGCATAGATACGTCCAAACTCTTCGCCCGCTAGGCATTCCATCCAGGAGGTATGCTCCATAACTGAGACATTGTTAGCTGAGTGAATGAGGAAAGAGTATGTGAGAGACTGTCTACTTGCATTGAACTGAGCAGGCTATTTCATTCATCTGGCCCTCAATGCCGGCATCGCGGAGGACTTCCATTGCCCTTTGGTTGAAGATGTGCGCACGAGGAGTGTTGGCAGTGCTCCTATGCCTAGAGATCGACATGGATTTGATTCCCATGCGGCCGAGGAGAAGCGCCGTCGTGGCACCTGATGGGCCGGCGCCGATGATAAGCACCGGCACCTCCAAGTTGAGCGAGCCTGGCATTGTGATAGATGAGGGAGCGTAACGAGCGTGACCGAGGGTTTTTGGACTGGTAGTAGAGAAAAGTAAGAAACAGAGGTAGTTGTAAACTTGTTCAACGGACAGGCAACATGTGTGAATCGGCGAATGATTCAATGTCTGAAATTCGCGTCTGTAGCGCGTTCCTTCAGGAGAATAAGAATCCAACAAGCTTCCACTTACTCCGGACGTATCGTACGACTTCTTCTTCTTCCATGACGGCCATGTGCCCGGGTTTGGTTCAAGCTCGGCATCTCATCTGGGGGTCGAGCAGACTCCAATATCGAGACCGGAAGCTAATACCACTTTACCCGTGGCCCAATTCGACCTGGTCTCGAACCGGAAATTGGAGACGATAATTCTGGGGAACTTGCCGGCCCCACATGTCGAGGGCGGAGCGCTCCCCATAGCGACGATCTTGAACTTGTCTCGGCCATTGTTGCTGGGATTATGGCAATCCGTCTCTCTTTGGAAATTAGGGCCTCCCTATTGGGAGATCTTTCGCAGTTCGTTTCTTGACAGTGAATTCTATTCCCTTTCGAGTCCGTGATCCTTGAACTCAATTCCCAAAACACTGAAAAAGCACATCCGAGAGACAGACATAGTTCATTGTCCCATCAAATACTCCATCCAACAGCGTAAGGTCGGTGCGTTTCGGGAGGTTGGTTTGTTCTTGGCTTTTGATCCGCCTCTATGAACTTGTACAGCGATCAGGAGCAAAGTATTGCATATTGCTCCAACATTCTGTAGTCACGTCAACTACCCTATTTAGGTGGAATTCTAAGATGGACTGTCATTGGTATGGTCAATTTTCTATCATGAGGAGACAGCCTCGCTATCTAACATCGGATAATCCTCAATAATGAAGTGTAGGGATGGTCCCTTGAGGAAGTTCTTCGCGTCTGGATGAGCAACGGATACATATTCCGGATCGTTCAGGGCAGCTTCAAGATCTTCGATGGAATCAAAGTAAATCTCAGCAACCCCAGCGAAAGCCTCAGACTGGTTCATCTCCGACGACCCGCGGAACAGCTCCGGTCGCGCGTGGTATTGACAATACCGAGTGACCCGACTCCAGAACGGCTTGATTCCTTTAATGAGAGCGGCGTGCTTGTTAAGCCAGTAGTCCGAGAATGCGTCCTGGTCTAGGCCGTCCGCCGATCGAAGGAAAGCCAGATACTTCACGCCGCGGACAGGGCCATCTTTGATAACCCGTTGTCTGGTGTAGGTAGTTGTGCTCGCTGGGGAGTCGAGGAATTTTGCCTCATCTGGGAGTACAAAGTTGGGGAAATCGGGCTGGTCGAAGAAATCTATGATACCGGTCTCGTACACGTTCTGAAAGGTCTGCGCGATACCGTCCCATCTTGGGTCTTGTGGCAATTTCTGTTCCAACGAGGCTGGCATAGGAAGGATATGATTTTGGATGTATCGATGATGGCACCGTCGAAAGTCGGGTAGAGAAGGCAGGAGAGTCCCGTGCACGCCATGCCAGTGGGTGTTGAACTGGTCGCGCGTTAAGTCTGGCCGGCGTTTTAGTAACGTGAATCTGGCGGGTGGGTAAGACTCCATGGTTGCGTGGTTATGAATGACAGTAATGAAGGTGTGTTTCTTAGGAGGAGGATGGCAGGCACAAAAGTGAATTAGAAGCTTACGATGTCTTAATCGGAGAGTGTGGGGGGTTCTTAAGAAAGCTAAGGACAACTTCCATCTCCCCTCCACCCACATGGATGCGTGGATCCTACCCCTTATGGTCTATCGACTCTACTCCACTTGGCGAAACCACCTTTCCCGGGACATCATACACACCCATACAGTCGGCAATACTGTGACTAGGGATATACCCCACACTCGCACTCGTGAGATGCCCTAATCAAGGAAGCACGCGGCTTCTTGAACCGGGCTTGGCGCATTGTCTGGGAAGAAATACTCGAAATAAAAAATGTTAAGACATTGAGCTGAGACATCTCGATGATTACAAGATACTACGGCGACGCCACCTTACCCCAACCATGGGACTAACCTCATTCTGCCACTGAAAGGTGAAATAGGGCTAGGGTAGTGGCAGTGAACGCAAAAGTATGGGGTAATGTCAACATGAAGAACCGTGGCCTGGACCTGAAGGCCGGTCTCAGGTCTCACTGGCGATGACTTATTTTTTTGCCGCATCATGGTCTCTCGGTCCATTCTCTATGGCCTCTCTGCATAACTGAGCCAGCTAAAGAGCAGCAGGCAAAGGTGAGCTTAAGAAGTTTATTACAGTATGAAATCCTAGAAATGCAAGCTCGTACTTAATTATCAATCACGCTGGATATTATTTGGTTTAGTTCCGAATACAAATAAAATGTACCTTCAGCTTAAGGAGATCGAGCAAAACTGTTTGATTTCCAGTAAGGTTATGACTACAACGGCAAGAAAAGAATTTCCAGAGCTCTTCGGACCCGACCCTCGCGACATCTCTTCAGATCCGGTTTTCTCAGTCTGATATTTTCTCATCCAATGAGACTTCCGAGCCCCATCCCTTCTAGTAGGCGTATCGGAATTGCGGATTCTTCATGTCCGTCACGTCATCCTCAAAGGCATGTTCGAACCCTTCCTTAATGCCGGCCTTGTCCCTCCTATTATTCTCCCACACGCAGTATTGGCGGTAGACAATCGTCAGAGCGATAGCGGCGCAACAGCACGAAAGCACGGCAGTCCATCCGGGAAGGAACGCAGGTGAATCCTTCTCTTTGAACAAGAGAGGTGCTACGAAATTGCCGAGGGTATATCCGATAAACAAGCCAGAGGAGGCAACGGAACGCTTAGTATATCCGGCGTTGTTGGCAGTAGCCAAACTATGAAGATAGAAAATGAGGATTAGCAGAGGGCTTTTGAATCTGAGATTGTTTTATTCACTTACCCCATGGTTGTGCCAAAGCTTCCACCCCAAATGGGGAACAAGTAGCAAGCAAAAAGCAGGGCTCCCTTCTCGGACCGGGGGAGTTTCCAGAGCAGCAACGATGCTATGCCGGCTACTGCGTAGCCAAGGATAATAATGTAGCATCTCATATTCTTGTACTTGTAGGCCAGGTATGGCAAGAGAATGTTGACAATACCAGCGGAGAGGCCATAAGGCATATTCAACAACATGGTGTTCAGGCGACTGAATCCGAAACCGTTGATAATGATAGGAATGAAGCTCGACCCTGGACCGTTGGGAATCATGTTCAGGAAAGCTAAGGAGAAGAGGAGCCAAAATCGTACGTCAAGTAGCAGCTCGTAAACTTGTGCTTTCTTGAAATGCGTGTTCCTTACACCGGAGTTATTCGATTGTAGCCTTGAGATGGCAATGAAGCGCTCCCGATCACTCAAGCCGCGGACCCGGATAGGATCTGGGGGGAAGAAAAATAGAAGCACGAATGACCAAACGACTGTCAGCCCTCCAGCTAGGAGGAACATGTATTGCCATGATTTAAGGGCTCCGGATGTGATGTGACCCAACCCGTAGTTGATCAAAGGAGAAATAATTGCGATGAAGCCAGCTGCAGATAAAAATGTGAGAAATTGAGACGACTGAAACGGGATACTGGAGACTCTTACTGGAGCTATACCAGATTCCCTGGCGCAGGGCTTGTTCCTTCTTCTTGTAGAAGGAACCTACTGACATCATGAAGATAGGAGAAACACCAGACTCCAAGAAGCCCAGGAAGAATCGCTGGACGTATATCGCTTGGAAGGATTTGCATCCAGCTGCCGCCATGAGGCATCCGCCCCAGACGAACACAATGCCGAATATAACCCTTTCAACAGGAAACCTTTGCGCCAACAAAGTTGCCGGGACCGAGCCCACAAGGAACCCAAGGTAGAAAATGGACGCCGCGAATGAGTAGCGGTTGCCGACATTAAGGCCAACATCTTCGCGAAGACCGAAAATTGCCTGGATGTATCATTGTCAGCTGCCATTGTTGAGAGTCCCATCTCAGGATATTCTAAAACAGAATTGCACTTACAGCTTGTCCCAAGATGACCTTGTCATAGAATTGGAAACCGTAAGACAGGAACAGCAAGGTTAGAAGACGCTTATCGATCTTTCGAACGAGCTGCTTTTCTTCTTCCTCGGTCCATTGTCTGTCGCCGGTGTAAGCAGCGAGGACTTTGGTGCCCTCATCGTTGTGGACGACGTCAACGACGGGCTTCTTGCCGCAGTCGTCAATGTTCTCAACCTCGGACTTTTCGCCCATAATGTCGGAGTTTTTCTCGGTCGTGGGTGCAGTCATTTAGCGAAAACTCTATCTGCTCTGGAGCAAGTTGATGACTGGTTGGAAGAGCCTGGGGAGAAAGTTGACGAGAACTTCGATCGGACATCACAGCCTTCATATGTGAATTCGACGCCTTGTTCATGTTTCTACATTTCAGGAAGAACATCTGCATCCCGGAGTCATTGCTCTCCCATTAGCGTGATGAAGACTCCGTCCTGGAAAAAGTGGTTTTCTTTCTTTTGTGGAGCAGATCAATAATTCCATTCTCCAAAGCGCTATGTCCTTCTGGGGAAGTGGACCCTGCGATGCGGGGTACTGGGGAAATCCATCTAGTCGACAAGACTCAATGCCGATATCCCGGTTGCTGGGATTGTGATGGGGTATATCTGCAACCCCAGAGATCTACATGTCTCTTTTCGTGATGATGCAGGATGGATTGCATTGACAGCTCTTCGCCAACGTGATGGGGAGTTATCCAAAGTGGCAAGCCTGTGTGCTAGCGTCAAGATGTGCCGGGATTCGAACATCCACAGTGTCGGGTAAAGTGGTCTTCTGTTCATATGAACCTGGCCTTGCTTGGCTATGCTTCGTGGGATTGTGAAGAATCCCCATGGGGAAGGGCACGCTAGTGTGAGGCTGAAGTTTAAACTACATCAGGAGGAGCATTTCGGGTCCGATGGGTGATCATAATATGCAGATTCCCATAATCGTTGTAAAGATTCTTCCCGGGCGTCTACCGTACCCGTGTGTAGATCTTAACGCTTTTGTGCTACTGAGGCAACAACATCGGGTTCGAGTGGCTCCGGGGGCTGCTTTCACCAGATTCTAGACCCTCTGCACTAGGGGCCAAAGTGACACCTATAGTTGCACTTGAGGCCATAGGGCCAAGGATGGTCAAGCCTACAGAGATTGTCTGTCCAAACATCACCCATATCTGTTTTGCAGGGAAATTTAGGCGCACCGGCTCGATCCTGTCCCTGCTGTTTTATTCCTATTAAGGATATGCCACCGGAGAGTGGATAAAAGCTGGGGGATGCAATTACTGTCTTCAAGTACATGGGAGACTTCATTATCTGCAACTTCTTTTCGTCCTGGCTAAAGATCTAGCGAGGTGGTTTGTAGAGAATATGGAATTTCTTCATTCGGAGCCTACTTCAGACACCAAGAGAAGGCGAGACAACTTATGGACGACTATGTCGGATCCGAGGAGAACGATATCAAGGACAAAGGCGGCAAAGGTGGACACTGGGGCGCGAAGACATTTATCGACGAAGCTGATGTTTGAAGGCGGAGTAGAAGAAGCCTCACCAAGAAACAGCTTAGTTTTTGGGAGACCAAGACTAGCCGCTAATCGGACCTTGACTCTTATTCTACTTAAACGCGACCAAAAAGTATTGAGTCCATACCCTCACAAGGTATCTCCTGAGTCTTGATTTTCAGCCAAGAGTGTGACATTTGTGTATCCTTGAGGAAAGGATCTAGGATTGGAGAACCCGGCCAACCGTATCTCAAGAGTTGAAAAATGACGAGCCAAACGAGACTTTGGGGTGAAAATTCAATCGAGGTGCTCGGGTACCCGTACCTTGTCGCGAGCCAAAACAGGAGTTTACAGCACCCGCTAAGAAGAGGGGCTTCGGGATGGCAAAGTAATTGCTCAATGGTAGCGCTAGTTCCATCGTAGCCATGACGGATAATGCGGTTCTGTGGTCTCTGGTTGTCCCCGGATCATGGAATCAGATCATCCGATGATCGATTTCAAACTCAAGCTGCCGTCGCTGACAGTTTGGACCACCGGGTTTCCACTTCCTTTAGGAACCTGCTCCGAGCCTCAGTCTTCGACCTATGGAACATCCTAGGTTCATGAAACACCAAACCACCACAATCGCTCGCGGAAGCATGTTTCATTGCGTTCTACGCTGAATTGGGAGGACGACCCGTGTTGAGGTCTCCGACAACATTACCTTCTGCCTCTTGTCTGAGCCGTCGGCAATTTTTTCTTTTTTCTTTAATCCCAACGCTGCTTGTTCGGATAAAAAAAAGGCATCACCAATTTGAAAATGTAGACAAGACCATGAGAATTATTAGAATTTGTGCTACTGCAGGAATACAACTGACCAAAGATATACTTGAGGGCATCGATAGGGCAGGCTCCAGCTGCCCACTTTCCTCAGCCTGCCCGGCTCCTGATATGCAAACCGAACCAGTCCCTGTTGTCCTACTACTTCAGTACGACGAGACGTCCGCTCAAGCTTATGCTTCTGGCCCAAAGAAAGTCCTGGGCCAAATATTCATTGCCGTTTTGGTCCCTTCTCCAACGGGGAGACCTGCATGTAATGTCCGGGGATCACCGCTCCCATCGGCTAGCATGTTCGGCCAGAACAATGCGTTGCCAGCAATGGGCCGGAATGCAAGACCGCCGTCTTCGTGCTCCCTCCAGATACGGTTTCGTTCACTGCTGCGATCTTGAGGTGCGATAGGCCGTGCTTTTGGGAAGTATGTCTCGCCTTTCGTGCAGTTGGCTTCGAGGACAACGAAAAAGGTGGCAACTCGATTGTACATCCTCTTCCGGGCCCCATCGCCGTTCTTCAGCCGCGGCTGTTGGAACCAGTCATGATGCAGGTCAAACTTCTGGCTAGCGGTGTAGTGGACCATTTGTGCAACACCCATTTCGTCTCGTCCGGGAGCCATCAAAGTCCCCATAAAGTTCTCCGCCCTCTTGAGGACACACTGGACAGCCTTGTCGCCATCGGGGAGAGGCGCACTCCATGACGTGCGGCTCTGCGATTTGGTGTCCGAACCATATCCTGTAATAGGCGACGGGACAAGTAGATCCTTTCCCGCTTCCATGATAAGGTTTGCTTCTTTCGGAGTAACGAAGTCGTGAATGTAGATCAGCAACGGATCAAAAGAGATCAGCTCTGTCGTATAGTTATGTGGTGAACATTGCCACGTCTCGGGAGTTTTCAACGGGAAGAAAGTGCCCTCGAGGCGAGGATATACCAACTCGAAGGCACTTGGGATAATGTATGCTAGGCTAGCGCCCAAAGTCACTGATAATACTTGACTAAGACTCGCCATTGCGGGTGAACAGAATTGTAGGTATTGCTTTCTCGTGGACTAAACTCCCGACCAGCTAGTGAGCCTTCATCGGGTTGTCCAGGGCACAGAAGAAATGAAAAGCCAGCGTGGTCGTAAACGGGATTATCACAGGTTATTCCGGGTAAATAGCGATGTCGAACCCTTATCATCGGGTCATGACGGGAGATTCCGGTCCCGGAAAACCGGCTGCTGGGTTGTAGAGGTTGAATCGAGAAATTACGGTTGAACTTCTCGTTCTTGCATGAACTGGCTGTGCAGTAGAAATGCTTCCCGCAGGTTATAGAGAAGTAGATTTCGAAGCCCGCTGGTGAGACGGCGCCAGCATGGCCTCGCCCCCTTAATGAATGGAGCGGAAGTAAGAGACAGATAATAATAACTGCCTCCTACATGTAACAATTTTCCACTTGAGTTTGTGTATCATTCATTTCTGAGTAGATCTCTGCCAGTCCCTTACTCATGGCGTTTGAATCTAGGGAGCCTCAAGATTTACATATTTTAATCGCCAGTGCTGTTAAACTGTCGATGAACATAAAACTAAATTGATCCATCTTCTTATTACCTTACCGATAATCTTAATTAGGATCCCTTTTGACGAGACTTTGAGTATTGCGAATTTGGTGAACTGATATCTCGACATCTGCTGGTTCATCGTTGACCACGTCAATGGAATGCTCTTAAATTCTGATGTTTCTTGATCGATATTATGAACTCCAACCGCTCTCCCTCATTCAAGCTACCTTTACCGATCCGGCTGACAGTATGCCGACGTCAAGGACCCAGATGGATTCCAACCGTGAGGCTCGCATCTGTAAGGCCTGATAATAAATATGAGGTCGAGAGAATTACGGAATCCTCAAATCTTCGTTGGCCTCGGTCCATCACCACAGGCATGCCAGGAATTACTTGGATAAATGAACGGCTACGCAGGATCTAAGATGTCCATAGCCAAAAATCATTTCCAAAAGTTATTTCCAATCTGGAGACGGATGTTTTGGGGCTCTTTGCAGTAGTTTCGATATCTCCTCATGATCTCATCGAGTCGTATCGTTGAACCCCACACTCGAACCACACAGGCTCCAGAACACACTCCTTCATACTCCTTACTGGTAGACGGGAGACTCGGATATTAGCCCGTTCTGCATGAAGAAACTAGCGCCACCCACCAAACCCAAAGTCAAGGCGAGATCAATATTAACCCGTTTTCGGTTAGACGGCATCAATAGGCTAGTCCAAGCACATCCACAGGAAAGGGGACAGCTGTCTGCAAAAGCATGAAAGGCATTTTTAAGCCGCTGACTAAGTACTCCGAGCTTAACCAAAAGAGGAATAGTTCAAGACTGCCAATGGAGCTCATCCTCGTTCTTCATCGGGCCAGCCACTCCCCCTTGTTCAAGAAAATCCTTGGGATTGGCTGCAGTCTAGCCCCCACCCCCGACCACGATATTTGATGTGGAACGGATGACCGAAGCTTGCACGTTGCTTTGGACACACAATGGACTAGTGCCATGTATAACCCCCGCTTTCCACACGGTTTTCTTCTCCAGGGATGTAGGGGTCCTCCCCGTCATAAATAGTGTGGCTGCTCTGAATGCTATCCGCGCTCGTGGCTCCACCCCCTCTCCTTTTCCTTCTTGCACCATTTTAATACCAGTAAAAGCTCACCTGGTAAAATGTCCGAACCGCAGCAAACGACGAAAGTACCCGAAACGACGGCTGAGGAGGCTGTGCCTAGTCCCCCGACTGCCGATGCTGCTCCCACAGAAGCCGCTGCTTCCGCGGAGGCTGCTCCCGCCGCATCAGCGATTCCGAATACTCTCCCAGGACAGTACTGGGTCCAGGTTCGCTTCCCTAGCGACAGGATGATGCCAACGACATGGGCAACGGCGCTAATTAATCCGAAATATAGCAACAAAACCTAGCCAGAGACGATGATGACGCCGATTCAGCGTGTGGAGATGACGGCGCGAGCAGTACCGCTTCTCTTTCCTCCTCGATCCTCAAGTACAGGACAATCCACGGTCGAACATATCACAGTGAACAGGGCAATGCGGAGTACTGGTGGGCCAGCCCTAGATCCTCGATTACAATGGTCTACTTGGGCTAATGGCAGGCGTACACACACGCTAGGGGTGCAAACGACGAGAGGGCGAACGAAGGTCTAGATATCATGTAGGTACGACCCAGTGGTCGCGTACCCAAATCGAAACTGACGGCGACGGGTGGCAGCCATCACGTTCTTTTACTTTCGCTTGAAGGACAACTTTACAAAGCGCCATTGAAGAAGGACATCCAAGTGCGCTCTTCCTCCTCCCCATCAACTCCCTTGAAACTCTCCAGCTAACAAAATAGCGCAGAAAGTTGTAGATATCGGAACTGGTACTGGTATGTCGGATCACTTTAGCCCCTGGTGACACGGTCGTATAGGACAGATACTTACGAATGCCACCCTTGAATAGGTCTTTGGGCGATGTATGTGTTTACGGACGTTTTCTAGGCAATTAAAACCCAGTGCGCTTACTGAGATAACAGCGATTTCGCGGACGAATTCCCTAACACGGAGGTTATCGGCACCGACCTTTCACCTATCCAACCGAGCTGGGTTCCCCCCAACCTCCAGTTGTGAGTCTCCATCCTCCACTCCACTCCCGGAGGATGACGATGACCAAATTCAACATTGTTAACAAATGCCCCCAACGCAGCCAAATCGACGACTGCACGCAAGATTGGACCTTTGGCGAGAACTCTCTCGATTACGTGCACATCCGCTGGATCTTCGGAAGCATCAAGGACTGGACGGCTCTCTTCCAGCAAGCCTACAAATGCCTCAAACCCGGCGGTTTCATCGAGACGCACGAGCCCTCGACGTCCTTCCGAAGCGACGACGGCACCGTACACGAGAAGACCGCCATGAGCCAATTTGGCAAGTTCTTCGAGGAGGGCGGGAAGAAGATGGGCCGCTCCATGACGGTGCTTGAGGACTGTATCCAGCGAAAGGCCCTTGAGGAGGCCGGCTTCGTTGAGATCAAGGAAGTCCATCTCAAGGTGAGTTTGTTTACCGCGTCGCGCACCCGTCTTCATTTCAGTTTCTTTTCCGTCTTTCTGTCCCTTTCCTTTCATCATTTTCCACGTTAGTTAACTCATGTTATTAGACCCCGATTGGTAGCTGGCCGAAGGATCCCAAGTTGAAGGAGATCGGCACATTCCAGCAAATGGCCGTCGAGCAGGATACCGAAGGCACCATGCTCTACCTGGCTACCATGCTCGGCTGGAGTCGCGAGGAGGTCATTGCTTACATTGCCACCCTCCGACGCGAGTTCCGCAACAAGAACATTCACGGCTACTACGAGCAAAAGATTCTTTGGGCCCAGAAGCCCGAACCCGCAACTGAGGAGTAGATATAAATACGCCACTTGTGCATGGATTCCAACCATGTGAGACCCTCTTCTCAAGCCAACCCCTGGCTTGCTTTCCAATTTGAGTCGATCCGCTTCTGCTTGCTGCGAGCGCTAGCTTGCCACGTCTTGGCATGTGTTGGTCCGCGGCGTTTAACATAAAAGGGATATTTAGTTTAGTTATCGTTGTTTGACATTAAGGGATAAAGCCTGTAATGATTTTTAGCGACCAGAACATGAAATCGATTGATAGCATTAACGCATATTAACGAATGGCTTTGTCTCAAGTTAGAGGTTTATTTTCATCACACCGATACTTCATATTCAAGCACCAGTGATAAAGACATGACGCGGTATGATTCCTGAATGTAGGGTGGCCCAGTTTTGTCAGAGACCTTTTTCAGGTGTCCTAAATGATCAAATCATCGTGCCCTTATCATCCGCCCTAACATCAAGACGTATCATCACAGTTCTTCCACAACCTTGGGGAGCAAGATATCGTTGAATGCCCAGAGAATCGTCGTGAACTGCACCGACCAGGCAGCACCTGTATACCATGTAGACCGGTGCCCCTGCAGCGCATATTGCTCCTGAATGAAGCCCTCCTTCAGATCGTCGAGACTCGCCCTCAAGTGCATTGCCCCGTGGTCCACAAACGCAACGAACTCGAGGTCGTCTACATCGCCATCGGGGAGGGCACCTCCCTCGATCAAGTTGGCAAGACTGTCGCGGACCAGTTGTCGAGCGCCTTCCTCATCGAGAGTCTTGTCTCCCACGATAAGAACTCGGAACAAGTCGGACTCTGCACCCATGTAATCGAAACGGGCAAGAATCGGCGCCTTCGGGAAATGGTAGTAGTCGTCAGGTGCGGCTTCAGGAACCGTATTGACCAGGGACACGTTGATCTGCAACGAAGGGTGAGAAACTATTCCGGCATAGACCGTCGAGTAGTCAAATTTCTCAAAGACCCCTAGCTCCCCTTTGTCAAGATCGAACGATTCCATGGCTTCGATGGTCGGTTCAAACGCGATGAGCAGTCTCTTGGCGATAATCAAGAATTCCTCGCCGCTCTTCGACTTCGCAACAAGCTTGACACCCGTGTCATCTCTCTCCGCTTTGGCCACAGTGCTGGAGTAAAGCACGTCATCACCCAAAGAAGCACCAATTTTCCCATACAATTCGGTGTTGTTTCGTGACAGAGGGCCAAATGTAGGCGCAGCACCGACAAGCGCCCTTGCCATCGGCGCACCGAAAACCTGCATGACGTGGAGCGTTGGCGCATCAGTCCAATCGACGACGCCTGGCCCGGGCACTTGGAACATTTGAGGCATGGCGGCGTCCAATTCGTACTTCTTCGCGAATTCGCCAAATGGTAAGAGGAGGTCCTTTGGGATAGCATCCGGTTCGGGAAAGTTCCAATAGCCAGGTAGGATCATATCTTCATACAGCTCGGCAGCCTCCAGAAACCGATTCAAAGCCGCCACTCGCTCATCGTTAGCTGGGTTTATGAATGTGCTCACGTTGAGCCCGGTGGAAAAATCCGCGTAGGCGCTAGTCAGAGCCCCGCGTGTAGGGACGCCAGTTGTTACGTTGAAGCGCTCAAAGAAGGCTAATGCGTCTCCGTATTCGAGATACGACTGCACTCCGTACTCGAACGTTTTCCCAGAGCCATCTGCGTAGGTTGCGACATGCCCTCCCTAAGTTTTCATATACTCGTAAGCTTCTATAGCGCCTTTACAAGTTCTGTTCGAGAGTAAGGAAGAGTCGTAAACTCCCTCGTCGAAAAGGACCTACCAGGCGATTCTGCTTCTCGACAACAACGATGCTTTTCCCAAAATCCTCCTTCAGCAACACCGCAGCGTGTGCACCAGACGCACCTCCACCGACAATGGCGACGTCCCGCTCAATTATGTGATCCGCCGGGAATTTGCATTTGTTGATGGCCGCGAAAGCAACCCCAGCTGCACAGATGAGGTTAAGGGTTGTGAAAAGGTGCAATGGAGGCATAATGGACTCAGTCCCGAGACAATAAAATTAGCTCCAGAGAGTGTGATTGAGCTTGGCGTGGAAACGGAGCGATAGCGTTGCTCCCCTGCCGAGAACTATCTTACGTTCTTATATCTAGCGTCAGGTTCCCCTTGGCGGCGGGATTCGGTGGGACTCGAACGGGAGTTACACTGACATCCTGCTAGCGACGTTCATAATTGGTCCGGATTTATATAAGAGTAAGCAGTGGTCAGATAGGGCTTACCGTGTTGCTTTTAACATAAATTGACTTTATCTGCAGGATCATTGACCAGCCGTCCCCGAGAATGGTTGGATGCACAGATCTGGATTGGCTGGATTTCAATGGAAAACTAGAAACGGGCTGTGCAGGCGGGGTGCCTGAAGAGCCTGAATGGTACATGAGATGGCAGATGCTGACAGCATAACAATCGAGCGATATTGTGAGGATTGACCATACATATACGATTCTAACATTGCCCGGGACGCCAAGCCCATGACCTGCAGATCGCTTAAAGGATTCGGCTAGTAATCTTAAATTTGGGGTGCCCGTTCCTCGAATTGCTTTTGGAGTATTCACGGAATGGAGATGAGACTCCGAGGAGAGATCCCATCAACCGATGGAATAAGCTGGTGGCGTCAAACAAGAGCAAGGGGAAGAGGGGAACGACAGGCTTCACACAGCCCACACCAGCGGTTAGGGTTAGCAGTTGTAATATCAGTATTCGCCATCGATATAGACCGAAAAGTACCATAAATAATCCGCACATATTTTCGAGATGCAAAGAATGCTTTTGACTCCGGTTCTATTCAGCCAACAAACCCGTGCGCATGAAAATATTCGAAGGCCGCTCCCGCTGCTTGAATTCATCGTCCACGATATATTCGATCTCGGGGCCCTCCTGCTGAAAGCCTAACCGCTGATACACGTGCCTGCCCATGGCGGACGCCTCTGTGATTGCCTCCAGTCCACCTCGCCGTTTTGCCTCTTCCAGTCCCCATTGCACGAGTTTGGACGCAATACCCTTGCGCTGGAAAGCGGGGTCCACAACGCAAAAGTCCAGGACCATGACAGCGGGAGAGGAGGTGTTGGCTTTCTCCTTCACGACCTCGATCCGGCGTTTATGGAGCGAATAGTCGAGCTGGCAGAGATAGCGTTGTTGCGCCTTGTCACTCGGATAAAGCAAGTCAAGGTCCATGGCCTGGCTGAAGTCCTCAACGGGAGGCTGCCCACAGCCCTCCACTACGGAAGCCTGTACCCAGATGGCCATTCCAACAATCACGCGGCCCCCATCGCTTTGGTGATCTGGAACCGTGGCTTTGATGAAGGCAGTGGTGAGGTTCCCCTCTCTGTCCATCGTTACCCCGCGCCAGCGGTCCACCATATTTTTCACTCCCCTCGCATAGCCTTCGGGCGTGTCCCAGCCCGGATTCATCGCTATCCAGATTCCATCTTGGGTCTGTCGGCCAAAAGTCTCGCATGCGCAATGGAAGCCGCGCTCGATATCCTCAGCGCTATCGGCGAGTTCGATGCGGAGATCAAGAATTTGTGGAGACATGGTTTCGGATAGTTGTCAGGTTTCTGTGTTCACTCGCAAGAAAACGGTCGACGATGAACGTGATCCTGAATTGACTGTGCTTGCGACAAGGTAGGGTAGAGCCCTGGATAATCGTCCTTAAGTAAGATTTTGTTTAAAAAGAATGAATATAACAATGATGACTTAATCAAGAATATGGACTCGGTATATTTCATTTTACTTAAGAATAATTTTAGAACCCTAAGGATGAAAAAAGGATGTATTGAGTTAAAATATTTTTTAATATATAAGATTTTGCGTCGTCGTTATAAGTGACCATCACATCGGCGCCCTTCTTGAGAAGCAGCTTGACTATGTCGGCGTATCCCTTATTTGCAGCCAAGTTCAAAGGCGTCCATCCATCGTTATTCGCGACCGTCACATCGGCGCCCTTCTCGAGAAGCAGCTTGACCACTTCGACGTGTCCGTCGAGGGAAGCCGCGTGCAAAGGCGTCTGTCCGTCATTATCCGCGACCGTCACATCGGCGCCCTTCTCGAGAAGCAGCTTGACTACATCCTCGTGACCATTTGCTGCGGCCCGTAGTAGCGGCGTCTTACCCCACTTGTCCTTGGAGTTTGGGTCGACGCTATCCTCCACAAGCAGCAGCTTTACCACCGCCTCGCGCCCCTTCGCCGCGGCCAATGACAGCGGGGTTTGACCATCCCTATCCTTAAAGTCTGCATCGACGCCGTCCCTGGCGAGTAGCAGCTCCACCACCGCATCGTACCCGTACCATGCTGCTAGCGATAGCGGCGTCCAATTCTTACTGAGCGGCGTCCAATTCATACTGTCTTTGGAGTCTGCATCGATGCCGTCTTTAGCCAGCAGTAGCTCTACTACCGCCACGTGCCCATTCGCTGCGGCAATTAATAGGGGCGTCCGACCATTCATGTCCGTACAATTTGGGTTAACGTCGTCATTTGCGAGGAGCAGCTTCACTACTGCCTCGTGCCGGTTTGTCACAGCTAGCAACAGTGGTGTCCGACCATTTTCCGTGGTAACTTGAACGTTAGCACCTTCACCGAGCAACCTTTGAGCCGTGACGTAGCGTCTGTCGTGTCCTCTGAGTCAGTCGCATCCACCCTCTCTTCCCTATTCTCGACAGTCTAGTGTTCGGGATTCAGTGCATCCAGACAGGTCAGGGCAGACGACGGAGGATCTGGCAATACGCAAAGGGTGGGTGAAGACGTAGGACGGCGTATCCTTGAGCCGTTAAGAGGGTTGCCTCCCCACCCTCAAAGCAACTAATAGGATTTCGAAATACCAATCCCGGTGTGAACTTCAGAGAAGCCGATAATAACGACCCTTCCTGACTCGCAGCCGACAGCAACCCTCGCCACCGTCGACGGCAATAGGGAACACCATATGGCTAAGGCTTAAGGTCGGTATTCGGGTGGCAACCATAGAATATCACTTCAGTCTGCCCCGGCCAAGGCCAAGCCGAAAAGAACGTCCTTTGAAAGCTTTGCCATGACTCTCACATGCGGAAAGGCATGGCGGAGAGGCCCCGTTGACGAAGTAGCATCTCACGCCGCCGATTGTGCCGCGGCTCTTTTGTCCAAGGATCCGAACTGGAGGTTATACAACGACTTTCCACTACCCTCGCATGAAGGTGATGGGTTCCTACCGCCGGTGGACCTGAACGAACCTGCCCAAGGCGGACAATCCACTCGATACGTTGACACCGCGCCGGGCACCTCGGCTGAACATAGTGTATCTCATTACAGATTCGGGAATTGGTGGAATGGGGCCTATCCAGAGTGTGAGAGGTGGAGATCTCGTGTGTGTGCTGTTTGGGGCAGACGTTCCCTTTGTACTGAGACCTCAGTCATGACTACTTGCTTGTTGGCGAATGTTACCTGTACGGCATCATGCACAGGATGTAATTGATAGAGAAATTGCCAGCTGTTATGAGCGCGGCATTGGGGACTACATAGCACGCGAGGAAAGAGGAAAGGACCTTGTCGATGGCCAGGAAGGCAAGGCTATGGAAATCGAAGCAATCGAGACGCTCTTCTCGCCGTGCACACTTGAAAAATGGGGAAGACCAGCTACGGAAAGGAGACTGTGTACGAAGTATAAAGCGATCCCAGGGAAATCCGCGCCCGGATAGCACCCAGTTCCATCAAAATGCGTCAATGGTACTGAATCAAATCCCACAAATTGCCATATAGATCCTTTCCACACCGCCACTTTCCCGTATGCCTCAATCTTCGGTGGTCGTGCCCACTCTACGCCCGCGTCTGAAAACCGCTTGAAGTCCCTTTCAAAATCATCCGTCGCAAGGAGCAAAAACACCCGTCCTCCCGTCTGGTTTCCTATAAAAGCCTCCTGCTCTGCGTTGCTGGGACGGGCAAGGAGAATAGTCGCACCCTGCGACGAGGCCAATGCAGATGTAGACGTTGGTTCCTGCTCGACCCTCTCATCAGGAGACTCGGTCCGTCGTTCCGCCGAAGTGCTGCTGGACAGAGGTTGGGGAGGCGGAGGTCGGCTGGTAACCCACCTCTTCCGCTGCTTTGGGATGAGGGTGTCTTCCACTACTTCGAACCCCAGGCGGGAGTAGAAGGCAATAGCTTCGTCGTAGTCGCGCACGAGGAGGGAGATGTGGGCCAGGTATAGCGTGGCGAGGATTTTGCTGCACGGAACAATGGTTCGCCCGTCTTATCACACCGCTCCATCCCGTCTGCATGGGTGGTGATCAGACGTTTGGTGCAGGGCATGACCCATTCAACATTTACGGTTGCCGTGCTGCTGTGGACAGCCTCCAGCAGACAATTTACTGCGTGCTGCTGTCGTCGACTTTGAAAATGGCCTTGGAAAATTTAGCCAACGAGATCTTAGAGCTGATCGCTGCTCACCTCGATGCGGAGCGAGACGTGAACGCGCTTGTGCGGACAGCCCGTCGTCTCTTCGCTGCTCTCAATCCTTACCTCTACCGCCGCAATCACCGACATTCCAATGCTTCAGCACTGGCATGGGCGGCGAGACGTGGCTGTGTTGACACTCTCCGACGAGCCCTGGAAGTGGGCCTCAAAATCAACGAGTCGTTGTTGCTGTCGGTCGCGGCAGAGTATGGACAGGAGGCTGTTGTCAGCTTTCTGATCAGCACAGGACGAGTTGATTCCAAGGTCGCCGAGAGACGTCGCGGTTTCGACGAGCGCACGGCGCTTCATTACGCTGTAGCCGGTGGGCACTTCTCAGTCGCCAAGGCGCTTCTAGCCATTGATGGTGTGGATGTTATGTCGAGAACCCGCTTCAACTGGACTCCGTTGCATGAGGCCGCCAAGGTGGGACACGTCGATCTAGTTAAGATGCTTATCGAGGCTGGTGCAGACTCCGCCGCCAGAAACGCGGCGAAGCGGACACCACTGTTCGAGGCTTGTTCCTCCGGGAGCATTGAGATCGCTAAAATCCTCATGGAGAAAGGAGCAGATGCTAGGAGCAGAGACAAAACGGACAGGGAACCTATCTTGGAGGCGGCGGAAGGTGGACATATCGAGCTCATTAAGCTACTTCTTGAGCATGGCGCCGATGCCACCACCGTGGATTATAACGGCGAGTCAGCATTTTCCTACGCTGTCAGGCACGGCAGCATAGATCTCGCGAACCTCCTGCTGGAGCTTGGGGCCGATCCCACCGCCACCTTGCAAAATGGAGAATTCACACTAGCATTTTGGGCCGCACATGGAGGCCATGTCGAGATGATAAATCTGCTTCTGAAAAACGGAGCGGATGTCAAGGCCCCAAGTGAAGGGGGAAGAACTCCATTACTTGAAGCGTCTCATCGAGGCTTCGTGGAGATTGTGAAGATACTCCTGGAGAATGGAGCGGACATCAACGGGGTTGACCAAGACGGGCGCACTCCAATACTCGAGGCCTGTGCCGGGGGGCGTGTTGAGGTCTTGAGATACCTGCTTGAGCGGGGGGCATGCGCTACCCCAGCACCGGCTAGGAGCGAGCGGGGTGCCGTGACCCCAATACTCGCTGCCGCCTACAGCGGGAGCGTTGACTGTGTGAAGCTCCTCCTACAGATTGGGGAGAAGGCCACAGGTACGAGTGAGCTGGATCGGACACCAATGCACGACGCCGCGAGCTCTGGGAGTGTAGAAGTCCTTAGACTTCTCCGGGACGAAGGTGCAGATATTTCGGCCCGAGGCTGGCTACAATCAACACCATTACTCGAAGCTGCTCGAGCTGGGCAGGGCGGTGCAATAAAGTTCCTCTTGGAAAACGGGGCGAACGCCGCAGATTGCGATACTTTGGGCCGATCGGCGCTGCTAGAAGCTTCAAGATCTGGGGATGCAAGCGCCATAGGGCTCCTCTTGGACAGCGGAGCAGATGTTATAGCAACGGGCAGAGATGGTCGAACACCACTACTCGAAGCTGCGGCATCTGGCAGCTACCATGCGGTAAGACTACTCCTAGACCGCGGAGCAAGCATTAGAGACAAGGATGGAAGAGGTCGAACACCTTTGCACGAAGCCTCGCAATCCCCAAACGCGAGAGTGGTTGAGATTCTCCTGGAGAGCGGAGCAGATGTATCAGCTAGGGACGATTTTGGCATGACACCATTGCTCCTCTCGGGTAGCTGCGGGATCAATGTCCTTAAACTTCTCCTTGACAATGGGGCCGATATTATGGATGAAGACTCGATTGGTCGGACAGCATTATTTCAGGCTGTGAGGAACGGCGGTGAAGAGGCTGCTCTGTTCCTCCTGAACAGGGGATCGAAGGTCACAGTTTCTGATTCGAAAGGATGGACGGCCCTACATCAGGCCGCAAGATTCGGATACTTGAGATTAGTGAAGCAAATGTTGGCGAAAGGCGCCGACATTGAGGCCAGGGACGACCGGGGCTGGACACCAATCTACGGTGCCGTGGTTTCCGGTAACGTGAAGATGATAAGGCTTCTCTTAGATCACGGTCAAGACATCGCGGACAAGTCACAATACGGGCGGACGCTTGCCCACGCCGCTGCCGTAGTTGGCGACATGCCAATTATGCAGCTGCTCCTCTCAAGAGGCGCGGACCTTAGGGTCACTGATGACAGGGGACAGTCGCCACTTGACCTTGCTCTGGAGAATGGACGCGAGGATGTCGCTCAGTTCTTGGTCCACCATCTCCATACTTAACTTGAAGTAGGCAAAAGCAGGCCTCGGAATTCTCACAGAACTTTCAGCCATACGTCCCCTTCTCGCCATTAAGAGTCGTCACCAGACTGGTCGGTCTGTGTTATCTTCAGGTGGAAAGGCTACCTGAGTGGACAGTATGATTGTCCTGTCCTTCAAAGAAGAAGCCACACCAGATGTAAATCTGTAGCCTTGTCGGAAGGTTGTTCCCGACAATGCTATTGAATCACATAAGCCAAATAGAGAGGATGTTTTTTTGAAGGGAAAAGAAATTGGGATCGGTTTGCAAGATCCAGCAGCATACCAGGTGCGCTCCGCCGTGACTGACTTCTGTTAAAGCGGTATATATGTCGTATCTCAGAATACAATTTGAAAATTGTAGAACCGGGTTTTTGAAATAAACCCCGACTTATTGTTATCTACTGGACTTGGCCCATTTCCCGCCGTTGAGACGAAGTTGTCACGGGTAGCGTCCGCTTGAAAGCTCGATGACGATTCCTCCCCGGCCTTTCGATCGTGGAAAACCCCCACCATGACCGTGATAGTATTCGGAGCCGACGCGGCGGAAGAGAATGGAAATGTCACAAAAGAGAGACAGTCGACCGAGCTCGCGATGGTTGGACAGAGACCAAAAATACATCTAACAACGGTAGTACGTGACGGTACGTGGAAGCCGAATCAGCAAGGAGAGAAGTCATTTAGATTTTACAATGAAATCAACCATCGGTTTAGAATTCGCCAATCCCATGTGGATTAGTTTATGTCGATCCGAATACCTTTCCACCACTCGTTGAACTTCCTCCGTCGGGGTTTTACCAAGACGTTTCACCTATTATCGTTCAAACCCCCCTTTCTATCCTGGTTTTGTTAGAGCGACCTACCAGGTTTCTCCTCGTAGCCGCCGGCCTCCACCCACCTACAAAACGAGACTGAGAGCACGATCGGCGGCAATCACCATCTGAACGTAAGTCTACCGACTCGCCGGTACAGTGGCACGGCATCCAGCGGGGCCTTCGAACGTTGTTTGACATTCGTGTTTTTCACAATTCGGGACAGGCAGAAAGGGATTTTAGACAGCTAACGGGCGTTCTACCGCCAGCCAGAGACTTCTTTAACGTGTATCTGACCGCCCAGACATCGTCCGAGGGATTTGGGCTGGTCTGTTGTCTGTAACTGGCTGGCGGATTTTCCGCGGACGCTTCAATATCTGTTGGTGAGCCCGCCTAGAGTAACATGTCAACTCATCGCAGCTACTCCTACTTCTTCATCTCTCTTCCCGCTCTTCCCTGTCAACGACTTAAGTACCGCTGCCGTTGTATGTAATAGACGTGGGACTGATAAAAGTCAGTGACGACAGCAGCCGAAACCAACCGCGGACGTCCAACGCTAGGAATGCCGGCCAACAAACACCCCCTTTCTAATTACTAGACCAGAAAGCCCAGGCAAAGAAGATCGAAGCTACGGTCATGGTGCCAGAGAATGACGCGAAAAGTATGACCAGGTTCGGATTATGGGCCGCGGGAGAGATGGCAAGCCCCAGAAGAGAGGCGACGGCTAAAGTGAGCATACTCCAAGGCCCAGCAAATTAGTACGCTACATTCAGCAGGAACTGGTCGCGATATGGAAAAAAGAAGGAAGAGGAAATTGGGCTCTACTCACGTTACGGCTTGCAAAGTAGACTTCATGTGCGGCGCTGCCTTATTATAAGCGTATTCCGACCCAGACACGGACCACAGCACTTCGCCGATAGCGCCTACTATATGGACGGGTATTTGTAGTAAGAAGCTCGCCTGATTTGGGATCTTTCCGTTGTTGGAAGCCGGGCACTCGAGCGGCCTATCGTAGCAAGGCGCCGCATTGTAGACAATTTGCTGAACCCCGGCAGCTATAGCCATGGATACGGCGATAAGGGCAAAACCAAGTGTCATTCTCACAGTTGGCCGGGGATCCAACTTTGCCTTGTGCATGTATGGGTAAACGCAACGTTCAAAGAGGGGTACCACCACCAGCACAAAGATGGGGTTCAGACTGGACACGGCGTCGTTCGGTATGCCGTAGGTAATCATCTGGCCGGACTGAGAGACCAAATTGGTCTGGTTCTGCTCGTAACATAACCAGACGATAGGGTAAATAGCCCTGGTAGGTATTTTAGTCACACGTTTCCACGCATTGTTGGGCGACACGGTGTCGATTCTTACCACACCTTACAAGCTTGCAGTGCTTGGCTGAGATCTTCGACATATTGCTCATCCCAGGGGACAGTCCGGCCATGTTTTTCGAATTGTGACGCGGGCATCGCAGCTTGTAGATTGAAACCCCCCTTAACGGCACAAGATAGAACCCCGAGGAGCTTCGCTCGGAAACTCGCCTCGGGTTTTCGGCGGACTTATCCGACTCGGACGAAGTTTAGTACTCGCAATGATCGGGATATGGCGACGGCGGGGCCTGTTGACGAGTGGGGAGTTGATGGGAGGTAAGAGGGGCTTACAAAATTTCTTGCGTCCCCAGAGTAGTACGATGACACCGACACCAAGAGCGCAGAGGGACATTAAGAAAGATGTCCAAAAGCCCAGATACTTTTCCATCGTAACGCTCGCGAGGCCCGAAAGTGATCCAACATTTGCGCACCAGTAGAAGATGCTGTAAACGCGCCTTATCGTCAAGTCTGGGTCTAGAATCACACGTTCACCCGACTTCAGTATCGCAACACGTTTTTCGCTTGACTGAACTTGGTCAGCTATGAGATGGTCAGTTGCTGTTAATGAGCGATGCTAGCCGGACTATGATTGGGAAGTGAGGCCGGAGCTTGGGGATAGGAGCTAGCAGACGGTGAAATTACCTGTAAAAGGTGCGACGCTGGATTTCACTCCTCCGACTCCAAGACCTATAAGAGCAAAGGCTCCAATGAGCCCACCCAAACCAGCGCCTGCCTCTAAGGCAGGCGGGGTCGACGTCAGAGCTAGCAATAAGATGCCAGCTAAGTATATACTACCAGCCAGAGTTAGGCAATCATCCCCGGCTGGCGCACTGCAAATCTCCAGGATAGCCTTACCCACATGACACCAAAAGCGTTTTGTAGGGCCCCCAATGGCCGTCTGCTAATATACCGGCGAATAGCGGAGTTGTGAAGCTCACCAGTCGCAGAAAAGAATTGAGAGCAGTAGCCGACGACTGGCCCATCCCCAAGGCGCCTGGCCGGCCAAAGTCCTTGGCAGGGTTTTGAATATAGTTTTCTATCGTTCACGGGTTAAGTCGCTGACATACCAATTATACAGTTTCAATGCTCAGAGGAAGGCCGGGGAAGAAAGGGCAGGGAGACGAGGAATGGCGGCGCCTACGTAATGGTGCTTGCAGGGCATAGTATGCGAACCTCTCGAATCCCGAGAAACAGGCAACCATCCATGCCTCAGCAGAGACTTTAGCGGCGACATGTCGTAGGTTCACAAGGTCCTCCGGGGATGGACTATCTACATGTGAGGAAACAGATCTAATTGGGTTTTTCTGCAGCGGTTGTGGCGAGATTGGCTCGTCGTCACCGGACGAGACAATGCCTTTTTCTGGTGGCTCGCCCATGGCGATTGGTGGCGGGGCAGGAAGTACCGTATTATGTTTGTCCGACCTAGACTCAGCTAAAAAATGAAGGGTGGGAGCTTAGGAGCCGTGGACAAGAGAAGATGAATTCCATGCCAGAAAAAAAAAGAAAAAAAAAAGAGACTCCAAGGCGGCCGCTGGAGGGGGTTTAAGGTGATGTTTTGGTTACTCATTACATGTTGGGCTCACGGGAATACGAAGAGGCCATTTTGTGATGGACCTGCCATTCACTACCACCTTCTAATCCTGTCTCTCCTCCCTGCCATCTGTGGGTGGTGTCTACAACATATTGCTGCGGGTTGCGCCTTGTTTTAACCTCTTTGGATTCCCCCGCAATCCCCGAGTCTCACCGCTTGTCCGTCAGGGTGTTCGTTCCGCACTCTGTAGACGTGGATATAGTGTATATTCTGTCTTTCTTTAAGTCTAATATCATCATAACCCTCGGCAGACGAGAGACACTTGTAGTTACGGCAAACCTCCCCTATTTGTAAAACAGCCACCCTTGCATCAAGGGGGGGATGAGCAATCTGATGTCCATATGAGGAGCGCACTATAATAACAGGAAATTCGAAGGTACGGACGCGCAGGCTTATCTACAACTGTGACAAGTCTTCCGGAGTATCATTACCTCTTCCAGAATAGTGCTCGGACATTTAGTGTGCGAAAACCTTCTCATAACTTGCGCAGGCAAGCTGACCCTGTGTCACTAGGCCGGGACTTTCCGCGCAATGTTACGCAACAAGCAGAGTATCCTCTAGTGTGGGGTTGAGACTGCACCGCATTAAATTTAGTAGGTTTTTAACCTCACTTGACAGCAACACTCCGGTTGCAGTTCCGGCCGTAAGACGCGTGGGGCGAGATGCTTCACGTCATGATAGATGCTTCCTCTGATGCCGGATATTGGCTAGGTTCATCGTCGTACTTCTTTGCTTTGGGTTTATCAGTATCTCTGCTATATAAACCGCCATCATCTTACTCTTATAATTATCATATAAATCATGTGTCAAAGTTGATGGCAACATACCTAAGATATGCCTGTGCCTCATCGCGCATTTCTCTACGGAGCTCAATGAGCCTCGAGCTCAGGACGTCTCCACCTACAGCAGCAGCATCTAGCTTTCCAGATTTTCTCCATTTACAGCACGTCTCGCTAGGCACTTCTATTAGTGTCTCTATCCACGCCGGTGTCCTAACCTCTGCTAGGTTTCTATTAACGGACCCCAGTATTCCTTCTGTTTCTGGAGGAGGGTAGCCAGGTGGGCGACTAATGCAGGATACAGAAAGAAAAAGATTAAATTCGACCGTGCTATTGATTTGTAGTGAGCCGACGAAAAGAAAGAAAGAAAAAAAAAAAAACTGCAAAAAGCGAGGGTAGCTCGCGTTGAACGCTCGCATCCTACGAAAACAGTCCGGGGCGGTTTTCTAGCTTTGTGAGCGCTTGGGTTGGCTAGACCACATCGCATTGGCAAGTGCTTGAGCTGCTCGGCTGGTAATTTGCCACCTTAACCTCCCTTATATAGTACACGAGCTGGCGTTCTACGGCGGTGGGAGCTGGGAAGGAGAGGGAGGAGAAAGGAGTCAGGTTCCTTCCTTCCTTGCGAGGGGGAGTCTCGACGCTGGTTGAACATGCAAATCGCCTCTGATGTCTCTGCTGCCACCCATGAACTCGATCTCCCCGGGGATATCGTCGAGGTCATTCCGAGTCAGGTCACCATCTTTGCTCATCGGATTTCCACGCTTTACGCTGTCCAGGGATACCAATTCTGCGGCGAGTGCACAACGGAGTGATAATATTTCGTGCGTGGCACATCTGTGAACACGTTCGCCACAAGAGGTTCAGGGTTTCTAGGTTGCCAAGGGCAATCGAGGAGTAAAGCAAGATTGAACACATTGAACACACAGGGAAGGCTGAAGCTCATGGCCTTGCCAGTCTCTCTCACAATTTTTCGTCGTCCATCACCTAACATTTTATACTTTCTTTTATTTCATCAAGTTCTCGCCAAGATTTGAGAGCGAATACAAAATCATATAGAAGAATTACTCAAGGCACGCCTCTTCTCGATGATTGAAATAGAAACACGTACCATTACGCCGAAACCATTTAAACCGAAGCTTCCGATTCATCCTCCCCATTCCAGTCATCACTCTCAAGACCTTTCCCATCGATACCATAAGTCGTAAACCAGCCCAGCAAAGAAATACCGCCAAACAAACCCCAAGCTAGCACCTCGCCCTTGGGTTGTACTCGGGACGAAAGGGAAAAGACAGATCCGGCAAGAAAGGGGCCAATACTACGGCCAGCAGCAGAAATGGTCTGCGCAATCCCATTCAATGTACCGAGACTCGAGTATGACATGGCCGAGTTTGTGATCTAAGGATCTCCTTTAAGTCATGGCGATCTAGGAATTGGGGGTGGGGTGAGTCGAACTTACCAGAAGCATCACACACGACAGGCCGCCGACGGCGCTGATAGTCTTGATAATGAGAACACCGCCCAGCTCAGCATATAGCCATTGCCTTCCTGTTCCGAAGTGGAAGGGCGGGTCGGAATTGATATGACCGGTCCATGGTATCAATCCCATGCTAACAGCGAGCCCTAAAAGGGCAACACGGTAAAGACCAAGATTACCCAGGCGGGCTTTGATGGGTTGGAAAAGGAGCAGCTGGAACACGATTGTGACGATGCCAGACACGCTCAGAGTCACTCCAATAGTGGCCGGATCAAGGTCACGACCAGTAGGAGCGGGAGCGGCGGCGAATATTGGGTAAAGGGCGTTGAAGGATATGTTTGAAAATTGGTAAATGAGGTATGAGACGAGGAGCGAGATGGTGGACCGATTGAAAATCTCGCGAAATGTGTCGCTCCACGACAGATATCGCGTACTCTCCTCGACCTCATCGCGCTGCGAGTCATGGTCATCTGCATCATGCCTGTCTTCTCCGCCGTCATCAGGGCGGTCTGCCGAAGAGCTGAGTAGGTTTCGAGCTTCCACGCGGATTTTATTGGGTGGCGCGAACCAAGTCCATGGCGAGGAAGAGTTTGATTGCTCACGACGCTGCTGGAAACGCTTCCGGAGAGCACTGAAATCGAAATGGAATCCAGACCTATCCTGGAAGGACTCCTCAAGCCAGATGCCGAGGATGATGGCGGTCGCAACAAGGATTACAGTCGAAATGAGGTTAGGAGCCAGAAACGGATACTCGTCCCCCATTACCCCAACTAACAGTCCTCCAAGGGCCGGGCCTGAGATGCTGCCAACGGAGTATATGATCGGCAGCCAAGTGAAGGCGATGCTTTGATTCGACCGATCAGTGAGATCGCCCAGCGCAGTCGGGACAACAGCCGCGTTCCCGTTCAGCAATCCCATGGCAACGTGCACGACCACGACTTGCCAATAAGTCTTGCAAAATCCGAACAGGGCAAAGCATGCTGCCAGGAGCGAAGTGCCAAGTACAAGAACAGGCTTCCTGCCAATTTGATCCGAGAGATAACCCCAAAGGAAATTTGTCGACAATTGGGCAAGGGCGAATGCGGACGCGACAATTCCGACATAAAAACCGACCTGCTCCGGCGGTATCTCGGGGAAGCTAAGGATCATGGACGGTAGGTAGGGAGAAATGGAGTTGAGCGCCGTCTGCTCGGCAAAGGAGAGCAGGGCGAGCAGGGAGAGTTCTCGGATAGGGAGGGGTGATTGGCCCGGGCGTAAAGCTCCCTCTTCTCGGCCGGCTGAATCGCCGGCGGCGGCGGCGGGCGGGGTAGGAAAGGTCTGGTATTGGGAGGGCGGCGGGCGTCGAAACCGTCTTCCACGAGGCACTGAATCAAAGAACCCTGTGGTTGTGATCGGAGCGCCCGCATGTAGAGAGGCCGATGTCCGGGTGCGTCCACTCGACGAAAGGGCGCCGCTAAGAGGTGGTCGAACCATGGTGAAGTGAAGTGCTGGCGATCACGGCGCAATTAGCAGTCTGGCGTGGAAGTGTTGGCTTGACGAAACGGTTGGGGAACGAGCTCTTCCTCTTTGGTGAATAACTAGCTGGTCGCGAGGCTCAGCATTCTCATCCTCCGGGTTTCTATGGTCGATGATAGCCACAGGAAAAACGAAGGGGGAAAAGGAAAAGAAGAAAAGAGCAGAGGGAACAAATGGTGTCCCCAACACGCCGTCAGCTTGATTGTGGGATCACGAATCGTCGGCTGTTTTGGTGGGGCGGCTGTGACGTAACGGAAGGTGCTGATGCATCAATTGATCTTTGATTGCCGTATTTCGTACTCACACCCGTGTGTTGTTTGTTTTTGGCAGCTGCCACCAGGTCCGACTCATAGCACTGAACTGACATGTGCCAAAAAAAAGGGAAGAAGCAAGGCACAGGACTTCTTAGTTCACCGCGCGAAGCGACCCACCTTCTTTCTGCCACCTGCCATCGAGGTAAACAACTGGCAGAGACGGTCCAGGCGATTCGCCCATTCGGGTCCCCTCAACTTCACTGAAATTTCGATTTTGGGCTGATTCCTGCCAACACGGGAGGGATTGAGCCGCGTTCTGGAATAATGATCGGGAACCTGCTGGTAGGCCGGAGAAGGCAATGGAACAGAGAGGCTTGTTTTGGCAGATTCCAAAGTGTCACAGAGAGACGAGAAGAAAACTGTTTGTGATTGCGGCCCATGCGGATACGGGTACCTCCCCAGCTCTCGCTTCGTGAGGATGTCCAACCCTATCATGGCCTGAACGCCTGAGATCGGACGCATGATTGGTGGTATTCACTTTCCATTCAAACTGACTTTTCACTTTCAAAGATCGGTCTTACCCGTGAGAGAGGGCATCAAGATCACATCAGATTCACCAGCGTGTTCATCAGAGTCATAACCGACTCAAACGGCAGCCAACATGCCAATGATTGATAATGCCATCCCCTCCGTGAGCAGTATCTCCCGGAGCCGCTACGAAGTAAACGACACCGAATAAATACACCTGTGGATGTTGACGGGAGGAGTGGAGCCGCAAGGCAGCATCTGTGGAGTAAGCTGGATTTAATGTACGATTTACGAGGATGCCCATCGACTCCCCTTGGTTCGTCGTGCGTTATATTCCCTCCTCGACTGGTACATGCACGCCCTGGACAGCAAGAGATCATGGCTGAATATGCAATCACACGCACTTCCACTCCCTCAGGCTTCTCCATCGCCAACACCGACCTGCTTCACTTTTGCCTTGCATGGCGTCGACTAATGCACGTGTTCGGCGAATGCAAATGGAGCTTCCCGGCCTTGCCACCGCTGCCCTCCCTATACGCTTTGTGCGCCTTGAGATCAAGGTTCTAATATTGATGGCTTGCCGAAGGACCTTCGTAAAGGTACAATCATCAAACGGGAATAGACAAAAAAAAACGAAGGAAAATATGCGTTCGTGCAAGCCAAACAGACGTGGCCAGTCAGCCAGCGATGCCAGATTGGCCCAACCCTCACGCACCGCACCCCTCTAACCTCGGGTAGAACTGGACACCATTTGATCAAAGTCCAATCCGTTCCTGAGCTCGTATCTTGACCACACCGCCCATCAAGAGGGGGCAGCGAACGAGAAAGGAAAGTCTAAGAACGAGATTTCTGATGGTCAATCGAACGGGTCCAGTAATTACAGTCGAAATTTAGAATAGAATCCACCATTCACTCCATTAGCTACTAGAAGGGAGTGTAATTGACGAACCACTCTCTGCCTGCCTGCACCCGCTCTCCGTTCCAAAACCCCGGGCCCATCAAACAACTGCTCCGTATAATGATTGATCGATATTAATCCAGCCCGCAGCAGTAGCTTAAGTCCAACCTCGAGTCGGAAACAGGCATCTCCGGATCTTTGGCTAGACGTCGTCAGCAACACTCAGCATTGGATCCGTGCCCCCTGGTTCCTTCGCCCTCCTGATGCCCAACTTGCCCAGCCCCTGGCTGCCCATTGACGATTGACGCTCGATCCCTCGGCCCAATCCCGATCAATTGCTGTCTCATAGGTGCAGCTCGCCGCTAAACATGGAATAAAAATATTCACGAATTATTCCTAACTGGGATCCCGCTCCGCTGTGATAGGTCAACCCGCCCCAACATTCCAATCAGGCGCTTGGATCTAACGATGCCAACGATGCCCAACGTTGGCCAACTCAGCATGGCAGGACAAGGACGATGAGCAACGCCTCACACGACAACTTCTTTCCCCGTCCACTAAACAGACGCAATTTTCTGCCGGTTTTGTCATCCCCATTGCAGGCAGACAGGCTTTTTTTTGTCACTTTCTTCATTTTTGCGCTACGCCTCTTTCGTGAGTCACTATATCGTTTGATGCGGCTCGCCCTGCTCCTCGACCCGGACCGGGCCATGAAGGCTCGAATTATTGGCCTCCTCCACGCCTTATAATAATAACATTGATCAGGTGCCGCCCTACTGCCAACTTGCATACCCTTTTCTCCTCCCAACACACGCTTGCTCTGCATAACGCTGTCTTTGGCATTACATACACATCGTGATCTCTTTTTTGAACAAAAACCATTGCACCCCATGTTGCCTCTAGTCTTCGACACTCCACATTTCCTTGCAGATCAAGATCAGTTGACCAGAGAGCCACTACTACGAATCGGATATAACATCGACTACCCCCGGACAGGTACAACACCAACAGTTCCTGGACAAGAACCTTGCTCGACTACCATCACCATTCCTTTCCGGCCTCGGCCACAACCACCATCCCGACAAGAGCAGCAACAACAATCCATCATCTCGCCTGTTGGTGAACAGGAGAATCGACAAGATGATGCTCGCACCCAGAAGAGAAGATGAGCTCGCTCTGAGCAACGAGAGGATGCGTAACCGCATGTCTCGCTCCGTACCACGGCCACCCGCTCCTCTCTCCGCCGTTACCGAACGAACCGAACGATCGTCAGAGGGTACTACCTCGGAATCAGTGCCGAGCTTGCCTCGCAGGCTACCGCCCATCAACCCCAGGAAGCCCAATTTGAAAGAGAGGCTAGTACGCCGGCCGAGTTTCTCGGGCCAGGGCCGTCCTGCCCTCTCAGCACCGCCGATGAGCTCCCGCCCTCCGCAGCCACCAATGCCCCTCATGCACAAACCACCTCACCGCCAGCAAGATCCACCAAGGCGACCTGCGAAACCCCACCACCTGAGCTCCAGGCGATCTGTTTCTTCAATGGTCACGCACCACCCCGACGACGATAATTATTCCAACCCGGAGACTGAATCCGAATACAGCTCCGGCCTCTCCAACCTCTCCGCTGAGACACAGGCCACCTCCGTCCTCTCAAGTGAAGCTCCGACAATTAAGCCCGCTTACACCGAAAAGCGAATTATCCACATAAAGCCCGGCACGCTCAAGAACAGCCCGCTGCACGCAAAACAGGGTAGTCGGAGCCGCGTAGCCAACACGCCAGCGCCACGCCGGACCATCCACATCGAAGTCGAGTCTGACAAGCAGCCAAAGTCTAAGACTCCGCCGCCCCCACCACCACCACAGCCGAAATATCGAGAGGCTATCGAGCACTACAAGGAGGAAATTGGAAGATTGAAGCGGGAGGCGAGGGAGCTTCAAGAACGCCAGACCACCTCTGAGCGAGGGCTTGAGGATGCTCTTGACAGACTGTCACTCGTGACCCTGGAACGGGAGGAGGTTCGCCGGTCTCACGAGGAAGGGAAGCGATCTCGAGAGAGTCTCCGCCAGGAGATTGATGAACAAGTAAAGACTATTCATGGCCTCAAGGCTCGGTTAGATGATAGGGAGGAGACTTTAGAAACCCTCAAGGCTCGGTTGGAAGACAGGGAGCAGACACTAGACAGCCTGAACGTTCGATTGGAGGACAAGGAGCAAGCCCTCGACGATCTCAAGGCTCGGCTCGAAGACATGCAAGACAGAGAGCAAACCCTCGATGGCCTCAAGGCTCGACTCGACGACAGAAACCAGACCGTGGAGGACCTTAACGCGCGGCTTGAAGATAGAGAGCAAGCCCTAGATGATCTTGAGGCCCGACTGGAGGACAGGGAACAGGCCCTCGATGCCTTGAAGAGGAAGCTCGATGGGAGGACCAAGTCCGTGGACGAGCTCAGGGCAGAAATCGAGGAGCAGAAGAAGAACATCGACCACCTTCAGGCAACCCTCGCAGGACAGGACAAGGCCGTTGAAGCTCTTGGCATCGACAGGGAAAACGCCATCAAGGACAGGGAACTCATCCTCAAGGAGCGTGAGGACTTGGTCAAGGACTTCGAAGAGCTAAAGAAAGAGAAGGAAGAACTATCCCAGGGCAAGGAAAAGATCGTGCTGGAGATGGAGGTCCTCGCCAACGAAAACGAAGAGCTTAGGACTGGGAAGATTGAACTCGAGGTCAAGTGCGAGGAGCTGCAAAAGGAGATCGACACCCGTCTTGCCGTCCGCACCGAGCAGGAGAAGATGCTTATTGAGCGCGTCGCCGCCCAGCAAATTGTCAATGAGAGCTTGGATAGTCAAGTGGATAGCCTCACTTCCGAGGTTGTGACAGCCGAGGGTGAGATTGCTCGCTTAAAGGAGGCTGCTGCTGCTCTCGAAGAACAACTTGAAAAGGAATCTGCTCGTGTCAAAGCCCTCGAAGAAGAGAAGGGCACTCTGCAAGAGGAGGCTGCCGCTGCTCTGGAAGAACAACTCGAGAAGGAGTCCGCTCGCATTAAGGCCCTCGAAGACGAGAAGGGTGCTCTGCAAAAGGAGAAGGATGAGCTCGAGGACAAAAAAGCAGGGCTCCAGGGCGGAAAGGATGCGCTTGAAGCTCGCGTTGGTGAGCTCGACGCGGAGATTGCCGAATTGAAGGCCAAGGTTGAGGGTTTCGAAGAAGAAAAGGCGAACTTGCAGAACCTTATCTCTGTCATTGCCAATGAGCGCGACGAATTGAAGACGAAGACCACGGAACAGGACGACGAACTCACAACCCTACGCGAAAGCCAGACTTCATCCCAGGCTGACCTGGAGAAGCTCCGAGAAGAGAATAGCACGCTGCAATCCGACATCACCGCTGCACGTGAAGCTACGGCTGCCGCTGTCGCCGCTGCTGCTGCTGCCGAGGCTGCTGCTGCGGCGGCCGCGGCTACCCCCGAACCCGCGCCTGAACCTGAGCCAGAAGCACCCGCTGCACCCGACACTGCGGAGCTTGAAAAGCTCCAGACCGAAAACGGAGATCTTCAAAAAGACAACGGCGAGCTCAAGGAGAAGAACGAGGAGCTCACCGGTCAAGTCGGCAAGCTAACCGGCGAGGTCGACCAGCTCACTGGCCAAGTTGATCAGCTCACCGGTGACGTAACCAAGCTTACTAGTGAAGTGGGCACACTTACTGAGGAAGTCGGCAAGCTCACGGGCGAAGTGACGAAACTCACCGGCGAAGTTGAAGAAAAGTCCAAGCAGCTCGACGAAGCCACCGCCAAGCTCGAGGGAGAGACCGCCAGGGCCGAGCAACTGCAGACCGAAAATGCGGGCCTCTCGGTTCAGTTGGCCGATGTGACCCAGAAACTTGGAGATTCTCAGACTGCCCACCAAGCGGACGTCGCGAACTTGCGCGTCCAGGTTAGTAAACTCCAGAGTCGGAGTAGTCGGGCCCCGTCGCGGAGCTCGAGGAGCGGATCGCCCAAGAAGGGCAGGGGAAAGCTTGGGGAATTGGTTGTTGTTCGGAATCCCCAGGACCGATCTCAATTGTAAGTTGAACCCTACGTTGTCTTTGCTGATAACCGCTTGGAGCTGCCGCGCTAACTAGAGTTTGATATTAGGCAAGTCATGAGAAAATCAGATCTCAAGTCGAGTACATCTTCACAGGCCTCTGATAATGACGATTAAACGAACGGAGTCCTGGCTCATCTATTAACACCTATACATCATTTTACTACACCTTCGCCCATTCATTCGAGGGAACAGTCAGTCGCTATAGAGTATTTTCCTTTGTCACAAATTTTTCCTATTTTCTTTTTTCTTTGTCCGCTTGTTCTTCTACCTGTCATGTTGGATTTGTATGTTTGTACACGATTTGTCTGTCTATAAGTATCACGGAAGTGCCTGTATCGGATTTTGTTTGTTTTTTGAGCGATAAACTGGGTAACGGAAAAGTTAGATATCGGAGGTGCCTGTTTTCTTTTCACATTTTTCTTTTGTCGCTCTCATGTTTTGGCACACCATGTATACAACCCCGAGATGTACAAGTATTTGTAACATGTCTGGGATTGAGTTTTGTAGATTGCTGGTCTCGGGACCACATATGACGGAAGATATCAGGGTTTTACATGTCTTTGGATTTTTGTTATATTTGAGTCACATATCTATTAATCCATTTAATTCTCCTTCGTTTGGTACCCTCTTCGAACTTCTTGGTGGAAACGAGCCACGGCCGAGGACTGTTGGTCCGCCAGAGCCCGGAGACTGCCGGCTTCCCTGTAGCGATGATACTCCCGTGATATGATACAAGAATATAGCAGATGGAAGGCTGTAAGAAAACGAGGATTAATCAACTGTTCAAGGCTAGGTTCCAGGTGCTCACGGTCGTTTGTAAGGATCTTCTCGCACTTTACCTCGACACCTTTTCACCACGGTAATTCCGACTCCTCTCATCACCTAGTTTAATTTTTCTTCCGTGACAGCGTCAAACTCAGCTGAACTTCGAAGCGTTCCTCCATCAAGTGGCATGCCGGTCCTGATCCATATTTCCTTTCATCCATATTTCCATTCTGTAGATCTTTTTCTCTCTTCGGTGTTTGACCTCGAACTGACATTGGATGTGGGCGTCTCTTCCAGCAAGGATTCACCCAGTGTAAAGGAACGACTACTAGAGAGGGTTCCATATCATGCGGCGCACCTCAGCTCCTGGGCGCAGATGATTGCTTCAAGGTGAAAGATTAAAGGCAATGGTTCAGGCACTTTGGCTATTAGCTACAATGAGGTATCCATGTGATTTTCCCTCGTTTGATGCGGTTGGCGTAGGTAGGTAAGGGAATGGGTCGTCGATCGCTCGCTACGCTCAAGAAGGTATTAATATCATATGGAATTGGGGTCTAGTTGTTAGAAAACTGAGTTCAAGATTTCATAAGGGTTAGTTAAGAAACTCGCGCCTTATTACGTTGCAATAGCTATGTAGCTAAAACCTCTTGAATGCTAAACGCAGCCCAAGATTTAAAGCGCAAGACAGGTACAGACGCCGCCCTATGTAAAGATGCCAGCTGAAGACTACGAGGTTGGGTGATGATCATTTCACAGTGGAAATGGCAAAACCCGAAAAACAAAGCCAGTCTATTGAAATTTCAATGTTCAACTCCTCCCTTCAGCGACATTATTATCTCACAAAGTAAATCCCGACATAAGCTAAATTCCGCCTTCAACCGTAGAATTACCAACTCCCGCCCAAGTTCTCCTTCATTACAGCACCTCGCGGCATTGTTGACGCTCCCATGAAACACCGACTCCGTGAAAAACGAGACCTGAGGAAACAGCTTGAAATTAAAACGCAAATGCCCAATGACGAATCGCAATGCCTGTGCCCCAAAAACCCGACAGACCGCCATGTAGAGAAAATTAGCCGTGGGGAAGACGCGCGGCATGCCTCTTCTGTTTCTCATCACCTCCTAGCACCACCTCGGGGATGCGGCCCAGTGTCTCAGCATGGTGGTGATGGCGCGGTCCCACTCGTACTCGAAACACGCAGCGAGTTGCCGTATCTCTTCTTCGGTCGGTTCCATATCTCCCCACATCTCTGGCTTGGCTGCCTCTATAGAGGCGAAAGTAGCCACGAGATCGCTATTATCCCTTACGGTCAGCATAGCTCATAGATTTCATATATCGGTTCATCAAAACGTAACACGGGAAAAGAGCGACTCACTCTCCAATCATTTTCCTCAGAAGTAGCCAGGCCAAGTTCCAACTCCGGTTCGACGATGGATCACTGCGGACCCTCACCTCGGCGGCATAGATAATGTCAGCGCAGATGGGATAGTCGCGCGTAAGGCCACGAAGCTCGGTGAGGAACTGGTTGCTTGAAACGTAATAGTCCCAGGCTGCGGTCATGGGGCCCTGAAAAGCGCGGGCGTCTTCTTCGTTGTCACAAGCTGCGGCGAAACGCTCGATGCGGCAGAGCTCCGTTAAGGTGTTTACACGGTGCGTTTCAAGCGATTCGATGAGTTTGCGTACAGTTTTCTGAAAGAACATGAAAATAACGTTAGCTCCGCTTACTTTCCTTCAGATCCCTTGGCGCCTAACTCTGTCATATCAAGATAAAACCCGATGATATACCAATGTCGCAGTTACAATATCAGGAATGAAAAAAAAAAAAAAAAGAAGAAGAAGAAGAAGAAGAAGATAGGTTCACTCACGTGCGTTCCCTTCGAATGTTTCGAGCCCTCACTCCCCTTGCTGGAGCCACTGCCCGACCCTCGACTGCTACCCCTCGAAGACATGATGCTAAACCACGGTCTAGATGGAGCAGGTGCAAACGGCAAATCCCACGGTAATTCCCAAGGCAATTCCCACAACCCGTTCGAAATAGCTGCAAAGGGCGGTTGAGAAACTGGAGGGCCTGTTGAGATTGGATATATCTTTGTTCTGTTCCACGCCGCCATAGCGGAGGCCAAATTTTGAGTCGCCATGGTGCCGGTGTTGTGACTTTTATATCTCTTTTCTTTCGCCTTCCCTTCGATAGAAATGCTTTCAAGATGACACGAGAATCGATGAAGGCAGATGATTAAGTCCTACGGATGGAATGCAGGAATCAACCCCCCGGCGCCTCACAAGTTCAGCCGCACAAGACAAGGGTTCTCCGGACCGGGTGGTTTTCCGTAAACGGGAAACAGCAGAGTTAGAAAGGAGAAAAGAAAACAACAAATCAGATGGTAGGATGGGCTTTTTGCTGCGCTAAGGGAGCACGAGAGCACCAGACGATTGACGATGCCTGGGGGCGAAGGAAGATGCACGCGCCACGGGCCGCGGAAGCGTGAGCAACTACCGGGAATAGAAGCACGATGCGCTTCTGTGTGACATCGTATGTCCTGCCAATCACAACTGTAAGCTCGCGAGCAGAGAGAAGCAAGGATGTTTTTGGGGCACATACACAAGGATTAGGACTACGTTAGCTTTGGAATGATTATAATCCAATGTGGCTAGACTGTGTCAGGAAATACGGAGAAGGAAGAGAGGGAACGGAGCAAGTGTGGTTTGACCACTGCTGCGGCGCGGGGGGGCTTAGGCTTTAAAACCTGGGAAAAACAAAAGCCCTGGGGGCGGGAATTCCCCCGCCCGTTTTTGGTGGTGAGAGACCGAATCACACGTTCTGAAAAGGATGCTGAGCGGAATGCGGAAACAAAAGGCTGCCAATTACAGGACAGGAAAGCAGAAAGCTGGGGAAGTACTGCTGGTGTCCCCTGCTAAAGGAGACGAAGCAGCAAGCAGCTAGGAAACACCTCAGCACGGCTCAAATCTAGGCCGACCTGGTTGTTCAGATAATTCAGACTCTAACTAAATGCAGACGAAGGATATCACGTCTCTAGTTCTAAAAGTATAATAGTGTGATACGATTAAAAAATCGAGGTGACTTGGGTGGCGGGAGAGACCAAGATGTCTCTGAGCCTACGCAGCTTCTACATTAATGACAGCTTCCCGCCAAGACAAAAACGAGCGGCTGGTGCGGGGCCCTTGGCTTCCGCCAATGTTGACCCTGTAAACTATCCGTCTCCCGGAGAAACTGATTTTTCCCTCACTCCGAGTGGAATTCTATGCTAGAAACAACCTCTTAGGCCCAACTTAAGGTCTACCCTTTCCTTGCGTGGGCGGCTCAGAGCTGCGGGCCCTAAGGTGAGGGGAAGCTCCTTGCAAAGTCGGCCAAACAGTTGATGTGGGGTAAGAGAACGTCGATTGAACCTTTGACCCGGGCAAGGGGTGCAACCGTCTGCGGCTAATATCCTGGTGCTTGACCCAGAGCCGTGAGCATATCACTGGCAATAAGCTGGACGGTCCGAATGTTAGGTCATGTGGGTACGTTTAATGGTAGCAAGAGGCAGCTACACCAATAGTCCTATCGCCTTAATTAATCCTACAGAGATACGCTACTCGGCTGGGAAGCGAGCCATATTACGGGGACACACTTACCAAGCTATGCATACATAGAGGTGTGCTACTAATTGAGTCCCACACAATCCACAGTCATAGACCAGGCAATGTTAATCGGCGTTGGAGAAGGCCATATTCGGATCGAAGTCGTGAGCTGAGGTGTTGTAAAGGGAGGTGCGGCTTTTCGGCCGCCACATGTTGAAGAAGTGTGCGCCACAACAGAATGGCATACAAGCTAGGACTCGATCCTTCCTTGCGCCGCGTCTTGCATTGCTGCGAAAAACCAAGAATGCCTAATAATGTGGCGCTGCCTACCTAGGAATGGGAATGTAGGTCCAAGTTTCTGCAACGTCTCGCCTTAATGTCACTCGACGACGATGGGACAAGGATGTGCACGAAATATATCCCAAGTGCGACGTTCGCATTCCGAGCCGAGAACGAAATTCAAGCATATGCACACACCCAAGATATCTTGGTAATCGCATCATCTAGCAAAGGTTAAAGTCGGTTTCCTGCACAATTCTTACCAATCCGGTACCCACCTCTACGGTCCTCATCCAAAGTATGGCCGAGAAGGTGCGGGGAGAGGCAGCGGTTCGTGGTCGCAGGGTAGATACTAAAACGCACGAAACCTCACACTTTCCTGACTCTCTTTTTGAGAAGGATTTCCTTTGACGGGTCAAAATCCACCAATCACAGCCGGCCGATTTCGGTTCGTGGGGCCATGCGGCAAGGCGCATTGGAAGGATTCGCTCTTAGCCGAACCGGATTTCTGAATTCTGGCATCCGGTTGGGGGCTGGATAAATTTTTGCCTGATCAATTAGGGTGGAACTTCAGGGGTATTCATACTACGGAACTACATACGGAATAGACTACAAGCTGGTCCCCAAGAGTCGCTAGCAGGATCAATGAGGATCCGAGAAGACTCTGGCGGTTGTCCGCGCTTGGTGACTCAGCAAACGCGCGCGCCTAGCCTATCAGCCACGTGTTCCCCCAGCGGAAGATCGGCACTAAAAAGGCCCCAGCCCCCGTAGGGCTGAAACGATCAACCCAGCTGAACTGTTCGGTTCACCCTTGCTGATGACATTTCAGTTATGGAGGAATCACCCAAGCCCCAAAGTAAGCCCCCTTTGTGAAGGATCATTAATGTTCCGATAGGGAATCTTTCGCCCTTGTTTTCTGTTTTCGGTCCTTTGGTCGCTAGACATTGGGGGCCAAGAGCAAGAGGGTAACAGGATCGATATTAGTGACGCGACAATACCAGGTTAGGGGCTTCCAGGATTAACATTTTCTCCGTGGGATGGCGGTTGCGATGAGCAACATCCAGTATTTAGGGGCTTTCGCCGGGTTCCGGTCGGAAAGATAAGCGAGGCAGACACGCTTAGGCTTTAGTCCTGATGCTAGCTGCCTAGCTTCACTGAAGGATTTGGAAAGTGATCATAGATGGGCACAAGCCTTGCCAACACGCCCACCTGCTAGTAGGCTCCAAATAATGGAAGAGTCGCCTTTATGATGTCATACGAAGCCTGCATCATCTAGGGTATGTCCAGAATCCGGAGTCAGCTGAACCACCTTGCTGATTCGCATTTCTCAAGCATGCAGCGCAAGTGACACCTCACGGGGCATCATCGAGATCTAGCACGAAATTTATTCGGCCCTATTGACTGACTAAATTCATTCTCCCTTCTCCCTCCTGGGTCATCTCTTCTGATCTTACATCAATGCGTCCCCTCGCACCCCAAAAGGAAGGGAAAAATAGAATTTCGCCCCAGCCATGCTACCCGTGATACAAGGCAGATTTTCGGGCCACCCAAGAAATCTGGCCCCATAAGCGCCAGTGTCGCTTAAGCAGTAGCAGCAGCAGCAGCAGCAGCAGAGGAGGGGTCAATGCGGGCGGCAGTGGCACGGGTAGCAAAAGTGGTGGGCTCAATTCCAATGCCCTCATCAACGTCGTCGATATAACGCTTGTAGGCCCATTTGCTGCAGTGGGTACCACAGCAAAAATAAGCATTGAAGTTGCCGATGTACAGATCTGGGAGAGAAAAGTCGAACCAAAGTCAGTGGCGGGTTCTTTTCTTTTCCGAGACAATGCAGCGTTTGCGAGGCATGGACCTCCATGAGCTGGATTGGGACTTACTCATATCGATATCCGAGTTGACCCATTCCCCATTGATGCGCCTGCAATTGCATCGCATAACCCACCAGGTATTTTGGTCTGGCGTGAAGCACTGTCTGCAACTATCCGCATAATTACCACTGAGGAGAGGGAAGCAAGCAAGTTAGCGGGGGAGCAAAAAAGGGAAAAGAAGGACATATCAAAAGAGAGAGTGCATCACTGACAACTCCATGCTGACGAGCTGGCCGTCTTTATTGCCGAAGCACTGGTTGAGATCGAGACCTGTCTGCATGATGCCCTTTGAGGATCTGCAAAGAGCCACGCCAATGTGGTTCTCACCCAGGCGCCACGAGCCGCAAGTCTTGGAGAAGTCTTTGTCTTCTCCGGCATTGACGCCGGATAGGGAAGCGAGGATCGCGCCAGCGGCGATGATGGAACTGAAGATGTTGACCAGCATTTTGGGTGCGAAGGACGGCGTGGTCTTGTCGGGTGTTTCCGTCCGGTGTTCTAGTCTGGGTATGAGATTGGAATCTAGGGTTGGTAGAAGACGGCGACGGCTAGGAGATATTTATATGTGCGAGTTGAGTAGCTTCTGAGAGCTATTCGGGTTTTCATTGTGTTCATGGTTTGGAATAGGGTATTTGGAAAAGGGATGAAATGTGGTGGAAGGAATGATGGTACAGGAAGTAATGATTCGACTGAAAAGGATGATTCATGATGTGGAGAAAGCAAATATCTCAGGGTGAGAAAATTAATAGAGTAGTGAATGATTGTAGAATCGAGAATTATAGAGCAAGGAATGTACTCAATAGAGCAAGGGAAAGAAAGTTGGTGGATCAAAGCCGGTTTGGAGGTTAAGGAATGCTGCCGATCAAGGGAGGATGGCGGATCACGGTTCAAACACGATTTAACCCGCTGTGTTTTTATTCATACTCGAGGACTGGCAATTGATGCTCTACGCAGCCATAGCTCGCTTAAAAGATTCAGGTAGATGTCGATCAAAAGTGTCAAAGGGAGAGAAACTGTAGGCATGCGTTCAGTAAACAAGCGTGTCTTGGCCATCTTGTATCACATGAGGCTCTTTGGCCGGAAAATTGCAGAACCGTCCGATGCAAGGCGCCGGTGGATGCATGCGGAAAGCTTGGCAGGTCAGGATCTCCCTTGCATGGCTTGAACCCATTGACTGCCGCATGCAGACCCTTTACCCCAGACGGCAACACGAGTCGCAGGCTCGCGAGTGATAGGTTCGGAGGCAGGGCGGGAATGCCTCCCCCTACGTCATTCCCAGCCTCTCTTTCAAGCGGATCTCGGCCGGTATGGACCGTGAGACCCGCTGTTACCGACAGACCGTTCGGCCCGGGGGTCGCAACGGGCGCTTCATCTTCTTGAGTAATCTGTGGATGTTCGATTAGGTGAGGCGAGTATCAGATCAAAATGCCGACAAAAGAGGTGCCATTCTTAAATCTACAGGTTAGATTCGATATCCAAAAAGGTACCGTGATGATACTATCCTGAATGACGTTTCCCATGTTTATGTATTGAATAATCCTAGCCTAGACTCCAAATTACCGTTGAACCCAAGTATGACCATAGAACCGTTTCAATCTCTTCCACTATCACCATATCCAATTGATCTTTATCCCGTTCTATTCACCCCGCTCACCACGTCCCCGACACTGGCAAATCCCTCGAACTTGCCCCAACCGAAAACTTATACTCCCCTTCAGTAAACATAACCCAATTCTGCCTCTCAACATCCCAGTAGCTCAAATCCCTCCTCCTAACCGCAAACTCAACCGTCTTCGTCTCCCCCTTCTCAAGATACACCTTCTCAAAGCCCCGGAGCACCTTGACGGGGACGTCAACGGCGGTCTGCACGGGGTAAGACAAGTACAGTTGAGCTACCGCCTTGCCACCGACGGGGCCCGTGTTGGTGACGTCAACCTTGACGGTAACGTAAGTCTCCCAGAGGTCGGGGTTGCCGCCCTCATCGCCTCCTGCCTCAGAGAGGGGCTGCTCTACGTCGTAGCCTTCGGGGTAAGGGTACGGTTCCAGCTCGAGATCATCAATGGATTCAACGTAAGGGTAAATGTACTTCTCGAGCCTGCGAATCTCGTCGGGGAAGATGACCTCGTTGGAGTCGGGGATCTTGTCATCGTACCTAGGAGGTTTCGCTCCAGGCTCAGGTCGAGGCGAAGGGAGGGCGGTCTTGGCTTTGACGGGCGAAATGACGACGTTGGCAAACCCAAACGTCGTGTAGGACAACCCGAATCCAAACTCAAATCGTGGCTCGATCCGCTCCTTGTCGAAGTAGCGGTAATCAATGTAGAGGCCGTCTTTAAACTCCTGTTGAGGAACGATGGCGTTGGGGAGGTACATAATCTGACCGCCTTCTCCGTAGTCCTCGAGCGACTTGCCCACCGTGTAGGGAAGCTTGCCGCTGGGGTTCACGTCTCCGAAGATGATATCGGCAAGGGCGTTACCGCTCTCCTGGCCAGGAAGGTTCCCCAAGACGACAGCCCTGACGTTGGGAAGATCAATAAACCGCTCGTAGATGACGGGGCCGACGCTGTGAATGACAACGATCGTCTCTCCATCGCCATTGCCGCACTTTTCGGCGACTTTGTGGATGAGCTTGTCGCCACCCTTTTGCAGGTAGAGGTCGGGGCGGTCTCCCCTGACGCTCTTCCAAGACATGTATCCCTCCCCGGCCGTCGCACTGGCAAAGACAATGCAAATGTCCTGGTCGTCGAGGACGGCAGGGTTCTCGTGGTACTTGAACTTGTTCGACAAGTGTTCGGTGATGACGACCTTGTCTTTGTCGAATTGACGGCGGAGGCCTTCGGCAGGCGTGACGAGGTAGGGAAACTCGACAGCGCCACTGCCCCAGCCGGACCCAAGCGTGCCTTGGTTGCAGCCTCGGTCAGGGCAGTGGTTGGGACCCTTTCCTGGGCCGGCATCCTCTCCAAAGATGGCGATTCGAACTTTGCCACCGTCATCACGCTTCTTTCCGCTAGACCTAGAGCCATCTCGGCCAAGAGGCAGGATTCCATCGTTCTTCAAGAGGATCGTGCCTTCGGCAGCAACCTGCCGTGCCACATCTTTGTGGTCTCCTTGGACGTCAATAAATCGATTGACTTCCACAAGATCCTGATCTGCCGGACTTCCGGGGAACGGAACACCGAACCGGTCATTGGTCCAAGAGGAGAAATTAGGACCTTGCCTATCGAAAAGCGCCTCGTCGTCTTGGCCAAGTTGATACCACGAAGCAACAATGCGGGATACCATGTCGTTCAGCCTCTCAAGCGGGATGGAACCGTTGAGGACGGCTCGACTCAGGTTGGGTCCCCACAACGACTCGCCATCCTCCCATTTGAGTCCATCACCAGGCATGGACATGTCCAAGCCAGACAAGGCACTCGACACGCCCCCCCTCTGCGCCAGCCAATCGGACATGACGAATCCCTGGAAGCCAAACTCATCCTTGAGGATGCCATTGAGAAGCTTCGAGTTCGCGCACCCGTACGAATTGTTGACCTGGTTGTACGAGCACATGACACTGGCCACACCAGCCTTGACGGCATCCGCAAACGGCCACGCGTAAACCTCGTGCATCGTCCGGTCATCGATGTTGCTCGAGATTGCATTCGGGAGCGCCCACTCACGGGCCTGCCGGAAGTGTTCCTGTTCGTTACCGACAAAGTGTTTGATGGTAGCCATGACGCCCTGGGACTGAATGCCACGAATGGTTTCGGCGCCTGCAATGCCTTGAAGGTACGGGTCGGAACCGAACCCTTCCCAGTTCCTGCCACCCGCGGGCATCTTGCCAACGGGGCCAATGCAAGGGCCTAACAGCACGTTGACACCCTTGAGTCGGGCTTCCAAGCCGTGTGCCTTACCCCGCTCGTACATCAATTCCTTGTTCCACGTAGCACCCACGGTAATCCCGGCCGGGAAGGCCGTCGCATTATCGGCGAAGCGGATACCCAACGGGCCATCCTGCAGGGCCAGCTGGGGGAACCCAACGTGGACAGCGGGTCCGGTCGTGCCGACGGCCAGACCCATACGCCATCCCGTTCCCGTTGTAATGTTGACTTTCTCAGCCAGCGTCATGCGCTCGACCATCTTGGCCGCCTTCTGGTAGCTCTCGGCCCAGGACTTCGCCGAGCCGCCCCTCGGGGTGGGATACCACGGGGGTGAGTAGCCATCGGGAGGGGCTTGTGTGTATGTGTTGTAGGCGACAGGGGCGCCAAGGCCGATGAGGAACCAGGTTCCTAGGATGATGAATAGTACAGTGAAGAATCGCTTCCTGCGTTTCAGCAGGGAGCGGATTACGGCGACGCCGCGAGGCTTTTCGTCTTGGGTATGATCGGAGGGATGACGCTCGACGTCAACGTCAGAGTGTGCGGAATCGAAAGAATTTCGAGATCGGTCGGGGTGGAGGAGGCCCTCCTGTGAGGGATCCATGCCGATGACTCTCGATGATTCGGTGTCGATCGGTAATTGGGGGAAGCTTTCGAGAGGTCGCGTTCCGAGCGGGTCTTGAGGGAATGTGGGGAGAATCAATCAAGTTGGCAGTCTATCCGCGATGCTCTCGGTGGGTGTCGACCTTGGAGCTTCGTCTGTCGATGGAACTCCGGGTTCTGGGAAGAAAGAGAAAGCAACCCAACGGGAGGGAGAGAAATGATAAATTTAGGGGACAGGGTCAATCGGGAAGGAAATTTAATACACCTTGGGAGTCGACAAGAGCCCGCAACAGCGCTGTCCAAGCGCAAGGGGCTGAAGCAGCTTAGCCAGGGGCAGTGGCATTAGTCCGGGCTCCTGTTGGGTTTCAACGGGAGAAGCTGACGACAATTGGATCCAAACAGGCGTCCCGTCTTCACTGCTGGAGCCCACTAATTGCCGACTTCGTTTGCTTAAAATGTGCTGAGACACGACGAGGTCGTGTTCTGTCAACCGTGACACCACATATTAGCCAGAAACACTGGGCACATTCGTAAGGAGATCGCTGTCCATTCAGCATGGAGGCCGGGTAGATAGAAAATGTCGAGATTGGTGGTTGGCTGCCTTTTGATCAAATGTTTGCTCGCCACCAAGGCCATCCCACCTGGGCGCACTGCTCTGCAGTCCACTAACTCGCACTCCTTTCTCTGAATACTATAAATAGTACGAAGGTAAATCAGTACTAATTAAACTAAAGTTTTAGCCAGGGCTTGAATTTTATATAAGTTTTCTAAAACACGTGTTACACAGAGCTTGAAAGACGCTTTTGTACATCGAGAAATGGGCGGGAAGTCGACTCCCGATTTCTAGGATGAAAAGAGGGAACGAAAGAGGCGTCCTATGGCTGCTGAGACGACCGAAAACCCGGCAAAAACTAGAAGCTGAGTACTACGATTAAAGGGTTGAACTGGAGAAAGAAACATCTATCCACTCCAAGCGGTCCTTCTTCTCAAAACTTACAGCGCGAGGAAACTAGCAACGTTCATATAGTCTCACCGCGGACACGCTCTCTTGAACTCGCTTAGACAATGACAAAGACAGTCTCCTCCATCTCCTCCATATCCCCGAAAGAGCACTTGACATCTCAGTATCGGTTTACAAGGCATTCTCCAATTATCTCACATTGTTGAAACTCGTCAACGGCCTTTGACTGGGCAAAGTTTGGCACATTTTCCACCCAGTCATGGAGAGGACGCTGAAATGGAATTGGCCGAACAATGAACGGAACCCTAGGTCCCTTGAAGAGCACGATTCAGTCGCCATCCCGACATGCCACCGGCACACTCGCGAGCTCCTGACCTCCCAGAGTTTGGCACACGGCAACGACCTTCCAATCAAGAAGGGAATCTTTGTCGGTAATCATAGAAACTGCCTGGCTACTGTCGTCGGACCAGCTCACTGTTTTCCTCGCTCTTGCAAACAAGTGACTCTCTAGAGATCATTTTCTTGGGGGATATGTCGTTATGTCTAGCACCCGGAGAAAGAAATCAGAAGTCTTTGCTAAGCTCCCGAGCGTCACCGCTTCGTTCTGGATGGTATCTTCCTGAGTGTCGTTTGATCTGGTGTTGGATAATCTGATTAGTCTGATATATTGGTGGGAGCCTCTCTCTAAGTTTTTGCTCCAAAGTCGCATAATTTGCTCAAACCGCTTGGCCGGACTGTATTCGGTCCGGTCTCGGATTCTTTGGAAAGCGACTTCGTCTCGTCCTTGAAGCCTGACGATCGACGCTCCGTATTGTATTTTTCCATGTATATATCCCACAGCAAATATGTTGCGTCGGTTGTCGGTAATCCGGCGATTAGCTCTCACAATCTGCTCTCGCGTGAGCTTCTACGCTTCTAGTTCTAGCTCAAGAGTCCCGAAGAGCGAGCGGGAGATGTGCCCCGTCCCCCACTCGGACCTGTTCCAATTCGGTACCCATGACGGGAGGTCCAATATGGAGGCGTCGAATACCCGCTGGCCTTGTATCGATTCGCTTCCATTGTCCAGATAACTGGAGAGATCGTAACTATCCGTAGTCTGAAGAATATAGGCCGCAAGGTCCGCATATACCCGCTTGGTCGTTTTCTCGTAGTTGGCGGACGTATCCGGATGACCCTTGTCGAATCCGGTCGAGATTCCAAGAAGCGCGAAGGCCTTGTCACGGGGATCTGATGCCTCAAGCCGCCTGGCCCTCTGCAGCGAGTTCACGATGTAGGTACCACCATCATCGTAGCGCTTCACCTGATCATGCCAGTCGGGTCGAAGATGTTGCAGACCGCGGCTTTCCAGGTAGTCACATCGTGCTTGAAACATGTGATGCACGATCTCCACCTTACCTCGATGATGCAAGCTATGCCCGTACCGATCATGATATCTCTCGCTGAGAAGAACAGCCTTGCAGAAGTCGTCCCACGGTATGCGGCGGCGAGCACTGGACCGAGACCTCCCTAGAGACAACGACTTCTTGAAAGACCCATACCCTGCGAAACCACGGCCGCGGCAGCACGTCAATCTCCACATCCGAGATATCTCCTTTGAAGTCTAACGCTTCCCGCATAGTTGCGGGCCTGTCGAAGTCGATGTGGCCGTAGTCGTTCAAGGCCCAGGTGCTCCGGCTTTCCAGAAAGTTCCAGGCGGATAGCCCGGTGTTCCCGCCATCGGCGTCTCCTAAATACACGATGGTTTCCCTAGCGGATGAGAAGATGTCGCACATCTGGTGAACTTGGCGGTTCCGCTCTGTTATGTCGTCTTGGTTAATACAAATCGCGTCCACCCAAAGACATAATACCTCGTCAGCTTGGCGAAGGTTCTTGAGCAACGAGTACAGGTTGGAGCCAATGTAGAGGTAGCTTTCCTCGCTCAGGACGCAAATAAGGTTACTATATCGCTTTTCTCCCCATACGTACGAGATTGCGGTATAGGCATTTTCGTCGCTGGTGACATCAGAAAGCCGCGTCTGGACAAGGTCGCAATAAATAAGCCTCTCATATGTGCCCTCAAGCTGAAGAGGATACAAAACCATCACCCGAATGGAATCGGCATCGGTCAAAGGAGAGTAGTTGTAGGAATGCATTAGGAGTGATTTGCGTTAAAAAGTGATGCATGCGTAGGTGGGCGTTATGGTCTGCAGGTAAGCATTGATTTATCTGGTCATGAATCAATCCAAGTGATGTTAGGCAGGACGAGTACAGGATTGACGTCCTGCTCAGGCTGCGGGAGCACCGCCACCTGCTCTGGCTTCGACAACCAATGACATGACATCAGGGTTGTGGAAATAATACTTTCACAACTACCGGCATACACCTGAGTAACACTCAAAAGAGGTAATGATGCAATTTTGTTGGCAGTCTCTAATCCTAAGATTCGTAGTGTGGTTCCAGGGAGTGCTCAGTAGAAGCTCGAGCGGTCTAGTTTGCTTGTTGCAGGCGGAGACATCGTAACGTTTTCTCTTTGGCAGCAAAGTTGAACGAAGGCCAGAAGGCGAAGGCCAGGAGGGGTTGACTTCGTCTTCATTGACCAGGTTGTTGATTCGAGATGTGTCTTTCGAGGAAGCCTTCCTTCGTTGGTGATGCTGAACTAGAAATTCGTTTGGGACGTGCCTTCCCCTGGCAGTTTGAGGGCGGCGGCCGTCTATGTGTTATATATCAAAATTCGGCTCTGGATTCTTAACGTCTCATGGAAGCTCGAGTGGTCGAGCGGTGACGCACTGCGTACAAACTACTTCCGCAAGGCGCCGGCGTGGAACCCGGTCTGGTCAAACCCTGAGGCGTGGAGGAATCTGGGAAATGGGAAAGAGAAATTGGGAATGAGGAGGGGGAAGTGGGAAGTCTTTTTTTTTTCCCTTTTGCGAGGGAATCTATCTGTTGAGATATTGTTGTGAGATTTCGAGGATGGAGATGATTTGGGGAGTTGCGGTGGAATGGGGACATTTGGAAAGGTTGTCGGTTCGAAACGGTTCGAAACTGGTGGAGTAACTTCTATGCGACATCCCAGGGGCTCAAAATATTATAGTAGCTGGCGAGAGGTGGCAAAGATGTATCATAACATTGGCCGAATCGTGCCCATAACTCGATCCTTTGCCGGAGCGGTTCTGGAAGTTGTGTTGGATTAGCAGGACAGCTTTGTTCTAGATCTTGGAGAATGCAGTTGATGCTCAGTGCGTTGGCAAAACCGCCGGCCCGTGCGAGCTGGCACCCGGGATCAAACGGACCATCTCCGTCAACGAGGTGCCGAGATCCTTAACAACCCGCCCTGATGATGGAAAGGGTAATAACGTTTATCCTTCCAACCTTCTCTGTCGACTTCAAGTCATTTTGTGTGCCGATACCCATTTTCTCACAAGAATCCTGTCCTCAAGGAACAATCTGAATAATCCACCCGCCTCGCGTGTCGGGATGGTTGGCTGACAAAGGTCGACATCTTGGCAACAATTTGAACTTGGCCAAGACACCTTCATCGAATCGAGTCGCCCTGATTTGCAGTTCGTAGACCCCTTGTACATTTCCCGCAGGCCCCTACGTCATCGGTACCTGACACTACATTGACATTTTGACCCATCAAGAATTTTAGTGCGATTTCTTATCGATAAGATTACATTTTTTTTGCCCTGCTTAAAAAATAATTTTCCCTGCGCCCCTCCAACCCAAAATTGCTTGCGCACCTCGCACCCTCCTTTCTGCCCTGCCTGGAGAAATTTTCTCTCCTCGAAAAGCAGGTCGTTTTCCATTGCCTTGGATACCGATATTTTATCGGTTTTGTTCTTTGTCTTTGACCTAAGAACAAGTTTTCCCTTTGGAAGCAGGAAACAAGATCGAGGGTTCGTCTTATCGTGCCCCTCTACCCCGCCAACCCATTCCCAACGGGGTTGATACCCTCAACCCCTCCCCTCTCCGCCATGTCACCTCCCATGGTCGTGGCCGAGGGCGCCGCTCCTCCTCCATCGCAAGAGGACGTGGGCGCCTTCATCACAACAATATTCAACGCCAAGACCTCCGCCGCCTCCGTCGACGCTGCCTACGGTCTCTGCGAACTCCTCCTCGGCTCCGTGGGCTGTGTCGGCCTGACGCAGTACGGCATCGTCGCCGAGATCAAGAAGGCCGCTGCCGACAAGAAGAGCGGCCTCAAGCGCGAGAGCGCCCAGAACCTCCTCGGGGCCGTCTTCGAACGCTTCCCTCCTCGACAGCCCGTGAGCGAGACGGTCCTCCTCGTCCAGGACGGCGGTCTTTTGTCCGTGGCCCTAGACGCCCTCTCCGATAAGGGTGCTGTGGTTCGCGAGGCCGCTCAGTATGGCATCGACGCTCTGTTTGCCAACCTGAGCCCCGAGGCTCTTGTTGTTGGCTTGTTGCCCGCTCTGATTCGATATCTTTCCAAGAAGACTGGCAAGTGGCAAGGCACGGTCGCCGCCTATAAGCTCCTTCAACGCATGGCCGATAAGGCTCAGATCACTGTCGGCTGCACAAAGGAGGAGTCTATCGAGAAGGATATTCTTCGCGACGCCATGGGAACGAAACTTGCTGCTCTTATTCCCATCGTGGAGGAGGGCATGCACGATATGAAGACTGAAGTCGAGAAGCAGGCCGGCGTTGCCATGACCTCGCTCACCACTCTTCTCTCCAACGACGATGTCGCCCCCCGTATCCCTCTACTTATCGACACGATGCAGCACCCTTCCGCCACTACTCTTCAAAAGGCCATCCACGCCCTGTCGCAAACCACCTTCGTCGCCGTCGTCACGTCCCCCGTGCTGGCGCTCCTCACCCCCTTGCTCGAGCGCTCCCTCAACACCCCAACCACCTCCCAAGAAGTCCTCCGCCAGACCGTCGTCGTCGTCGAGAATCTCACGAAACTCGTCCATGACCCCATCGAGGCCCGTACTTTCCTTCCCAAGCTCAAGCCCGGTGTGAAAAGTGTGTCCGATCGTGCTTCGCAGCCCGAGGTTCGAGAACTAGCCGACCGTGCCCTCTCCGTTATTGACAAGGCGATGGGCGACGGACAGAATGTCGTTGAGCGCACGAGCGCTGGTGATGTTGCTGCTCTGCTCGATGAGCAGATCAAGAAAAACGGCGGGCTTGCCGGCCAGGCCGACCTCTACAAGCTCGCCCGGTCCTACATTTGCGAGATGGTGGCTGAGGATGTCAATCATGGTCAGGTTCTGCGCATCGCTGGAAGGATCGGGCCGTACCTAAAGGGCTTCACGAGAGGCGCCAGTGCCCATGATGCCGTTGCGGATGCCGTCCAAGAGTTCTACGTATTGGAGGACAGGCGTAAGCACGGCGAGCCTGAAAAGGAGGACGACGGCGAGGTTGAGATCGTGAACGCTGATTTCTCCCTGGCCTACGGTGGTATGCTTTTGCTATCGCACACCAACCTCAGGCTTCTCAAGGGCCACCGCTACGGTCTTTGCGGTCGCAACGGTGCCGGAAAGTCCACGCTGATGAGGAGTATCGCGAACGAAAAGCTCGAAGGTTTCCCCCCTCAGTCTGTCCTTAGGACCTGCTACGTCGAGCACAACCAGGGCGAGGATGCCGATATTAGCATTCTCGAGTTCGTCTCCAAGGACCCTGAGATCGCCAAGGAAGGCCAGGAGCGCATTTCCGAGGTTCTTGCCGAGTTCGGCTTCACCCCCGGCCCTGAGGGTCGTCAGGCCCAGAAGGTCGGGTCCCTCAGTGGTGGTTGGAAGATGAAGCTTGCTCTGGCCCGAGCCATGCTCCAGAAAGCCGACGTCCTACTCCTGGACGAACCTACTAATCATCTCGACGTTGCCAACGTCAAGTGGCTCGAGAATTACCTCAAGAGCAATACCCAGATCACCAGTTTGATCGTATCCCACGACTCTGGCTTCCTGGACGAGGTTACCACGGATATCTACCACTACGAGCCCAACAAGAAGCTCGCCCACTACCGCGGCAACCTCGCCGCGTTCGTCAAGATGCGACCCGAGGCCAAGAGCTACTATACCCTCTCCGCCTCCAACGTCCAGTTCAAGTTCCCCGCCCCTGGTCTCCTGACCGGAGTCAAGTCCATGACCCGCGCAATTCTCAAGATGAGCAATGTCTCCTACACCTACCCCGGCGCCCCGAAGCCATCCCTCGTTGATGCCTCCTGCCAGCTCTCGCTGTCCTCTCGAGTTGCCATCATCGGTCCCAACGGTGCCGGCAAGTCCACTATGATCAAGCTTCTGACTGGTGAACTCATCCCCACGACCGGCCGAGTCGAGAAGCATCCCAACTTGCGTATCGGCTACATCAAGCAGCACGCTTTGGAGCACGTCGAGATGCATCTCGAGAAGACGCCTAACCAGTACCTGCAGTGGCGATATGCCCACGGCGACGATCGAGAAGTGCACTTGAAGCAGACCCGTATCCTTTCGGACAAGGACAAGGAGCAGATGAATAAGTTTGTGGATATCGGTGACGGCAAGCCGGCCAAGCAGATTGAGGCTTTGATTGGTCGTCAAAAATACAAGAAGACGTTCCAATACGAAGTGTGAGTCCTCCCTAACCATTCCCGCCTTTCCCAAACCGTATTTTTAAAAGCTCGTCTACTAATAGTCTCTACTAGAAAATGGCGAAACATGCTCCCTAAGCACAACTCCCAAGTCTCCCGCGAAACCCTCACAGAGCTAGGCTTCGCCAAACTCGTCCAGGAATTCGACGACTACGAAGCCGCCCGCGAAGGTCTCGGCTACCGCGAACTCCAACCCTCCGTGATCTCGAAGCACTTCGAAGACGTCGGTATGGACCCCGACATCGCCAACCACAACGAGATCGGCTCCCTCAGCGGCGGCCAAAAGATCAAGGTTGTCCTCGCTGCGGCGCTCTGGTCCAAGCCGCACGTCCTCGTGCTTGACGAGCCGACTAACTTCTTGGACCGCGACTCGCTTGGCGGTCTGGCCGTGGCCATCCGCGACTTCAAGGGTGGAGTCATTCTCATTTCCCACAACGACGAGTTCGTCGGCGCCTTGTGCTCGGAGCAGTTCTATGTCAACGACGGGAAGGTTACGTACAAGGGCCAGTCGGCCGTGCATTCCGACCGCTTCGAGGATAGCAGCGCCGTTCCCAGCACGGCTGCCAGCAGCGCGGCCCCCAGTGCTGCGCCTAGTGCCGTGCCGAGCGCTGTGCCTAGCGCCGTTAACAGCGGAACCGAGGATAACTCGTCGCCGATGAACTTCAAGGCCCGGAAAAAGAAGAAGGGTCTTACTAAGAAGGAGCTGAAGGAGAGGGCGGTTAGGAGGAGGCTGAGGGAGATTGCTTGGCTTTCGAGCGCGCCTGGGACTCCTAAACCTCCAGACACGGATGATGAGGAGTAGAGGAGAGTCGGGTTTATTGATCTGGTTTTTTTGTGCATGTCTGTTTTCTGCATGAAGTAGACTAGAGGTGATGGAACACGAATAGACGGAGGGAACTCGTTTCTATGGCATTGCATTTTCTTTCCTTTTCCTTTTCTTTTCATTCTTCCTAGGTTCTAGAGGTCAGGATATCTGGGTTTTGGACAAAAGACAAGCACACTTTACACTTTATAGAAGAATAGACGTTTCATGTAATTCACGGGTAGCTCTTCTCTCCCCATTGTATCTTAGAAGGAGCCAGGCACGGCTGCTCAATCTCGTTTGCCGAGCCCTCGAGCCCACGCCAACTTGCCGTTCCGAAAACTACTCGCCTCAAGCTAGCTGGCTGGTATCCAAAATTGAGGACGAGGAAGGAGCGCGAGGAACCCCTCGACAAAGTTCGGCCTCCTCGAACCATTCTTTCTCTTCTTTACCTCGACAGGTACGCACACAGGCACAGCCGGGGGTTGTCTCTCTTTCTTTTTGTCCCTTCCTCCTCCTCGTCTCTTCCCTAAGACGACAGCAATCAACATAACCTGCCCAGTTAGCTCTGCTGGTCGACAGTTACCTCGATCAGGAGGGCTTCTTGGCCCTTCTTGTCTCCTTTTCCTGGCATCCAAAACCCGCTCTGTTGCAAATGCACCACCCCGCCAAGTCAACCCTCTTCCCTTTCCAACCGCTCCAGCACAAAGCGTCGACATGGTCAAACTCAAGACAAAGGCCCAGGCGACAACATACCTGAGAAGGATTCTGCGGGGTCTCCCCCTCGCTCTATATAGAGTTCCGCGGCCGCGAAATACTGGCGATCCTCGAATCGGTACAGGTGAACGTCCAAGATGTTAATCTTGCATCCCACCGCCTCCCACGACGCATTTACTCGGCTTTTAGAACCCGACCACCCAGACAGCCCAGAAAGGCGGAGCTTCTAGCTTGCATCCTGCATCGAGGCCCTTCCTTTGTCAGGGATATCCTCGACGACGTCCGACAGCTTGATTGGGGACATCTTTTGATCTGGTACCCGAGGCAAGTCCCGCCGCCCGCAGCAACTGCAAGCCGTGAGGAATGGATGCGATGGGCGGACACCCGGTATATTCCCGACCTTTGGCCCCAGCCCAGTATTGACGACTTCACGCCGGCCCAGAGGAAGTTCCGCTCGCTAGTTACCAATGTGGAAGTTATTGGTACTACCCCCGACGCGATCAAGTGGACGCTGGATATAGATCTCAACCAAGATCCTCATGATATCATGGATGAAACGACTCGGCGCGTAGCGAAAGAGTCATGTTTTAGTCTGATACGTCCACAACCACGCGCTACCGAATCGGTCGACAAACGTGTGCCTCCCAGGGGAGCATCTCCCGAACCAAGAGCACCACAACAACCTACGTCCCCAAGCCCGCAACGATCAGCGCGCCGGCGGAGGCATCAACACAAAAGGGCTGGAATCGCAATTGACAGCCCTCGGAACAGGCCCACGGCACAGAGTAACGCCATCCTCGAACCCGCCCTGGAAGTTTGGAGACCGCGACTGGTCATCGGATCCCACCCAAGTCGACATGGGCTGGGCAGAGCTGCTACCGAAGCCACCACAGCTACAGCGCCGGCCCAGGTTGCTAAGGAAGTCGAGTCCCAGTCCACGCAGTCCGATGGAGTTAAAGACGAGGTAGGCAGAGCTGCCATTGGCAAGGTGGCCCAGAAACTACTTGGTCTCGAACAATAGATGAGCCAGAGACTCGATGTCATCACTAAAAAGTTGTCAGACCTCGAGGAACGGATCGACCGAATTACAAACTTGGAGGACGGGATGGGAAGATCGAGGAAGAGACCTCGCAAGGATGATGTCAAGGACACCTTCGCAGAGACGATTTTTGAACTTTCATGAAGGTAGCAGAGAAGGACCCTAGGAGTTTTGATAGTGTTCCTTGAAAAGCACGAACGTCTTCAATCATGGATCGACTTTGTTGTACTTTTATTTGATGTTCCTAGTACTAAGGCGTTTTCTTCCTCCACCTGGTGATATCCGTATGTCTAAATGCTTGTCAATACCAACTTCTAGAAACAAGAGCCTCGACGGGCTCGCCTCGAGAGACAGTAAAGACACCCAGTCACCGACTTCACCGGGTCGTAGCTTCCCCAACTCAAGTTTGACTTGTAGGCGTGTTGACAGACCAAGACCCAAGTTGGAAAGAGCGTTCGGGGAACCTCGAGGCTGATTCATGATTCACTTCACCATTGCTCCAGTTCAACAAAAAGACTGGAGCAAGGGAAGGAGGCATCAAATGAATCACTAGAAAGCTGGTTTTAGTAGACGCGTCCCTCCATCTCAGTCAATACATAACAGCTAGGAGACCACACGAGAATTCTTCTTCTTCCCACTTGACACTACGGTTTCTCCCCTCTCCCTCATGCCGTCTTCCCTCTTCAAACATCGCCATTCCTCTCTACCCGGCTTCAACACCATTCTTATCACCATCAGCTTTTTCTTTCTTTTTTCCACTTCAGAATTATCCACACCCCCTGCCCGAGCTCGACGCGGCGTCGCCTCAACCAACAACATGGAACCTGGTCTCCGGAGCGCCGACCAGGCGACCAGATATCTGCGATCTGTGGTAACATCCTTCCCAATTCAGTGGATCGAGGAATTCCGAGGTCGTGACATTCTGGCGGTCATGAAGCTACTCCAGACGAGCATCCAGGACTTTCGGACCAGCGACCAGAAGCTCACTCGCAACCTGTGGAAGCCGTTCAAGGCCAATCCCCCCGTCCCGCCGCCGGTCACCGAAGTCCTTGCATACTGCATGCACTCGCAAGGTCTGGTCCCCCGATACCTCCTCAAGAGAATCAGAGAGAAAGATTGGGGCCATCTCCTCGTTTGGGTGGACGGCCAAACCCACCCTCCGCCGGCCACCGAAAGCCTCGAGGAGTGGAATTCTTGGGCAAAGGCCCGGCATGAGAGCGAGGTCCGTGATGCTAGGCTCCGCAAGAGTCAACTTACGCCACTCCAAAGGAAATTTCAACAAGTCATCGAGGCCGTCGAAGCCAGGGACGTTACCTGGCAAGGTATCGTATGGAGCATGGATGTCGATCTTGACCAGGAGCCCGCCGACATCATGGCGGCGTTGGAGTTGCTCGGCCACAATCAAGGTCCTGGTCCTGTCACGCCTTCTCCTTTGCTGGCTTTGCCTCTTCAGTTTGGCGGACAGAGCACCCCCGCCACGCCCCGAGCCCTCGTCCACCAAAGCAGCGCTTCAGGCATCGGATACGCCATCCCTCACGCTGCCCCACATGTTTTGGCTCAACCCCAGACTGGTTTTAAAGTAAGCGCACTATCTAACCCTAATGATTATCAGCACAATCAGACTAACCTCACTCCCAAGGGCGGTCGTTCTCTCCCTTCGCTGCAAGTCCAGCTTGGAGACATCGCTTCAACCCCTCTCGGCGGATCTGGAATGGTGGCATCGGGCCAAAGCAGCTCTTGGGGCCCCAATTCTCCTCTCCCAGTAGGACAGCAGGCATCGCGGTTCCCCCTTCGTGGTGTCGGAGCCTCGGCGGTCGACTGGGAGCAGAGCAACAACGGACCAATTCACCTCCCACCCCTCCAGCCTTCCAACCCTTCCACGCCCTCGCAGCCAGCTCAATGGACACAAGTTTCTTATTCTCCGACTTCTGCTCCTACCGAAGCGCAACACCCTCTCGCCGCAGGCATCGAACCCAACAATGCGGAGCCGAATCAGCCATCTCCCAGACTAAGGGCTCTTGCCTGGCTGTACGAATTGGAGGAAACCTTCCGAGAGGGCTTCTCCACCGTCAAGCAGCAAGTTTCTGGACTCCAGACCCAAATGGAGGGAATTAACCAGAGGCTGGATCGTATGGCTGAGATGATTGACTCTCGGGGTGTGAGAAGCAGAGACCACGAAAACGACGATGAACCCCCACGAAAAAAGCCCCGCACTGGCAACACTGATAACGATGACCTGAAGAGTTAGATCGTTGATCTCCAAATATGGGCATGTTAAGTCTCTTCTTTAGAGTCACCATCCCCCTCTTCGTTGGCATTACTGTTATACCTTTACTTGATTGTTCACTTTTACCTCTGAGGCATCTGTCCTTGCCTTTGGAACCAATTGAGTGTTGCCAGTCACTTCCTCAATGCACTTTGGGATGCCCTTGAAGGGAATCATACCCCATCTTCAAAGAGGTCCTTCATTCTCACATGTATTATATGTATTATATTGTTCACAGCATTTCAGAACAAGGCCATTTCCAACTGAGGAGACTGGCCATGATAGACAATTCAGTTGTACTGGAGGTAGTAGAACCTCCTCAATCAAAGGTATATGCAAGTGTTTAAGAGAACCCCAGTCTGTATATTTCCCCTTTGTTTCGAAATGAGCCTAGGACAGGGAATGGTCAGTATTTTTACCAACTTTGTATACCCCGGAGCGAGCCCCTATTCCAAGACATGGAAAATCCCAAGCGCTGTATATAGGAGCATAACCCAGATGCTCCCACGTTCTGATTTTCAAGTTCCATCCATCATTAGATCATATACCCCCTCCCAAACGCGGATAGATCGTAGTCGAATCTCCATCCCCATCAAGCTCTCCAGCCGAGTCCACCTACCACCTCTTCGGTTCTGGAAGGACAGCGCCTCGAACCGAAAACAATTACGAAGGAGTCTGCAGAGTTGAAGTACCGCGACACCACCCACACCTGCACGGAGAACGAGCTGACAGCCGCCGATTCTACGATGACGGGGCACTACGCCTGCCTTGCTGACCTTTTTCGTTTGACAGCTGCGCAGAGACGATAAAGGCCATGTATGTCTCAGTCACGCCGTGAAATGTCTCTGATATAAGGCTGAAATTAGCGGTGAAGGAGGGACGGGAGATATCACCAAGTGGGGTGGAGATTGAAGCCAAGATGTGGAATGCCAGATACGAAATTGGGATCTCTGATGGCGTTTTATAAAAGAGGGCAGGCCGGAGGCGTCGGATAACAACATGCGTTGGGAATGTACGAGCCAAATACGATAAGGCATGAAGTTGTCACTTCCAGTTCATTGGCTTTCCGACTTACGAGGATACGGCGACGCGGAGCGGGACGACTCCGGTGGCGGAAGGGGGCTTGAATGATAATTCTAGATAACGTGTTAATCGGAGAGATAAATATACGCGCGCAAAGGGCCAAGGAAATGAGTGGCTTTCAAGGATAAGGCATGTTCCCAAAATGGGCGGAAAATAATACGTGGGCGGGCGGCAGAGTGCAGAGACCCCGAGGAAAAGCAATAATCAATACCAGCGCCACAGATAAAAAAAAAAAAAAAAAAAAAAAAAAAAAGAGGAGAGAAAAGTAATAAAAGCCAAAAATAAATCGAGAAAATTTACTCTCCGAGATTCTTGGCCCACAAACCCACAGCATGCAAGATTGGTCACAAAAGCAACTGCTGCAGAACAGACGAGATAGCTTCGCTTGCGGTGGCCCCTCCCAAATGTGGTCCTTGCTCGTTTACTTTTAGAAGGATCCTTTTCTGCAGGTAATTATGTTGTTAAGTGGATACGCACGTACGCTTTGGTTTAGCTCTTTCAGGTGAAGATGGGTAGGTTAGGTACCTTAATCAATGAGAGCGGGAGGCCTGACTCGTAGACCTGCAGGCGAGAGAGTAGTTGGAGTACTAGGAGTAGAGATGAGGTGGCAGGTTTGACTAGTACGAAGCAGAGGTCTTTATAGTGTACAGAAGCCAATCATCCAGCCGCTCAGTTCGTTGGTTGCAGACTCCGAGGACCCGGAGAGCATTCCCTCATATCGAATCCGGAAGCTGCTTGGATGGGAACGCAGACGCAGGTGCTAGGTACGACTGAAGGAAGGGAACATGTCGAGCTGAACTGGTGGGACCCTCTCTACCACCTTCCGCCCACTTAGGGAAGGTCGCTGATAAACCGCGAGGCCGAAAACGAGGTTGATGATGTTCCATAACCCACATCACCGGTCTGTTGACCGGCCGGCATGCCCTTGGGAGGAAGAGGGCCATTCCTATTGGCACATCTGTCCATGGAATGATGGAGGAGGAAACGCTGACTGAGACGGACTCAAGAATGTACCGTCTTGGACTGTCTGGAATACCGTTTGATCGTTGGCCTTCGTAACGTCAATTTGCCAAGAAACGCCCGGTGGGACCTGATCCTGGGACTTTCCCTCGTTCAGGTTGGTACGAAAGCAGGGGCAGCGGGGACGAGGGTCCGAACCTTAACCTCTCACTGTCACGTTTGAATCAGACCTATCGCCCGCTTGTTGGATACTACATTCTACTTGCAAGTCCTGATATCATTCCTTCCCGTGCACATTCGGTAATGGTAGAGTTGAGACGCCAGGCTGACCCATAATTAGCCAGAGCTTGTGGTTACAAGCAGATTCCTTGCCGCTGTGGGGGGTTGCGTTGGAACGACCGCTTCTACATACCTGAACCCCCCCCTTTCACTACGGAAAGCTGCACCAATATTCTGGCATGGCAACTCGTTCTTGGGCGACAGCCATCCAGCCAGCCATGGCTTTTTCTGCTTTGTTTCACTGGCTCCCAGGTCGCAGTATTGGACCCGAAAAGGGATACTCGCATGTGATGGCCGTGCTGTTCCCTCCCTTCTCCGTTTTGTAGGTCGAAGCCGGCCGTCACTCGATGGAACCGCTCATATCCTTTCCGGCCTTGGCCTGCACTAATACCAACCGAATGAATATCGAGGTCATTCCCCAGGACCTGCTGGTCCCTGACCTTATTGACTTCGTTGCATGCCCTTCATCTCTCGGCTTGTCCTTCTTTAAACTCCGTGTAGCTAAGAATATCTCTAGTAAAGCTCATACACCCCATCCATCTTCTTCTACTCTCATTCTCTTATACCTTCCCTCAGTGTCTCCAATCTCTAATACACCCTGCATATCACCCCTCTGTCCCTGCTATCAACCAGTTCAAAGAACTAGGCAATCACCTTACATTCTCACGCCTAATCTTTACTTCGTCTTCCATTTTCTCACTTATAGACACGCAAAATAACAGCCATGAACAACGACAATCCTCCAGACCACAACCTCTACGCATCAATACCGCCTAGCACCGCTCCCGCCTCAACCCGCCCAGCCACTGCCGCGACAGACAGTCCAAACAATGACCCCTTCAACCCCAAGACCGTCCCGGGTGCCTCCTCGGAAGCCGCCTCAGCTTCAGGCCTAGGAACCAACCCCTTCGCGAGCCCAGAAGCCTCTCGGCCAACTTCTAGTCTCGGCGACTTCAGTGGCAGCGGGATTGCTGCTTTGACGGGTGTGAGCGCGGCACGTTCCGAGGAGCGTCCACCGAGGTACTTCCACTCGAGGAGAGTAAAGAAGGGAGATGTCGAGAAGCCGTGGTTGAAGCACAAGGATCCTAAGGAGAAGTGGGTAACTATATTGCCTATTATCGGTATCTTGGTTGGTTTGGGTATCTCTGGGTTTCTCGTCTGGGATGGGATCCGGAGCGTGGTGCAGCACAAATACTGCGAGGTGCTTGTCGAGGACTTTTCGCAGGGACTGAGGGAGAGTATCTGGACGAAAGAGGTTGAGCTTGGTGGCTTTGGGTATGTCTTTCGCCTCCCTCACATTGGCAATATCCTCTTTGTCAAAAAAGATACTAACTGATTCAAACTTTTTACAGCAATGGTGAATTCGCCATGACCACACCCGGCGACGAAAACGTCTTCATCCAAGACGGGCGCCTCATCATCCGCGCCACCCTCCAGGACGCCTCCCTCATTGAAAACGACAGCAAAATCGACCTCCTGAAAGACGGCACCTGCACTTCTGACGATCCCCTCCGATGCATCGCCACCACCAACACGACGGTCGGCAACGCGACGATCGTGCCCCCTGCTAAATCGGGTCGCATCAACACCAAGAAGGGCGCAAGCATCAAGTACGGTCGCGTCGAGGTTACGGCGAAATTACCGCGCGGAGACTGGCTCTGGCCTGCCATTTGGATGATGCCGGTCGAGGATACCTACGGGGAGTGGCCCGCGTCGGGAGAGATTGACATTATGGAGTCGCGGGGGAATAATTGGACTTATCCGCAGGGGGGCAACGATGTCATGTCGTCAGCACTTCATTGGGGTCCTGACTCGGAAAACGACGGGTGGTGGCGCACGAACAACAAGCGCGGAGCGCTACACACGACATACAGCGACGGCTTCAACACGTTCGGGTTGGAGTGGTCGCAGAAATATCTCTTCACGTACGTCAACTCGAGGCTGTTGCAGGTTACTTATACGAATTTCGCCAAGCCGTTCTGGGAGCGGGGGAATTTTCCCAACTTCAACTCCGACGGGGAGAGGATCGAGGATCCGTGGTCGGCGACGGGGCGGAAGGAGGCGCCGTTCGATCAGAAGTTCTTCCTCATCTTGAACGTGGCCGTGGGTTCGCAGAATGGCTGGTTTCAGGATGCTCCCGGGAAGCCTTGGAGGGATAGGTCAGATAATGCGGCGAAGGATTTCTGGACGAAGAGGAATGAGTGGTATCCTACGTGGACGCAGCCGCAGATGGAGATTTCCAAGGTGGTGATGTGGCAGCAGTGCGACGGCAACGAGGAGCTTTGAGGATGGGAGAAGCATTTGGATTTCATTTTTTTTTTTTTTCTACGTTCAGTGTAATAACAGGATAGACTAGGTAGGTTCAGGATCACGTTCATATTATTCTAGATTGCTCATTAGATAGGAGGTTTCTTATTCCTTTGCGAGATGGATACACGGAAGTAAATCAGGTGCGGATCTGCTGAGAATTGAACTGAATTGCGTGTTTACAGACTTTCGAGCTCAGTGTTGCGCCCTTGAAGCTGGGAATGAGACGAGACCCTTGACATTCCAGCCAATATTAGAGACGTCAAGGCCCTCCCATGGATGAGCTTCAATCTGGTGGAGAGGACAGTCGCCGAATAGACAGCTCACCGGGCGCAAGTGATCAATCAATTCCATCAATCCCACCGCACCCACGGAGTCGGAACTTGCCTATCTCAAGAACTTCATGATGCACGAAGCCATCGCTGGAAGCATACATGAGTCGACTGCACGGGTTCAGCTCAATGGTATGCAGCGGACAACGGGCACTCGTCTCCATTTGCTCCGAAAGATGCCATGCATTATCAGGGCGCATTCGCATTCATTTTGGGTCTCCTGTGCTGGCATCCAACATCAAAACGTGCCAATGCCAAGCAGAGTTATTCTCCCCAAAGTTCCGCACAATAAGCCAAGCATGGCCAAGCAACCAATATTTCCCAGAAGAAAAGAAAATAATAAAATAAAAATAGCACGGGCGAGTTACCGAACGCCGTCGCCATTGCCCAGGGCTTTTGCGAGGGTTTCGCAGCACCGTTTCGAGTGATAATTGATCTGTGCTGGTCCAAATTGGACCAATTCAGAGGAGATGCAGTGATGCAATGCAAGGGTACGGCCTGGCCTGGGCCTGGGCCTGGTGGCCCTGGTCTGTTCCATTTTGATTCCAGCTGCTTTGGTTCTTCGTATTATCTGTTCTGTTGCCGAGAGCAAGGACACTGCCTGCAGATGCTCTCCTGCCACCCATACAACACCAAGACCGATCCAATACCTCGTACTTACCTTTAGTCGTCGAATGCACAGCCTAGCGGGCTGAGTTGGCAAATTCACAATATTTCTGGTGGCGTCGAACTGGCACGTCTTGGTCCACGCTACTGCAGCTTCTCGCTTTTCCAAGACCTGAAATGTGGAGTTCACCAGAAGAAATTTTTATGTGACGGACTTCGGAGAGACGACATACCGATGATGGACGAGGATGCTTTGGGACAAACGGAACGTGAAAGCTGCCAACGTTTTAACTGAGCATGTTCTGGAAATGTGCTGCAGGGGATGCCCAGACATGTGCCTATCAAGTGAAATACGAAGTCGGTATCTGCTATCTACTCAGGAATCCCTCGGTAAACATGCCTCTGCTCATATCTTGGCTGGGCAAATCACCTCTTTGCTCCTGAGCTTGGACTAATATTGTGAAACCTTGTCCTGACCCAAGCTCCAAGCCCAGGCTCTCTAGATCATGGCATGGCTCTTCATCCCCATCTTGGCCTCACCACTTCTTCATCGATTGTTCTCTCTCTCCACTTCATTTCCTCCAAACGTCATCCCGTCGTTGTATTTTTTTCTAGTGTTGACGATCCCTGCCCCCTTGCAGCTTGCAGCTAAACTCGTCTTGGTAAAGTATGTCTTACGAGGAGGCTTTAACCCGAGTGGACCGCGCGGAAAGGTCGACGGAGTGGCGGTCTCTCTTTTCACGACGTCTAAATCCGCGGGAGGATGTCGAAAGGGCAAGAACACTGGATCCGTTTTCCGTTTATCTTTCATTCATTTCATATTTTCACAATTTCTCAAACCGCTCACGGTTCATGGCCAAGCGTCGTCATAACCTGTGTGATTGCGCAACTTCATGACTTGTATTCCTGCACCTGGGTTGCACTGGCCATTTGTGGCGTCTATTCCAGGCCCGCAATGGACTCTCTTGGCCTTTCTGTAATACGAGGATCGGAATTGGCAGCCTATAATCTATGGCCCGTAGCCCATGGACCATGGACCCTTTCAGGTGGGTGGTTGGAACGTGTTGATAGCGTCCCCGGCCAATCAACTTCCCATGCTTCTTCGCCCACAAACGCCTGGAAATTCTTGGACAGGACTGGGATTCGAACAAACGCTGCCCAGGCCCTCTTTCCAAGAACTATCCTCGTCACCATCTCAAGAGAGACCCGCTGTCCCACTACCAGAGAAGCCCTGGCCAAGGCCAAGGAACATATATCCAGCTGAGGGATGGATGTGCTTGGCCTGGCCAGGCAAGCCACGTTGCTGCGTTGAGATGCCAGCAATGTCCGTTTGGGCCTGATGCCCCGGTCTTCACGTACAGCACGCACATTGCATTGCTTCTCGATATTGCCTATCTTGATAGCATATCGCTTGATACTGATGCCGGCGTCCGTCTTCCTGGCAACGCCACAGAATGGGTATGGTATACTTTCTATGTTGAGGCATATCATGATGCCTCCCGGAAAAGCCATCGTTTGATTTACATCCCAGCCGCCTGGGCAGAAAAAGAAAAGAGTGAGGGAAAAGGCCACCTCGTGTCCGAAGTGGAATGTGTACGAAGTATTTGAGTTTGTTCCAGCCATATCCCCGTGTCATGTTTGACCAGCCTGAAAGCCGCATTCTAGGCTTGTGCATGTAGCGTATTGGAATTCCGCTTGGTTTGCCCACCAGCCCATCTCGTATCTCATCACACTTTCCAATCCGTCTTGAGGGTTTCTTCTTCCTCTTTCGTACTATTCCCCTATACCGCCCCAAGCCCTATTCAATGCCTTCGGTTCCTCTTGCATGATTCCCAACGAGGTCTGGTTCTGGTGCTTCATGCCCTTGTTTCTGGGTCCCTTGGCCAGCACCCTCAGCCCGACATCGCCATAGAGTCTCCTTCGGGTGCCTCGCCTGGAAGCCGTTTCACTTTCTTCGTTTACACTAAGGTACAGTTAACCGGGTCTTCCAGGCCGTGCGTTGTCTCTCCTTTCTTCATTCTAGAGGCGGCAAGGAGCGAGTATTCTCATAGTTTTACCCACCCTCAGGTGTAAATTACACCCCACCCCCCATCTCTTTACATTCTCTTTGCTTGTTTTTGGTGATAGCTTCGATCTCCATTGCATCTGCAAGAGCAGATTCATTTAACATCCCGCCTTGAAGATCATTGCCTTCTTTTGCCTATTTTCTCGGGACTCGGCTGGCCAGAAGATCACTTCAGAATCGAGAAAGTGATCGGTGGCGGTCGTCACCCCAATCCATGGGATCTTTCTCGCTAATCGGATCTACAGCTATTTCTTTGCCGACTAAGTGTTGCATGGCATATCCCAGCGCCTGAGCTCTCATCTATTCCAGCCAGTCATCATGGGTATTAAGAGTTATTTCAAGGCCGAAAAGCCCAAACCAACAAAGGGGAAGGCGACACAACCCGAAACGATTGAAGAGAAAACAGGAGCTCCCGGCACTGCCCTCCCTCCCTCCAATTCCAATGGTCCAGAGCTTCTTCGCCCCAGGGCTTCCACCCAGAGAAACAGCTATGGGCCCCTCTCGATATCAGACAGGTCTTCCCGATCGGCGGCCGGAAGCTCGCTCATGCTCGAGGACATCCGGCACGAGGTGATGGTGAACTACCTCTTTCAGCAGCAATGTTCGAATCTCTGGGTTGGCGACGGTTCTGGCGAAACAGAGGGTGTTCTCCTGAGGAAGTCGAGGGGTCAGTACATGGCATGTCCTCCAGAACTGAGTATCTCGAAGCTCGCCAATTCTTGCGCCGCATTGAATGTCCATGTAAGTGTCCAAGTCCAAGCTTCGAACTGCTTTTCCTTTCGTCAAGATAAACAATGGGGGGAAAAGAGTTGAAAATACTAAAGGGTGAACCATTTCTAGTGCGCCATGACAGTCAACTCAAGAGTCATCAAGACCTTCCTCCAATGGGCCCCCGACGCCGTCGACGTCCCCCTCGCCAATGGCCTCCGCATCCAAATCCTCCCCACAATCGAAGACCTCCCCCGCGCCCGCAAGAACCAATTCGCCGCCTTCGTCGCCTCCGAAGGCATCCTCGTAGTCTGGGACGACGACGCGCTGCACGTCGCGGAACGCGCCCAGCTCATCGAGTCAGAGCTCATGGACCTTGTGTGGAAGGTCGGCGAGGAGGGCGACGAGGTGGATGAGAAGAAGGCTGCGGAGGCCGTGATTCGGTATGCGGTCGATGAGGAGAGCGGGATGGAGAAGAGGCCTGTGCATTTGATTAACGCGGTGCTCGTGAGTTTGGCGCTGGTGATTGTCCTTGTGTCGCTGGGGGCTGGGTGGAGGCAGTTGGCCATCGAGATCAGGGTGGACGGGAATTTCATACGGCTGGCTCTTGTCGCACTCGGGCCTGTTCAGATCTTCTTCACGCTCTTCTTCGCGCAGGTGATTGTTGGTTGCATCATGCAGATCTTTGGTCCCATCCGACAGCTCACGAGCAACTCCAAGTTTTACTCGGCGACACCTCCCCGACGATTGCAGAGCACAATCTTGCCCCATGTTACCGTGCAATGCCCCGTCTACAAGGAGGGTCTGAATGGAGTCATTGCGCCGACGGTGAAGTCTATCAAGCAGGCCATGTCGACGTATGAACTTCAGGGAGGATCGGCAAACATGTTCATCAACGACGATGGTCTGCAGCTTCTTTCTGAGGAAGAGCGCCAGGCTCGAATTGACTTTTACGCGGACCATAGCATTGGATGGGTGGCGCGGCCGAAACATGGAGAGGACGGGTTCCTTCGACGCGGAAAGTGTAAGTCAAGTTTCGATTTCCTGTTCGCATGAGGCCACCTTCACTCTAGCCGTAACCCAGCCGAGCGAATGATTTTTGATATAATAATGCTGACAATAATCAAAACCAAACAGTCAAGAAAGCTTCCAATATGAATTTCGCACTCATGATCTCCTGCAAGGTCGAAGAGAAGCTTGCCGAAGTTCATCGTCCCGCTGACTGGAGCCAGCACGATGAGGCTCTGGCTTATGAACAAGCTCTCAAGAACGTCCTTGAAGAGGACGGACGTGCCTGGGCCGACGGCAACATTCGCGTAGGAGACTACATTCTCATCAGTAAGCATTTCCCTACTTGCTCTCTCTCTCTCTCTTTTCCGATGCCCGAAACGGCTGCTAATCTCCTCCCAGTCGACTCCGACACCCGCGTTCCCGCCGACTGCCTCCTCGACGCCGTCTCCGAAATGGAACAATCCCCCGACGTGGGCATAATGCAATTTTCCTCCGGCGTCATGCAAGTCGTCCACACCTACTTCGAAAACGGCATCACCTTCTTTACGAACCTCATCTACACGGCCATCCGCTACACCGTCTCCAACGGCGACGTCGCGCCCTTCGTCGGCCACAATGCCATCCTCCGCTGGAGCGCCATCCAGCAGGTCGGCTACGTCGACGAGGACGGCTACGAGAAGTTCTGGTCGGAGTCGCACGTGTCCGAGGACTTTGACATGTCTCTCCGTCTGCAGTGCAATGGGTACATTATCCGTCTGGCGGCTTGGGCGGGCGATGGATTTAAGGAGGGCGTGTCGTTGACGGTGTATGATGAGCTGGCGCGGTGGGAAAAGTATGCTTATGGTTGTAATGAGTTGCTTTTCCATCCGATCCGGACGTGGCTTTGGCGCGGGCCGTTTACTCCGTTGTTCCGGAGGTTCCTGTTCAGCAACATCCGGTTCACGTCGAAGCTTACCGTCGTTTCGTATATCGGGACCTACTACGCCATCGGATCGGCGTGGATCCTTACGGCTCTCAACTATTTCCTGATTGGGTTCTTCAAGGGAATGCTCAGCAAGTTCTGTAAGTTGTTAATGTGTCTTGCCTTCCCGGCGAACAAACTAGATGTCAAGGCCATGTTTCGCACTAACCGCAATCACTCTTAGATCTACCTTCGTTCGAGGTGTGGTTTAGCTTAGTCGTCATCTTCTCCGGCCTTGGAAACGTTGCGCTCGCCGTGATGCGTTACAGGGCAGGCGAGAACACTCTCATCGGCTCCCTCATCGAAAACTTTGAGTGGCTCCCCATGCTGGTCATCTTCCTCGGCGGATTGAGTCTCCATCTCAGCCAGGCGTTGCTCGCGCACATGTTTGAGATTGACATGACGTGGGGAGCGACGGCCAAGGAACTGGATCAGTCCAACTTTTTCCTCGAGGTGCCCAAAGTCTTGAAGAAGGTAAATTGCCTCCCCTTAAATCACACTCACTTGCACTAACAGTGCTAATTACCTGGCCACAGTTCAAATACTCGATGCTCTTTTACCTCTCCTTTGTCGCCGTGATGCCCATCATGGCACTTGCTCCGTTTATCCCGCACGACTGGCGCATCACGGACTTTGTGGCGATTCTTCCACAGGCCTCGATAACCGTCTCAAGCTTGTTGCTCCCTATCGCTCTCAATCCTGCTCTTATGACTTTCTCCTTCTAATCGGCACGAGGACCGGACTTTCCAATATCTTGATTTAGTAGAGGGGCGCCTCTCGCGGGATGAGTTGCTGTGTACACTACCTACACTACCTCCCGCCCTTCGCCGCGGTGGACTGGCGTTTGGCTTAGATAGGATAGGCGTTGTCTGTTTTTCTTTTCTTTTTTTTTTTTTTTTTTTTTTTTTTTTTTTTGGTTCCTTGTTTCTCGGTTTTCTTCTTTACGGCCCCAATAGAACAATCGAGAATGATAGATTTGTAGCTAGTTAGATTAGGAGGATCCACGAGATTCTCAATGATTGAATGGGAGTGGATAATTTATGAATACGTCCAAGATGGAAATACTTTTCTTTCGAAGGGGCCGGGTCCCGAGATACAACCGATCACCTTTTTGCGACAGATGCAGCAGTATGCGGCAGGCTGGAATGTGGAATCATAGATGCGCTCATCACCAGGTTCGCTTCCACATTCTGCCTGATGTTATTATTGGGAGATTCGAATACCTCGGTTCTGCCATTGAGATTAAAGAAATGAGGTAATTTCCATTACAAGGTAAACCAGTCATCGAAGTAGCGTTGCGACGATGGCGGTGGTGGTCGTGATGATCGTGGTGATGATTGAAGAAGAATGAAGATGGCCGAGGCTGTTTGCTGCCTAAAATCTGAGCCGCCAACCTCAAGTTCAAGGAACACTTGACCGATTCAGAATTCTCATCCTACTCTCGTTCCACAGTTGGACCCTGAAAACGGCCCTCAAAACCCCGGTTGCCCACCAGCGTCATCTTGAGCTGTGGATACGATGGGATTCAATGTGACGCTGCCTAACTTTAATTTATCGGCCAACACTGCGCCCCCCCAATTCTTACCAGCATCAAGCATGAGAGTCGCCGAACCCCGAGCCGAATACGCGGCCGCTGCCTAAGGTCTTCGCCCAAAACTGACGACATTCGTGGGAAAGGGGACTATTGTTTCTCGCCAAGAAGGTTACTTTTCAGAACTGGAGATCGTGGATCTGGACTTGACGCCTCTAGTGACAGGGGGGAGGGGGTTCAATTGGCCTCGCCTCAATTAAACTTCCGACAAGTCCACGTTTGCCCTCGGACCCTGTCGGGCAATTACAGTGACAGTGGTTTCCGGTGACCGGACTGCTCCACAAAAAAACTCGGGGGAAATCAGCCGGCGGTGCGCCGGTCTCTCCGGGACCACCATCTCAGCCTCCTCCCCTCCCCAAGCCTCGAGTCCATCATCATGAATCTTGATGATTTTCCTTTCCCCTCCCGCCTCTAGGCAATGCCAGCCAAGCCGCCCAAGCACTTAACCGCGCCGCATCTCAAAGTCTGGTTGTCAACCCGGATGCCACCCCAGACAATGTAACGTCCCAAGCGGCCGTGTTCATGCCTTTCGCGCTTCTCTCCCGTGCCGCCTCTCCCGACAATAGGTTACAACTAGCCGGTGACTCACGGTTGCCCTCCTCCTTTGCTCCTGCCGAGATTGCGTGCCACACTCGAAGCCCGACGGGATATGGGAGTGAAGCTTCCAGCTTTCCGTGTTTGTCAGCCGCCTCATGTTCCCCGGTAGCTGATCCCTATTCCACCCCAGCCGTGTATGGACGACGCTGGGGAAGTCGACTGCTCTCGTCTGCTATTACTTCTAGGCTTCCAATATACCTTTCACCTCTCTTCTAAATCAACACCATCCCACACGTCATCAGCCTCACTTACACACCCTTTCCTTCCTCCGAACTTTTCCCTCGCCTCGTTCCTATTCTCACCTCCTCTACACTCATCACAGCCGCCCTTGACGCCCGTTCTAGCGTTACACCGTCTCCACGCCTCCAACTTCCCTTTTCTCCCCCTCCCGTCACACCTACGACTTTCGTAATTCCTCCAACCCCCTTTCGCCCTACCACACCGTGGACCGACATATCACCCCTCATCCCGTGATCCGAGCGTACATCATCGCCGCACTTCATGCTCTTCTTCTTCTCAAGAGAGGCCTCTCGAATCCTGTCGTGTAGATGAGGTCGCCTAGCGTTCTGCGGTCTAGAACTCATCCTGGTAGTCTCCTTCGTTCTCGTGTGCCCATGAGACCTCATCTTACCCTCACGCTTTCGGTCCGTTTTGTAACCTCTTCACCGAGAACCCCCCATGAGTCAAGTTGAAGTCGTACCAGATAATCTCCCATAAAGCCCGCGCCCCAATCGACATCCAGGTATGCCCAAGAATCCGGAGTACGCGTGTCCAAGATTAGGTTGAAATTCCGAGAAAGAGCTAAGATTGGGGAAAAAAAAATATCTATTGGTCGCACACGTCTATCTATTATTGGACCAGTGGCGGGTATGAGCCGCAAGCTGTGTCCAAATCGATACATGGGTAATACTCCACGTCGCCTACCCAGCTTGAATCTATCCTTGAGGGGAAAAAAAGAAAAAAAAAAAAAAAAAAAAAAAAAAAAAAAAAAAAAAAAGAAAAGAAAAAAAGAAAAGCTCTAAAAATCGTGAAAGGTAAGAGGAGCCTTAGAACCCCCAGGCCACCTGGAAACTCGAAGGCTAAGAAGGGAATGAGGAAAAAGAGAGACAAAAACACACACAACAAATGAAAGCCAAACGATCGAAACCCTTAAAAGGGAGAGGGCATAGAAGTCAAAGAAACTCCCAACTCAAAAAGAAAATGAGGAACTATGAACACCTTGCGGCCCTCCACGTGTAGGCCGAACCAGCATATTTCCGCCGGCAATCCGGCGTCGACCACGAGTAAATCTAATGGTCCAAAGAAAAGCAACGGGAATCCTCCGGGTTCCACCTTTTAGGGCTCTTCTTTTCCGCTTCGGTTCGAAAGGAGTCCCTCAGGCCCTTTTTAGGTTATCCCTGTCCCCATTGTTTCCGGTACTCGTACATCACTAACACACAGCTAAGTCTCACTGTGACGGACGTCAGCCGGTATGCCCTGTAGCCCAGGTCTATGCCAGACATTCCATTCGCACGGGCTAGCTCACATGGGGGAGCCCACACCAATTTGCCATCAGGTACTAGGCTGGAAAGACATACCATTGACTAATGAGATGACCAGCGAAAAACGGTCAGCCCAGTCCTAGTGTTCCTAGGACGGACCGCCGTATATGTCCTTGCCACATACTTACATGCGGCGAGGAGATGGAGGCGGGGTAGGCGTGTTGGGCGGGGGTCGAGGCCCTAAAGGACCCGGACGTGGTCGCGGAGGGGGAGTGGGAGGGCTAAACGGGATAGGCATCTGGGGCTCTGAACCCGATGGGTCGTGTCTCCAGTTCTCCAAGGGACGCGTATGATGGGAACCCTTGGGCGAGATGTACGCGTGGTACAGAGGGGTTCGGTGGTGGAGTCGACCTCTTCTAGCGCCGTGGTGAAACGAGACAGGGGCTTTGTTCGACTTGAACTTGATTCTAGACGACTCAGATAGAGGCAGTCGAATGTCTCTGAATGTCTTCCGCGTCTGTGGGGATGATGTCCTAGGAAGACCTTGAGGGTGGTCCATCGTCGACGATTTATATATCTCCATGACTCTAGACTTGAGCTATATCTGGATGCAGATAACAACCAAGTGTTGTTGGTCGTTCGAGTGAGGGGTGGAAAGTGTAGAGTACTCTTAGAAGAAGCGTACGCCGACACAGAAGTTCTTGCATAAAGAAATATGTACGTGATATGTACTTCCTTTGAGGTCCGCAGCTTGATGCCTGATATCCACCGTCAAACCGGGGGCAGGGCAGAGCGCGGATGGATTGCGAGAGGAGGGGGTGAAAAAGGTCGGCTCTGCTGTAGGGCTGTGTACTTGAACTGGGGGCCGGATTCCTCCTGAGGAAGGTTCTCACTCGTCGCAAGAACGATGAAGATGGCCCGCCGGATAGGTATTTTGCGGCGCAAGGAGCAGTATGCTTCTCATAGATTGAACGACGGGAGTCATATGCTCGCCACCCAAACGAAACGGCCCCTACCGAGTCGCAAGAAGGATTGGGCAATCTCGGGGGAGGCGGGACAAACAAGTCAGCTGTCAATTGTCTGACAGGTGGACTTGATGAACACAAGACGTGCCGATAACCTGTGACGGCCAAGAGGTAAAAGTACGAAGACGCAATAATGTTTCAGAAGAGGAAGCTGTGAAGTAAGGTAAGGCGAGTCGAGGCAAGATGAAAGCGAGGGAAGCGACTTGGAGTGTTGTGTAACGAGACGAGACAAGCTACCTCAACGAAACGCAACGATGGGATCCATTTATGTATGCGAGAAGACGGGAAGGGCCCCTTAAGCAGGAACCGTGTCCTTCGTGATCTAACACAGGACAATTTCAAATGTGAGTCGAGATGGGGTATGCTGCCTGAAGCATGGGAGCATGGCAAGCGATTGAGGGGAGGTCCATGTTGGCAGCAAAGACTTCGGAGCCCACACGGAATGTGTACAATGGTCCGACCAGCTACGGACACCCCACGCCATGTAACTTGAAAAGGAAGAATAAGAATAGCTCGTTCACGAAGTGGCTTTACCCGTTGCGAGGTTCTTTTGAGTGAAAAAGGGCTCAGCAGGCAATACCGGGTCCAGGTCCCTGGCAAGGAAGCATCGACGCAACGCTTGTTGGTTCCAATGCATGCAGATTGGCAATAGTACGTACATATCCGCTGGGGCATGGAGATCAATTGAGATGCTACCATTCTTTGAATAGTGCTCGCTACTAGCTCGCTACTGGAACGGCGCACATGCCGGAGGACGGCGATTGGGACCCACTTTGATCCTTTGAGACTCCTAACCAAAATTTCGGAGGAAATATGCAGGATGTCTGCCATAGGGCTGCCGGTATGCCCTCGATGATTGACCGTAGTGTCTCAGCATCTCCAGCTCAAATCGTCCAAGTAGGCACACATGGGCTCTGAAAAACCGGGTATTTTTGGTCCCTTGCTTAAGGCGGCCCGGCCAACATACTCTAGGCGTTACTGGGTGATGGGAGTTAGCCTCGTGGACGGCCAGAGGAGACTTCCGAGAATAAACTACCCCCTTCAGTCCTTAGCGGGAAAGCTCACGCAGGACGGCGGGGCCCAAAAGGGCTCGGGAGGGTCACAGAAGCAAATGCAAGCGATAAAATGGAAAGGGCCAGAATATCATTTCATCTCAGGTACCGGCGTTGGCGCTACTAACGCAGACGGGCGGGAATATAGTAGATCCGTCCTAGAAGGCACCCAATAGAATCATGACCGACAACTTTCGCTCCGTGATTGCTCGGCGTCAGGTCTGGCGAACTCTGCTAGACAGATATCAAGGCACTCTGCGTGACTTGATTCTCTCCCTTGCCTCCGCCACTTTGAGCGAAAAGTAGATCATGTTGGACACTCCCGTCGAGAGAGAGCCTCGGATGTGATACTCAATAAACATTGGGCTATGAATATGAGGAGGCGACGCCGCAAGACCGCAGACGGAAGTAGGGCCGGAAAGGAGGCGGGGTTAAAGCAAGGCACCTCGAGGGGTGTGAAGAGTGAGGGCCACCTAGACGCAAGCGAGAACTTGAGACCGGAGAGGCAAGGAGAATCGAGAAAAAAGAAAAAAAGAAAAGAAAAGGAAAAAGAGAAGGAAAGGAAATTGAGGGAATATTCGACCTCGGCGACGTGAGAGCTAGTAAGGCAGCAGGCCAAATGGAGGAAGAAAGAACAAAAAAAATGGGCAAGAAAAAAAAAATGAGGGAAATGAAGTTGATTCTCGGAGAGAGAGAAAAAGGGCCACTTGGTGTTGGTTCTGTCCTGCAAGGTTCTCGAGGGTAGGATCAAGTCCACCACCTCCAAGTCAGTCAATGGCGGTGGTGGATGCCTTGTCCACCTGCGCACTCCGCAGAGACGAGCCGTACATGTGACGTGCCGTCAACCAAAGAAGGTCACCCAACAGACCAATTAGGATATTGAACCTAGCCAGATCTGGAAAGCCATGGCCAGACCGGTCTCGTACAACATCGATCTCTCAGGACACTTCTGTGCTTCCAAGATTCTAAATTGCAACTCGGCTCCCTTCATCCCTCCAGCGTATCCTTGGGGTGGCTTGCCCCTCCTTTTACCCCCAATTATCCGCGCATCGCCACGTTCGTTTCTTCGTCGCTGGCCCCCCATCTCGCCAATGGCAATGCTTTGCGCCATGTCGAGCCACGGTTGGGGGCCTTGCGTGCCTAAAATCCGTGGCGGAAGGGGTCGTATCCAGTGCCAGTCCGTGCCTGCCAACCCCACTACTCATTAAGGAATGACCCACGTCACAATTTGGATGCGAACGCAACACACGAGTTAGGAGGTCTGGGGAAATAGGATTGTGGCGCATGGCTTTGAACCGAGTCTCGTTGGACTCTATTTGGAAAATCGAGGGCCATCACCGTTCGACCTCACCTGTTGGATGTACGAGGTCATGACGAGACCCCCGTTCCGGCCTCTGTGCAAGCCTCTCTCTCCTTAGTACTCCGGATGCAAGCTCAGGACCATTGCTGCAGGTTGGTCCCCTGACAGCGACAGCCCCACTTCCTTTCGATATCCAGTAGCTCCAACACAATAAAGGTGATCCACTCTTGATAGACGTGATGCCGGTTTAAGCGAGGTTAAGAATGGAAAGAAAAAAAGAATCAGACAGTCTGTCCCAAGACGGAGTGGGATTTCGCTACCGGCAGGCAGATGAAGTGCGCCTCACGGTACCACATTCCTCCAGAACTAAATGAGTAATATGGGGATTTGGTGGGATTCGAGAGTAATGAAAACAGCGAAAAGCATCCCATCTCAGGGCGAAAAAGGTTGGTAGCACAAGAAGCAATACAAAGGAGGCGTGACATTTCATGATCGATTGATTCAACAATCTTGCTGAGTAATGAGAATGGGCGGCAGCGGGAAGGAACATCTCGCCTCGTTTCGGCTCACGGAAGGATCGAGGTCAGCAAAGAGAGACCCAGAGCACATCAAATTGATGTTAAGGTACGCAGATACGGATACGGTTTGTAAATGCTGACGACTTGCTTGAGTAACCTCATGTGAGCACACTCAATGCCATGCATGCAGCACAAATTGGGTAGAAGAAGTCTCACAACCATATTTTTTGTCGCTATTTGGGTATCTATCATACATGAAAATAATTGAGGGCATTCTCCATGCGCGTCCTCCCGCAATCCTGTTTGCGTCAGATGACAAGCGCCACAATTACTGTTTCGTAGCAAGACCAAAAAATGTAAAAACTCTCGTCTCACCATTGTGTGCTCGTCACACGTAATACAGGTCCTTCTGTTATGGATTTGTGATGAACCACCCCCCCTCGAAGGTTTGCCTCTATCGATAACCCCTCCTCCCATGGCCATGACCCCGGCTTGGAGACCGCGACCGACTGCGGTCTCGATAACTATCGTAGCTGCTCCTGCTAGGGCTTCTGCGCTGGTCGTCACTATCGCTGGGGCGCCTGCCTCGTTCACGGTCACGGCGCGGAGCTGGGGACCTGGATCTCGACAGCGACCTTGAGTAAGATCGGGAGCGACCACGATACCTGCCTCCACCGCTTCCTCGAGGGCCCGGCCCCGCACTAGGAGATCTTGATCGGGAGGGAGAGCGAGATAATGATCGAGGTCGCCAAGTATCCGAGCGAGAACCATATCGACCAGGAGGTGAGTGACGGCGACCTCTGCCATGGGGACCTCCTTTTCCTCCAGCATTCAACCCAACACCACCTCCGCCACCGCCACCGTTGGCCGAAGGACGCCGACCAGGCGGGGGAACGAGAGGGTTGATGTTGGCCCCTCGCCGGGCCGTTGGTGGCGGCGGTGACATCTTGCGACGAGGCAGGACGATGGAGACGTTTATTGTCGTGCCGTCAATTTGAGCCTCGTGCATGTTCGCAACGGCCACTTCAGCATCGGCCTCGTGAAGGTAGAGGATGTAGGCGGTGCCACGGTTGGAGTTGACTGGAGCACCAGGTGGGTCACGTTAGCTGTATATTCTAGGACACAGAGGCAACGGGTAGGTGGGAAAAAGAAACTCCCGGGACTGATCGAAACGAATCATACATTGCCTGTTCATGGGTAGATCCAAATCATCAATAGGACCGAACTGACCGAAGATCTCATGAAGATGATCCTCAGTGATGTTCTTCGTTAACCTCTCAACAACAATCTAGACATAGACGCGGTGGGTTAGCAGCCTGCATACAGCGCAATGCATGTTGGGTGGGCGAGGCTACGACGACGACGGCGATCCTAGCGGGGTAATGGTGAATGGTACCTTTGTGCTTCTGGTATCACCCCTGTCTCTACTCCAGCTACGGCTCCTGCTGTGGCTCCGACTCGGGCTACGGCTGTAGGATCGACTTCGGCTTCGGTAGCGCCCATTGCGACGAGGAGTGGGCGACCGAGAATCGGATCGAGAAGGTGAGCGAGAGCGGGATCGAGAATCGAGGCGACGTCGTGGGCTGGGAGAACGAGAGTCTTCTGACATTGGTGATCGGGACGGTCTGCGGTCGCGAGACCTTGTTCCAGATTCCGATGCCATGTCCACTTTGTACGAGGGTGATGGGAAAATGTGCGGCGGTTTTTTGATGCAAGGATTTCGGGTAAGGGAGCTTCTGTTGGGAAATTTTGTGAGGTATGCAAGTGATACTTCGTGGAATGGTGGATGGGTGACGCGGGTCAAGCTCGGGTCGCGACCGCCGTTAATCAAGATGGCAAGGAATGTTCTGGTCACGTGAGAAGATGATTGGCAGCCTCTCGGCTTTTCTTCGCGTCTCACCAGATTCCAAGCTCTTATTGTCTTCAATACTTCAATAGACCAGCATGAACTTTGGCTAGACTCCGCGACTGAAATTACGATCTCATTGAATCGTGTTTGACCCTCCAAACAAGTCAATGAACGGCGATTGAAACCCCCTAGTTTTAGTCTGGAAGATTGATCATACCTCAACCCAGCGCACGCAGGACACTAAAACGAGGGACCATCGGACCGGTGTGGTCCTTCAGGCGCCTCATTCGCTGTCGACATTTTAAGCGCCAGGAATCGATTCTCCACGACATCTTGCTGCGCTGCATCTGCATACTTAGCTACTGACGTACCATGGTGTTGGCTCGATTTGAGGCTCATTTCATCTGATGACACCGAAGTGAGCGAGGTCATTGCACCAACAGTCTAACACCCATGCACTGCCACTCACCAAGAGGCCGAATAGTGGGCCACAGAAGGCATCAAGAAGGTGATTTGATATTTTTGAGGTGTCTCGCAGGACGAGAGCAAGCTAAGGTAACTCCACGAAAAGGGGACAAGTGCACGCTAGCTACATCTCCGGGTGCTACGCCGTACGTCCGCATCCAGTTTTCAGGCAGCGTGCGGCGCCAGCAACTTAAACTCGCATGGGGAATCAGGCACATGTTTGGTTCCTACCATCCGACAACTAGAACTCGTGGGATCTGAGCTTGTATTGAAAAGCACACTCTTGACGACCTTCAGTCCTAGCCCTATACGTAGATAGCAGTCGGAGGCCCAGAGGTTTGATTTTCCTGCCCACAACTGCCTTGGATATTTAGCCAGTATGCCTTCCTGTGGACCGACGCCTCCCCCAATTTCCTCCGAACTCTTCTCAATTCAGAACATTGAGCCATCATCGATCACTTTTTCTATTATCAGCGAGGCATTCACCTTAGGATCACAGAGTACGAGGTACCTGTGAGCCTCGTTTAATTTTCCGGGTGCGTGTTCAGAGACCCCCATGGTCTATGGGGTGCTGAGGCCGGTGTGGTGGTGTCGCTTGCAGCTTTTAGCCCCAACACAAGGTTACATTGGGCTCTGCACCGCCAGAGCTAGGACCACAACCAAAGAGTCCACAACTCAGAAATCAGAGTTGATGCCTGGATCACGCAAGGCTCTCAATTCTGATCCCTGGACCTTCAAATCAGTCTAAGCTTCTTTGGACACTTGGTCGCTTGGAAAAGAAGCCAGGAGGATCCGGCGCTAACAGGCGCACGGTGTATCGTCGGTCTCCAAGACCCGGGGACCTTCTCCTCACATTCCTTTCCAGGAGATTCTCCATTTCGGGCAGGATCTCGTCTCATGATCATCGTGCCTCGTAAAGACTCTATCTCTCTTTTTAGGCAGAACCTCGCTCTGTTTGGCTGTGAGACTTCATTCACATGTAACCTAAAGTGGCAGACCGCCCCTGGATTGCGTGACTGGAAGTGACGAATATCTCTTCCCGGATCCGTTCCGGCCCCGAGTCCATGATTCGGGTTACGAAACATGTCACTGTGGTATCCCTGTAGGGTCCCTCGTCAAATCCTTGAAGAACGTTTGAGCAGAGATCTTGCAGCTTGGGGCTCGGACAAGGCATATTCACACATCGTATTTTTTTTGATCCTGTGGCGTTGAAACGAAGACAATTCAGCTTAGGATTGACATCCCGGACCCCAAAGAAGCCCCTAGTACGTTTCCAAGTGAAGATACAAATCCTTTGAAAATTCGCCGCATGTCATCGCACAGCCCCACGTGCGAAGGAACGGAATCCTACCAAAATGGCCATTGCCTTATTGTTCCTGCGAGAAGGAGACGGCCAAGAATGGACCAATTCCATTATCAAGGCAAGGCATCATGCTAAGAAAAAAATGAGAAAAAACAAATTAGCGATACCTACGATCAATATGCTCCTCAACTTCCCTCCGCGGAAACATCAGAAAGATGACATGCAAGCTTATCTATCCAGGACGAGAAACCAATTGATCTCCGGTGCATCTCCTATCAGATTCGCACTTTCCACGTTCCGCGGGGGACCAATCCCAGCGATTAGCATTATGGCAGTCGTGATTGGGGCGATTAGCTAATGCGATGCTGGCTTTTGCTGGTGAGGAAAATTCCAGGAGAAGAAAAAAGGAGAAAAAACCATCGATGACATCAGGAACGCTAAGAATTGCGAGCGCGGGGCAGGCGCAAAATGTGCAGGAACAACCATGTTAGTGTGGGGGATTTTGTAATCGAGGACGCTTCTCGTTGCATTGCGGCACCAATTTGACTCGAGGTGACCCGGTTTAGATGGCTTTCTTGGTAGAATTAATTGATTATTGATCGCTATTACGTCTTCTTTTCTCTGCTCTCACTGTGACTCGAAATTCTTTGATGCGTTGGGTGTGTCGCGCGATTAAAAAGAGAACTCAATTGCTCGCCCTTGGTTGTTAGTGAGGCGAATCCATCCTGCTTCCTCCTTCCTGATCTCGCCAATTCACACTCGGGTCGCCATGGCCGACTCCATCTCCCTCCTCGCGGCGCTCAATTGCGTCTCGGCAACCCATCTTGTCATCGGTTCCAATCCTCTGGCGGCCGCCCGCTGCACCCAGTCTCTCAACGCGGGTGCCCACCCCGTGGTCATCGCCCCTGCGACAGCAGACGTCCACTACGGTCTCCAGAAGCACATCGACGCAGGTACCGTAAAGTGGCTCCAGCGTGAGTTCCAGGATGAAGATCTCTTCACACTGGGCCGTGAAGAAATCGGACATGTCGTCGATGCAGTCTTCGTGACCGTCGGCCCGCGCAGCCCATTGAGTGAGTTCCTACCCCTTGCCGAAAGAGCAAACATCTCCTTACGCACGTAAGAATCCCGCCCACGACCTCAGGCAGTGCTAACCCTTTGCCCTTCCCCTACAAAAAGGCGCCCATATATCTTCCCTTTGCAAGCGCAACAGGATCCCCGTCAACGTCGTCGACGCCCCTCACCTCTGCACCTTCACCCTCCTGTCCACCCACGTCGACGGCCCCCTCCAGATTGGCGTCACGACCAACGGTCGCGGGTGCAAGCTCGCCTCACGTATCCGCCGTGAGATAGCCGCTTCTTTACCCCGAAATCTCGGCGCGGCGTGCGCTCGGCTGGGCGATCTTCGGAGACGGATCCACGCGGAGGACAGGCCTTCGGGCCATGCTGAGGAGGACGTGGACGACTCGGTGGACCAGGCTGCGACGTTTAATAAGCTCGTCACGGACGCCGATCTCGATGCCGCGAGGAGCAGGAGGATAAGGTGGCTCTCGCAGGTGTGCGAGTACTGGCCCCTGAAGAAATTGGCGGCCATCACGGATGCGGACGTCGGTGCCGTCCTCGCCTCTTACAACCCTTCTTCGTCCATCCCATCATCGGCCGCCACCTCCCCCTCAAACGAACCCGCTTCCTTCCTCAGCATTCCCCAAACGCTCTCTTCACCCCAGACGTCCCCCTCTCCCACCCGGCGCGGAACCCTCATCCTAGCCGGCAGCGGGCCCGGCCACCCCGACCTCCTCACCCGCGCAACCTACAAAGCGATCCAATCCTCCCACATCATCCTCGCCGACAAGCTCGTCCCTTCGCCTGTCCTAGACCTCATCCCCCGCCGCACCCCCGTCCATATCGCCCGCAAGTTCCCCGGAAACGCCGACCAGGCCCAGCAGGAGCTCCTTGAGATGGCGCTGGCGGGCGTGCGCGAAGGAAAGACCGTCCTCCGGCTGAAGCAGGGTGATCCCTTCATCTACGGCCGCGGGGGCGAGGAGGTTGATTACTTTAGGAAGGAGGGGTGGGGTGATCGGGTGCTCGTGTTGCCTGGCATTACGAGCGCGTTGAGCGCGCCGCTGTTTGCTGGGATCCCTGCGACGCAGAGGGATGTATCCGATCAAGTGTTGATCTGCACGGGGACGGGGAAGAAGGGGAAGGCGCCGACGCCACCCGAGTTCGTCCCCACGAGGACCGTTGTGTTCCTTATGGCTCTGCATAGGATTAGCGCGCTTGTGAGGGAACTCACTGCCTATACGGAAGAGGAGGCAGATACAGGCGAGTACCCCGTGGGAGAGAGGAACGCCAATGGCGGCACGAAATCGAGGAGAACACTCTGGCCGCGTAACACGCCGTGCGCCGTCATCGAGAGGGGTAGCTGCCCCGACCAACGAGTCATCCGTACGACACTGGGCTTCGTCGCCGAGGCCATCGAAGAAGAGGGCAGTCGACCGCCGGGTCTACTGGTCGTCGGTAAGGCCTGCGAAGTGCTCTTCACTTTGGAAAAGGGCAGGTGTTGGGCAGTAGAAGATGGATTTAAGGGTTTGGATTTAGATGATTTAGTCTCTCTATAGATTTATCAACACATGCATGGTCCTTGCGAGGTATATATGTATATAGAACTTAGACAACATGGGCAGCCCGACACATCTCTGCATTAAGAATGGAAATCATATCCAGTTAAACGAAATGACCTTACTCCTTGCTCTCTTCAGCTTCCGTCTCCTCAAACATAACAAGAACCGTTCCAGCTTTGCAAATGTCCTGGAGAAACAGGGGGTTAGTATCGGGCTTAAACTGTCTCGATCGAAAGTAGATACTTACTCCTTCCTTATGCGCCAACCTCTTGATAACGCCATCCTGGGGGGAGCGAATGACTGTCTCCATCTTCATCGACTCGATACTGTCCAAAGGTATTAGTATGCCTCTTTACACAGAGTGCCTAGGCTCTGGGTCGACTTACACAACCAGCGGTGTGCCCTTCTTAACCTCCTGTCCAACCTCAACCTCATTCTTCAGAATCTTGCAAGGCATAGGCGCAACAACCGAGCCGGCCGACTCCTTCGTGCCGAGCGCCTTCTCCACCCACGCAGGGGGAAGGAGCTGCATCTCCGTCTTTGTTCCATGCTGGAAGACAGCAAGCCGAGCCTGCGTCGGGTTGGCGGCATCCTGGTCGACGACCACGGTGGACTCTATCCTCTCGGCAGGGAAGAAGGTGGTCAGGTGGCTCTTGGAAGGAGATGTGGAGGCCTCGGAAACGATGTTCTCGTAGCGAGTGGGCTGGGACTGGCCGTCGCGGAAGACCTCAACGTTGAAGAGTTGGTTGCCAGTACGGGAGACGCTGACGCGGACGATCTCCTCCTTTGCGTCCTCGTTGTGGTTGATGGGCTTGAAGGCGACCTGGCTCTGGCTCGTGGGGGGCTCGGCCTCGAATCCGAGAGAATCACCGTGGGGGACCTTGTTCGTAGAGGCAGACGCGATGCTGGCAAGCGCGGCCTGGATGAAGACTTCATCGGGATGGTTCGCGGGCTTGAAGAGGCTGTCCTTCCACTTTTCGATGAATCCAGTCTCGACGTCACCCTTGATGAACGCGTCCTCGCAGCACAGACGCTTCAGGAACTCCACGTTCGTGGACAGGCCGACGATCTCGTACTCCTTGAGCGCCATCTCCATCCTGCGGATCGCAGTCTCCCGGTCCTTGCCCCGGACGATAAGCTTGGCAATCATGCCGTCATACGCCTCGGAGACGGTGTCTCCCTCGACGAAGCCAGCATCGATTCGGACGTCGTCATTGATGCTGGGAGTCGAGAGGTGGATGAGCTTTCCAGAGTCCGGCATGAAACCCTTGTCGGGGTTCTCGGCGTAGATTCGCGCCTCGATGGCGGCGCCGCGCTCCTTGATTCTCTCCACGATCTCCTCCTGGGTGAGGGGCAGCTTCTCTCCGCCCGCGACCCTGAACTGCCACTCGACGAGGTCGGTTCCCGTGACCATCTCGCTCACGGGGTGCTCGACCTGAAGACGAGTGTTCATCTCCATGAAGTAGAACTCGCCGGTATCCTTGTCGAGGATGAACTCAACGGTACCCGCTCCTACGTACCCGACAGCGGACGCCGCGAGTCTGGCCTTCTCCCAAAGATCAAGCCTCGTCGCGTCATCGAGATCGGGAGCGGGGGACTCCTCGATGACCTTTTGGTGCCTCCTCTGTACACTGCAGTCTCGCTCACCGAGCGCGACACAGTTACCAAGCTTATCCGCGAACACCTGCACCTCGACGTGCCTCGGCCTGACGATATACTTCTCAACAAGCATAACCTCACCACCCTCACCGAACGACGCCCTGGCCTCGGCCTTGGCGCTCTGAAGCTGCCGAGGGAACTCCTCCTCCGTCATGACGATCCTCATGCCCTTTCCACCACCACCCTTGACACTCTTCAACAGCACAGGGAACTTGATATTCCGCGCATGCGCCAACAACTGCGCCTCTCCTTGCTCGGAGCCATGGTAACCTGGCACACAGGGGACGCCCGCAGCAGTCATGATCTCCTTACTCCTAGCCTTGTCTCCCATATCCGCCATCGCTTTCGCGGGGGGGCCCACGAAGACGATCCCTTCCTTCTCACACTTCTCGGCAAATGCCGAGTTCTCGGAGAGGAACCCGTATCCGGGGTGCAGCGCCTGGATGCCATGCTTCTTGGCCAGGGATATTATCCTGTCTCCGTCGAGATAGGCGGTCGCCGCCCCGAGGTTAAGCGAGTGGGGAGAGCACGCGGCATGTTGGGCGCCGGCGTCCGGGTCGGTGTAGAGGGTCGTGGTGCGGATGCCGAGACGCCGCGCCGTGCGGTGGATTCTGAGGGCGATCTCGCCGCGGTTGGCGATGAGGAGGGAGGTGATTGGGGTTACTTTGGAGGAGGGGGAGTCTGCCGAGGAGGAGTTGGCGGCCGTGGAGAGGAGACGGCGCCGGAGTGGGTGAAAGGGAAGCTGGTTTCTTGCGATTGACCTCATGGTTGATATGGGAAGAAAATGAGGGGGATATGCCTTTTATCGTAGAGGAATTCAGCTAGCCCAACCCGAGTTATTGAAAGAGGAGGTCAATTGGGGGGAGGAAGGAGGAATTGGAAAAGAGAGACCTGGAGGATTTTTTAGGATCGATGGACGTGAAGAAAGAAATACATAGACGTGCGGAGTTCCAATAACCTCAGCGCCGACGAGAGCAACCGAGCCTAGGATCTTAAGCCATGAAGGCCGAGAATATCCGGCGCAATGCTCCAATTGCCTCCAAAAGTTCAACCCCCTGTCGGCCTTTAAGCGTTGGGTCACGCGATTGGTCCAAATTGGGTCAGTTTGATCTGTCCCCAGACGGCAAACGCCGTTTACCCCGCCTTAGTCAGCTTCCCCACAACTGTACCCCTCCAATGTTCTCCACGGGAGGCACGAGGGTCCTTTTTGGGGAAAAGCCGTGTTCCTGATGTGACGAAGTAAATCGCGACGTCGTATGAGGCTGAGATTTCCAATATCCACCGCCTTCTTCTCGTCTACACGCTGTCGCTTTCAATTGAACGGACCTCAGAGTAATCGGTAACTATGGAGCAACAAATTCCCCTCACGCACGAAGCCTCCGCCGGAGACACGAACAAGCAGACCACGGCGACCCTCCCGACGGAAGTTGTCCAATGTCTCGAGAACGCACGCTTTGTGAGATTGTTCTGACCATGAACTCTTAATATTATTCTCGGACCAGCCGGCTAATCAAGGAACACCGCTGGCGTGCAGCTTCATCTCGCAACATGTCACGATAACATCCCCCACGTGTCCCTAATGAATTACACCTACCTCGCCGAATCCCCCTTCTCCTCCTCCCCCGTCATCATCATGACCACCAACCCCTCCTCCAAGAAGATCAACAACCTCGTCGCGAACCCAAATGTCTCTCTCTTAGTCCACGACTGTAAGTCCTGCTACTGTACCTGACACACCCCACTTCTTCCTCCAGCTGGTAGCTGACAATCGCGCCCTACAGGGGTCTCCCACCGCCCCTTAACCGGCCGCCGCCTCTCCAACGGCTCCCCCCAACCACCCCCTTCCAGTCTCGCCTCCCTCCTCCTCAACCTAAACTCCTCCGCCATGTCCTCCATCTCCGCCACCATCAACGGCTCCGCCCGCCTCGTCGACCAGGGCTCCGCCGAGGAGCGCTTCTACCGCGAGCAGCACCTGGAGAACAATACCTTTGAAGGCGGCGACGTCGGGATTCACCCGTTTGCGGCCGCGGCGGGTGATGTTGGTGATAGTGCTGCGGTTGTGGAGGATGGAGGGCCGAGGCTGGGATCCGGGGATGACTTTAGGGTTGTGGTGGTTGATATCAAGGATGTGAGGATTAGTGATTGGAAGGGTGGGGTGAGGGATTGGGTTCTTGTCAAGGAGGAGGATCTAGTCAACGGGGTGCGGTAAGCTCGGTCCGAGTTGGAGTTGTAGGAGTTGCAGAGGGAGTGATGGCCGCTGCTGGGCGATTTACACAAGAGTATAGAAGAACATTCCGTTTATAAGGATACGGAGGGGATTTCTTTTTGTTTCCCCATTTTCCTAATATTCCCTTTCCCAGTGCTCACACACTCATGATTTCAAGGCGGTTCGCCTACCTGTGCGCAATGATAGTTCGGTTACAGAAATCCTTCAATTTAGTTGCCGGTTTCTGGGATGCCGATGACATCCGCAATAACCGCCGCTATCTAATGTAATACTAATTCCCTTCCTCCTTCGGCAAGTGCCTTTTGTTTGGGTTTTCCAGTCCCAATCTATCAGTTCCGGTTTCAAATCTTTTTTCCCCCTTTCCATGGATTTCCTCCCGTTATATGACGGACCCTGCGATTCTGGAACGCCGAGTCTTCTATGCCTGAGAACAAAAGGAAAACAGACCCCCGACTCCAAGCGCCTCCATGCTCAATACCCATTCTATGAACCCCCTGCCAACGCCTAGACATGAGAAAAAAGGAGGGCGACACAAAACGATAAACACAAAGGAGAAACCGAACACTAATCAAACACGTACGGATAACAAGCCCCGTACACACTGTCGCCTACTTTTAATTGAGCTGGCTCGTTCGCCCTCGTTGCGCCCACTCAACTACCTCAAGTGCACACATGACCAAGACCATGGTTGACGGAAGGATCCTATAGAATCTGTTAGAAGTGTCCAAATCTGAGAAAAAAAATCAACTCTGAACCCGAAACTCACCAGATAACATAACTCTGGAACAAAATCTTGGCCATAACGCCCTCATACACCCCGTTAAGCTGACAAATCTGCGCCAGCTGCAATGCGCTCGGCGCACCCGTGAGAAGAAAGCACACGATGACGAAAATCGGATCGTCAAGAATGCTCACTGGAATGTACTTGGCGACGAGGGCGAGAATGGGCGCCATGATGATCGTGGGCAGCAACATGCGACTAACGAGCGAGGCGATGAGCAGCTTCGTGCCGATCTTCTCCTCGTCGTGGTCGTGGTTTTCGTGTTGTTGGGTGTTCCGGGCTAGGTTCGCGCCGAGGACGACGAGGATGAGGGGCACGGCGACGCTGCCGCTGGATGACACCGCGCGAGTGACACTGTTGTACACGAATGAGTCCTCTTCGAAGAAGATGTCGTGTAGCTTAGGGACGGAGGCGACGATGACGGCTATCATCATGGCCCAGAGGGGAGGGTTCATGAATTTCTCAAGGAACACGTAGATCCTGGTGATCCCAGACCACAGGCCCTTCAACACACTCTGCAGTGGGCTGGGGAGGCAGTTGAACACCTTCCGCAGACGCTGGCTTATCGAAGACTTGACAGCGGCTACCTTCTTTTGCAGCCTCGACTTGACGGTCTTAATCAAAGTGCTCGAGCTCCTCGGTTGGCCAGACCTGATCTCGGGGAAAAAGACGATCTCTCGTACCGAACCGCGATGGCTGTGGCGGTTGGGGAGGAGGGGTCGATCGGCGTTCTTGGCATCCGGATCCAGGCTCTCCTCATCCCCAGAATCCTCCGGCGAAGCTTGCGATCCGCTGGCGACAGGTGTCGGGCCTGCAGGCCAGAAATGGCAGAAATCCTCGGTGCTTTCGGTGCGATCCAAGGGCTCGCTCGTTTCGCTGTCGGAATCATCGCTCGTGGTGCTATGGGTTAGAGTGGGAGGCTGGGAGGCATCCGCGTAGGGGCCACTCTCTAGATCATCGTCGTTACGATATTCGAGACCTTCACCATACACCGGGTCTTCTGTTTCCTCCACCTTGGGCTTCGGTGCAAGTAGTACGTGGTAGCCCCAACTCCACCGAACGAGTTGGCCAAGCTGCTGGAAAAGAAGGAGGTAGAGAATGCCTCGTGCGGCGACATCGTCGTCGTTGTCGCCGGGGATTCTGTCCCAGTGCAGTCCGTCGAGAGTCTGAGAAAAGGCGATAACGAGGGAAATGGGTAGGGAATTCGAGTTACCGAAGACGCCCATGGCAGTGACGAAGTTGGCGGCGCGCTTGTGGAAACGGAATACTCGGGAGACGAGGACGGAGACGAGCCATGATACGGCGGTTTGGATGACGAAGATGAGAGGAATGATGGAGAGGCCTGCGAGAGCGTCGATGCTTAGCTGGGAGGCAAGCTTCGTGAAGACTATTACCGCCCAATGTTAGTAGGTTAGAGTCTACATGGTGTTTCCGAGGACATAAGGGCGGATTGGGGGGGTGGCGATGGGCATTGGCATCAATAAGACTCATCGACACGACTCACTCAGACAGGGGGTGAATAGCATAATATTCAAGTTCGCCAGAAACTTTTGCTTGTCGGCATCAAAGTGTCCTAACCTCGCGATAACATAACCAGGAAGGCTGATGCAGACCACCTCGAGGATGGCAGAAAACACCAGGAGCATGAGCCGACCGATCGGAGGGTGTGACTCGTGGTTCTGGGGGGAAAGGACATCTTGATGAAAATCGATCTCAGCAGGATTCGCGTTCGAGTAGGTATTAGTATTCAGATAGGAGTCCAGGAACGACACCACGGCCGTTCCTGAGCCGTCGAAGTTGGAACCCATCGAGTGTCAATCTGTCGAAGAAGAATGACGAGGATGGATCGGATCCAGTGTAGAAGGGGAAAAGGATGGTGGAGCTGTTTCCATCGTCATTGATATTTATCAGGAGAGAAGTGCTGAGATTCACACTTATTGCCCTTGCTCTTTGTTTGTTTGTTGAACGGGGCAGTACTGGAGTAGTACGTACTTCCACTGATGTGCGTAGGCTGGGGGAGGCGATATTCTGCACTCTGCTCCAGTAATAGAGCCTCTGATGTTGGGTCAATGGTGTTACTTGGTGTTACTGGTTAGACAGTGGAGCTGTGGTTCGAGATACTTTCAAGCTCATGTCGCCATTTGAGTCCATTTGGCTGCCTGCCTGATAAGCTTTACGTCATGTCACTAGTTGATGTCGTTGTTGGTACTTCTTTGTTTCCTGTTTCAGGGTACCCAAGTACCGTTGAGGTACATCTCAGTCGAAGTCGTGCTCACATTCCGATGTCTGATTGGGCTGAACTAGACATTTCGGGGGCTGAGCTGTCGTCGAAGCTGAGGACGCTAAGGGCGTCGGGCGTTGCCCCAAGAGCCAAGGCCTCCCATCGAATTCATTTTAGCCAGTCAGCGTCCATCACTTGATATTGTGTGTACCTTGAGGTTCGGTGAGCGGCTCGCTGCGTCACCCCCCGTCTTTCGTATCTGCATTCAATTCAGGGCCCAACCCTTCCTCTTTTGCGATACGCTTGACTTGAGACATTGTCTGGTGGGATTTCTCGCACGACTTCTTGCCGATTTCGATCCCACCGATGGAGATACCTGTAGCGATGTTACACATAACACGGGATGGGAAAGTAAGGGTGATAACTTCGTACGATAAGAAGCACCCGATAAGAAGGTTCTCATGGCATTTTCGGATGTGAACACCTCACTGTTGGCTTGCGCTTAAAGAGATCAATACCAGCGCCACCATAGTGGGTCGCTCACCGAAGTTAAGTTGATAAAGGTGCATCTCGCCTCACTTGATTTCATGCCATGGGAATGGATGCCTCCCGAAGGTTCGCCGCATATGAATGCGCACTCTTTCTTGCGCCTCCCGGTGTTCCGTCCCCAACTCCCAACTGTAAGGAAGATTGGCGAAATCGATAAAGCTGCGGCTCATGATTCTCTCTTGATATAACTCTTTTTTTACTTTGCCTAGTGAGATAACACTGCCCTTCCTGTGGGAAGGTATTTTCCAAGTACCACACCTTTGGGCTATCCCTTCATGTGCTCCCCCTCCCTCCCAAAAAGGCTGAATTGGCCGAAACAGAAGCGTAAACTTCAGCTAGCACGCGCTGAGGCGACAAGTTGAGGTCCCCAGCTTCCAGTCAAATAAGGAAATCTGATACACGTGCGAGTGGGTTCTCCAGTCACGTACGTTTTGGCGATCGCGACTACTGGTTAGTGGAGTTGCGAGTTTCTTATCCCTTTGCCAGTGAGTGTTCGAGAGGGAGAATTGAAGGTAATTCAGATCATCTTGAAATCACCCAATTTTCATCGCAGTCTAGACCGGGGAATTCGAATCGAGATTGGGGGCGCAAAGTACATATCCTCGTGCGGATTCGATGCGAGGGCGCCCTAATAAAATCCTAATAATTTGATAAAAATTGCAAAACGAGAAGAAGATTGGACAAAAAGTTTACGCCAAAAAGGGGGCTGGGGGCTAAAAAGGAAAAACGTACAACACCAGGGATTCGCTGGTCGTCACCGACCCAACTACTAGTCTGGCGCTTCGCAGCTTGTGTACAGGGGAGCGGACGGGACCCTCAATATTCTGCGAGCTATGGTCGTACGTATTAGCGCTGTCTTTCTATTCCGTCTATAAAGGCAGGCCATGTTGAATCGTCACCTCAAAGCGGTTAAGACGTCCACTCTTTCGGCAGCCAACCATTCTTTTCACAGCCTGAGAGTTTGCGATGGAACTTGAACCTTTTATATATGCATTTTCGTAACATCAGAGAGCAGCCAGCGCCGTGATTCCCCTTCCCCATTGTAAATATTTTAAGTCACGGGTGTGGGAGAGGCAGGTTACCGCTTGGAAATCCCGACCGCCTCGAGTGAGAGCTCGAATTCGACCGTCTTACCTCATCAACTATCTATTATCCTAGCAGCCAAGGTCGCAGAAGCATTCCATCTCAGGAGAGGTATGGGCCTGAAATTTTTCTTTGCGTACTTCCTATGCAGCCAGCAGGGTCCACCTCCTTTGACGAGAGGAAGACGGAATGATCGTCGGAAAATGCAGTCGGCAGACAGTTGACGATGAACTCGTGCATGACAGCCAGGGGCTGGCTTCATCTGCACCTTCAATGTTCCATTGCCCCTCATCTTCTTCATTCGGGGGAAGAGTCATTCTTGTCGTTCGCCTTGATTGAGAGAATACCCTCATTTATCGCAGTTTCATCGTAGCAGCCATACGCGGTTTGACGTCGCCTCCCTCATGGAAGATCCGTCCTCGCTCAAACGGAAAATCTGCGGGAAGCGCAGAGCAGTCGGATCAGACTGGTGAGAAGGAAGAGGACCCCCAAAAGCCCGCAGATTTTGCTCCGGACTGCAACCGTTACACTCGCAGCACCACATCATGTCAGTCCATCCGGGGTCGTTGCGACCCGTAAGTAACAAGTAGATTACAACTCTATTCAGACATGTAAGACATGGGATATGCCAGGGTCCAATGCTCCCTCGAAAATCTGGTGGTATGGAGGCAGAAAATCCTACGGCCAAGATAAAAACGTACGAAGCATCCCGCAATCCAACTCCATAAACGGTGAGGCAAGATAAATGATCTGACCAGCCGTTGAGCTTACTAGACTCGGTTCGGGTTGCATTTTATCTGTAGGTAGCCGTTCGGCAAAGAGCCTTGAAACAGTGCCACTCTCGATGTCCTTGAATCTAAGCGAAGATCGTAATTGATCGATGAAAGAATGCTCGTAGATGATAGGTGCAGACAATGGTGCCTGCTTGAAAGGAAACGGTCACGTCGGTGATCCGGTGGTCATAAAATGCGAGCTCGGTTTTCGGCGATGGGGGACGGGTGGCGCACCAAAAGAGCCTCCGAAGGCTTATTGAGAGAATCTCCACTAGACGGTCTTAGCATTCTTGTCACATTCACATTGATCCTACGCTCCCCGTGCAGTGCAGTGGTGATACTAATGCGGAGTATCAAATCATTGGAGTCAAACCTCGGATCGAGACATCTCTGATCGGTCCATTGTCCTCATTGTTCTGTTGCCTGGTGATCTGATCCTGAAATTGGATTAACCTAGAACATCAATGCTTTTCCGAACAGAGATGTTTGGCAGATCCCGATCCCGAGATCCCTTAATTCTACCCTTACCGGGATAAACAGGACAGAGGCACAAGATCGATTGGGACCCTCATCCGTTTACCTTTTCAGTCTATTGCTCGGGTCCAGTTACCATAGTCCGCCATAATGAAAAGAGCCAGAGTTAACATTAGATAGTGTTGACTGCCACCCATCCACTCACCCGGGCACTCGAGTAATGATAGACGTCGAAAAACTTGGAACATGACCAATATCAATTGGACTGAACGAGCTGATTGCCATCATTACCCTTGTTTCCTGTCTACTTGTAGATTATGAAGTACCGTCTGCTAAGTCGACCAGGCGGGAAAGCATGCTTTCCACCCAGGCATAAATGATCAAGCGTGGTTGTCTTGAACCAGAAACCTTTTCCCATCAGTCAGTTTCAATGTTCTCTCCAAACTCAAATTACCGGACTGTACTCTTTTTGCGGACCACCGCTTAGCGCGCATTGCGCTAGACGACCAGTTTGTCGAAGCAAACCCACCTCGCCTGACTCAACTGAGCAGAGCCTTTCAGTGTGTTAAGCCACCTGACTGCTTGTTGGAGCCTCCAAACTTCGAACTTGCATTCTTCACCAATCCACTCGCGACTGCGGAGCCGACAATCCCTTAGTTTAGACTCATGAACCGGTCTTTTGCTGCAGGTAGCATATTTTTCGCTTTCGGCCTAACGGCCTTAAATCCAACGTCCTTGGGCCAAGTGGCTCCTCTCTGGCGCTGCTCAGCCCCATAATAATTCTCGTTGTTGGCCCTTCCCTGCCTGGGTTTGCGCCGTCGGTTTCGCTTGGTGGCGACAAGTGCCAAGTCTAAGTGCCCCTGGACAATCAGGTTGAATGGTTGAAGCCTTGTTGGGTCCTTCCTCCGTTTCCTCCATCGCCCCCACTACAATTGTGCATTTTGTGTCCAGTCCAGTGCGACTGCCCCGCTATTGAGACGGAAGGAACCCAGAAGGAAAAAAAAAAAAAACTGATCGAGAAGCAACGACCCAAAAGCAAGATTGAGTCAAGAAGAGAGAAAAAAAGGCATGTCTACAAATTCTCGCCCAGAAAAGCCAATTTTCCAATCTCCGATTCCCCAGCGAAGAAAACCTTTTCTCTCCGTCGCCATCACTTTCCGTCTAAACATTTTCCCCCCTCACCCGACCTAACCTTAGCCCAGTTTCACCCAACCCCTCCACCGTTCGCAATCTCAGAGTCCTTGGGCCTCAGCGCCAACAGGAGCCTGCGGAATTACTGCTTCCCTCTGCACGACCACCACCGTACCGGACCTCTCTCCATCTCACTCCGAGACCTCTGTATCACCAAGGGAGTACAGCGTTATAAAGCGTAATTCCCTAGCTATTTTCTACAAGCTATTTCACCGGCACCTTCATCAAGCCTGGCCATTTCTCTAGCACGAGTCTCTTTCCTCTTTGCGTCCCGCTTCAGACCGTCTCTGGCCACCACACGACCCCTCGCGGCCAGTCCCGCGTATTGCGGCCACTGTCGACTACACTGCCCTGACCTTACAAATCCGTACAACCTCCGATTCCGCTCGTCATCCGAAAACGCCTGATCCCCCGACAGAGCAGCCGTCGTCGACCGTTGTGTACACTACACATAGTCTGCCACGATGGACTCCATACCTTCCACGCCCGATGAGGCGTCCAATCCAGTCGACAATAATCCCTACTTTCCCGCGACTGTCCCGTCCCCCAAAACCGGCACACCTCTCGAAAATACCCGTGTCGACCAGTCTAGCGGCGATAGCTCTAAAAGGCTACCGTCCCTTCGCTCCGTCTCCGACCCTCGAAACATGCACCCCAGCTCGACGCCCCTGGGTACCCTCTCCAGCGCGAGGCGGCCCCCTGCCTCTTCCGTGCTGGGCGGTGCTCTAGCTGGAAGCGATGCCATGCTCAGAGCCCGTTCTCTCGCCGAGGCCCGCATGGGCAGACCACCACCCAACCAGCACTCTCCACCTGTCGGGCCTTCCCCTAATCGCGGGTCGCCCGTGGCCGGCGGACCATTCGCTGGCGGAGTTGCCGGCAACTTGCGCCTCCCTCCAGGAGCCATGAGGCCGGGACTACAGGGAAGTTCCATGCCGGGGCCGATCGCGTCGAATAAGCCTCAAGGTCTTAGCGCGAGGAGAGGGATGAAGCTTCAAATGACTCCGGATTCACCCGCCACCACCCCAAAGTTGTCGGGCATGAACCTCCGCGACGGCCAGGCTCAGTCGAACGGCGTGCGCCAAGGCTCCAAGCTGGACGACTTCAGGAAATACATCGACGCCGAAAAGGGATGGATAACGTTTGAGGGAGCTGCTACAATCACGAATAAAGGTGTGAACTTCTCCAACGGAAAGTCCTTCCACATGTCGCTGGATGAGGTCGAGCCGCTGGGCGAGCTGGGTAAGGGCAACTACGGAACTGTTTACAAGGTGCGCCACGCGAGACCCTCGCGGCCTCGTTTCGGCCAGGGACTGTCGGGCTTCCGCGGGCCCTCGCCTAATACGTCATCGAGCGACGTGTCCGAGTCGACGACCCCCAAAGCCAACGGTGCACCCGGTACGTTACCGAACAACTGCACAGGTGTGATTATGGCCATGAAGGAGATTAGGCTGGAGCTGGACGAGGCCAAATTCACGACCATTCTCAAGGAGCTCGTTATCTTGCACGAGTGCGTATCGCCTTATATTATCGACTTTTACGGCGCCTTCTTTCAGGAGGGTGCCGTGTACATGTGTATCGAGTACATGGACGGAGGATCGATCGACAAGCTCTACACAGGAGGCATCCCGGAGGACGTATTACGGAGGATAACATATTCGACGATCATGGGCCTCAAGACACTCAAAGACGATCACAACATTATCCACCGCGACGTCAAGCCTACCAACATCCTCATCAACCGGCGAGGGCAGGTCAAGATTTGCGATTTCGGCGTCAGCGGCAACCTGGTGGCGTCCAAAGCGAAGACCAACATTGGTTGCCAGAGCTACATGGCGCCCGAGCGGATATCCATCGAAGGGATGAATTCGGTGGGGTCCGATGGGACTTACAGTGTTCAGAGCGATATCTGGAGTCTCGGGCTGACGGTGATTGAGTGTGCGCTTGGGAGGTATCCTTATCCACCTGAGGCCGCGAACACGATATTTAGTCAGCTTAGCGTAAGTAGTAGACGTCTATCCTATGAGCACCACCCCATTCCTGGTTTGCCTCCTTCTCTCAGTACCCATACTAAACTCCCTTTAGGCCATTGTGGATGGAGAGCCGCCAGACTTGCCGAGCGAGGGATACTCGCCATCGGCTCGAGACTTTGTCCGCGGATGTCTAAACAAGATACCCAAGGCGCGCCCAACCTACGCCATGCTCCTCAAGCACCCCTGGTTGAAATCGCTCACGGAGTACGACACGATCAAGGAAGAGCCCGAGGAGAATGGAGAAGTCGAGGGCGGCGTGGATGCGATTGCCGAGAGTGTTGGACGCATGCATTTCCGGACCACCACGGACGACGCCATTGTGGCGGAGTGGGTTAAGAGCGTTCTCGACAGAAGGAGCGCCGAGGGGGATGCCCCCAAGCCGTCGCTTCCGGCATTGCATGCGGCGCCGCTTAACACGGTTGGTCTGACGGGGGCGGCGGCGTCGAATCCGCGCGCCGCTTGAGGGAGTGGCAGTCGTCGGACCTGTTGTGTCTGGAGTAGATGCTGATTTTAAAAGCCGATGAAGCTGGTCTCATGGGCGATGAGTTTGGTAGACCGGCATATACATACGGTGCCGGATCAGAGCTGTGCTAATGGGGGACAACCGCGTGTCGAAGAAGATGTGTTTGGCAACACACAGTGCATGGGTAGCATTCTTTCCTCTCTCTTTTCATTTTTTGCTGAAAGCGTTCTGAGAGTTCTTGATGTTTGAAGATGGGAAAGAAGAAAGAAACCAGAAAAACAGATTCACCCCTCTTCATTGCGGGATACACTTTCTTTTACGATCATGTTTGCATAGCGAGAAAAAGTATACGGGATTCGGCGACACACTCCACTTGAATAACATCCTTTCTTTGTTTTTCGTTTTTGTTTTGTTTTCCTTCTGCTTTTACTTGGAAGGGAGCGGGTTCGGGGCGAGGGAGGGCGGGCGGTTCACTCATCTTTTCAAATGTCTTTCTCTTTTCTTTTCTTGTTCTCGTCCTTTACATACAATCACACTGCATGCACATAACTACGCACCGCGTATAGTTCAGGTGTTTAGGGGGGATAAGTCGGAGGTAACCCATGATACACGGTATGGGGGGGGGGATTTGTTTCTGTTACTTTTTAATGAGCATATTTATTCTATTTAGAATTCCATTTCATTGATATGGCATTTGGTATATTGCTTGGCCCATCTAGTGATTGCTTGCCTCTCGCCATGGGAGGTCTGCGTTCCTCTCTAGTCCCAGCGTGTTCGGGGCAAAAGTAGCCGATAAACAGCGGCGCGAGCGGTAGGATATCATGCACCTGCTTATAAGTGGAACAGCTACACCGTCTCGATATACCTCCTTACTTCCCTATCAATAGAATAACAAAAGTCAGTATCGAAACCCGCAACGAATGTAAAGCTTCATCCAACTTACCAATCCGTAACAGCCTCATCCCACAGCCTCACCTCATGCTCCCTCGTCCCCCCAAAATGCTCAACAAACTCATCCCCAAACACCTCCCTCGCCACACTTCCCTTCCTCATAAACCTCTCATTCGCCTCCTTCAAGCTCCTCGCCAACCTCTGCCCACCGTCAGACGCCCCGCCCACGTCCTCCCCCTTCCCCAGCGGCGGACACGGAATCGTCAGCTTCTCCCGAACGCCCCACCACCCCAGCCCGAGAATAGCGGCGAGTACGTAATGCGGATTCGTATCCGCGCCGCTCACGCGGATCTCGAAGCGCGTAGCCCCGGGCTTAGCAGTCGGCGGCGCGATGAGTCGCACAGAAGCGGCGCGGTGCTCAAGCCCCCAAGACACCGTTACGGGGGCCCAAAAGTTCTCAACGAGGCGCTTATACGAGTTAACGGTGGGCGCGACGAGGGGCATGATGTCCGGCAAGCCCGTGAGGATCCCTGCGAGGAAGTGGCGGCCTAGGTCGGAGAGGTGGGTAATGTCGGGCCATTGGGGGTTCGGGTCGGGTGTTGTGCGGAAGAGGATGTTCTCGCCGGTTTGGGCGGAGGTGAGAGAGATGTGCATGTGGCCGGAGTTGCCGGGGAGGCCTTGGCGGGGCTTGGCCATGAAGCAGGGGATGATGCCGTATTTTGTCGACACGGACTTTACAACGTATCTGAAAAAACTCTTGTCAGTCCTCTTCGCAATCCCACCAAGTTGACCTTAATTGGGGATTATTCCTCTCACTTGAATAAACTGGCTCGGTCCGCCATCTCGCCCAACTCCCCAAACTCGAGTGCCGCCTCGTACACGCCTGGCCCGCTTTCCGTATGCCACCCCTCGATGTCGCACTTGAACTTTTCGCAAGAGTCGAACACCTCGTAGTAGTATGCCTGGTTATGCACCGGCCTCGTCAGGCTGTAGCCGAACATGCCTTCGGTGAGGGAGGGGAGGGACTGCGGAGGGTTCTCGCGGAGGTATGCGGCGGGGGAGATCTCGGAGGTGGTGTCAGGGGTTTTGAATTGGTAGAATTCGTACTCGGCTGTGGTGCGCGACAACGTGGTAAGTCCCCGAGTGAAGGAGAATGGTTATGGGGGCAGAGTCGGTTCTCTTCACTTATCCTCTCTGAAAATAGACTCACCTCCAGCCATCGCGCCATAGCCCATCTCTCGTATCCTCCCCAGCATCTTCCTCACCAACCCCCTCGGACACGCACACACCGGCTCCCTCGTATCCGGATCCAAAAAATCCACCAAGAAAAACGGAACATCGTCCTCCCACGGAATGCGCCTAAAGCTCGACAAGTCCGGAACGGCAATAATATCGCGGTACCCGTTCTCCTTGTTGCTGATCTTGAGCTCGCGGAAGTAGGTCAGGTCGTGCATGTCCCAGCCGAAGATGACGGAGCAGAAGCCGAAGCCGGCGGAGGCGATGGAGAGGAATTTCTTCTTGGAGACGAGCTTGCCGCGGAGGATGCCGTCGACGTCTATGCCGGCTAGTTTGACTTTTGTGTCGGAGGCGAGGAGCTGGGGGAGGGAGTCGGCTGTGATGGGGTCGAGGGTGGTGGCGGGGGAGGCCATGGCGGGCGGATGTCGCGGGGACGGGATCGTTGAATCTTTGCGAGAAAGAGATGCGGAAAGCTAGCTGTCTGTTAATGTATTAACCCAAGATTTTTGAGATTTCCGTAAGGAGGAAGAGAGTCGGTTCGCCAGTGTTGAACGGGGGAATTGGGGCGTTGAGTAGCTCGACGAAGGTGAAATGCGGCGAAAGGTGTAGGCGCAGGCAGGCGAGACGGGGCATGCGTGTCTTGTCGCACCGCTCCAGTTGCCTCAATTGGACAGACACAAGATCAATGTACCAGGGAGGTCAAAGTGCCTTGGCAAAGCCCAGAACGCAACAAATAAGCTCAATGCGAGCTGGGGTTTCAGGGCATCTCCCCCACTAACTACGTCACAGCTGGAGTACCCTGGGCGGCCAAGCTTTGCGATAACGCCCTGTAACTGGCCAATTGCCACCCGCCTGTGCTATTTTGAGCAAAGTACTAGGTACTTGTACTTCCGACAGGTCCTTATCAACCCTTATCAACGTCTCGTTCCTCAGCCAACGAATAATAAATGAGTCTTTGCTGACTTCGATGATTCCTTTCTTCCCGTGATGCCAAGTCGCGATCTGTGGTGTAGATGCCTCTTCTTGGAGAGACAACGTGTAAGACAGTAATCAATCAAGCATCAATCAATCAAGCATCAATCCATCTTCCTGGCGCCACCTCCTAGATTAATTCGACGCCTTCCAATAAGAAATCGCTTGGGGAAATCCTACCGGCGATCGAACCCACCTGGAGTGCAAATCGAGGTCTCCTTAGTAAAAGAACGCGGACCGGGGCCGAGTCGACCGGGCATGACCGACGACAAACGGAATCTCGGAGCATAGATTCCGGGCCACGGGGGACATTGCCGTTAATGTGAAGTTTCGGTAGCACACGACATTCAATATATCCTCCTAACCCCACATGCCATTCTCACTCAGAATCCCAGAGTTCTATTCTCACATGAAATACCCTCCTCATCATCATGCGCATAATTCTCTCCCGCCGCCAGGCCTTTAGTCTGTTTTTTCGATCCTACCCAAATCGAGGCTATAGTCGCGTCCACCAATTCACAGTTTCCAAGCCCAACGTCCCTATCAGACAGTACTCCATCTCAACAGCATCTCAATCTCCTGCACGGGTATCAGGGTTAGAATCAACGTCTTCTATTGAACGAAATGCCTCAGACATCGACGTCGAATATGACTGGATACCAGACGTTGAGGCCCCAGAGTTCTATGAGCCTGGCGGATATCACCCGGTCTCAATCGGTGATACATTTCAAGATCGGTACCGTATCGTAAACAAACTCGGCCACGGCGGCTACTCGACCGTGTGGCTCGCAAGGGATATCATCACCAAAAGCTACGTCGCCCTTAAAATCGGCATCTCTGGTTCATCCTCAATCTCTCACGAGATCCGCGTTCTCAACGCTCTTTTAGCACCGTCATCCTCGCCTGATCATCCTCATCCTGGCCGAGGTGGAATACTGCCTTTGCTGGACCAGTTTCAAGTCAAGGGGCCGAACGGCGTTCATACCTGCTACACTATGCCGCTGACAGGCGGTAGTATAAAAACCGCAAATGAAATCACTTCGTTTCCTGTCCAAGTTGGGAGAGCACTGGCAGTCGGTTTGATACAAGCTGTTGCATACATGCATTCTCGGGGATTTGCCCACGGCGGTTCGTTCATCCGCATCATGCCTCATTCTATGAGTATTCAATTCCTTCGCTAATTTTACTTAGACCTCCATAGTGGCAATATTCTGTCTAGGTTTCCAGAAAAATTTAACAAGCTTTCAACCGATCAACTTCTCAACGAATATGGCGAGGCAGTCACGGTACCTGTTACTCGAAGCGATGGAAAACCGCTTCCCCCCAATGTTCCGAAATATGCTGTCCAATCGGTCGATATGGGGCTATCTGCCAAGGACTACCAGTTAACTGATGCCCTCATCTTTTTGAGCGATTTTGGGGAGACATTCTCCCCTTCAGAAGCTAGCCGACTTGGAAAGGACTGCCATACACCACTTCCCATGCGACCACCCGAGGCCCACCTTGACCCTGAGGCCCCCCTCTCCTACTCAGCAGATATTTGGACCTTGGCGTCGACTCTCTATGGCCTTGTCGGTGCTATGCCGCTCTGGAGCCAGGGCTCGGGTACCCCTGATACCTGGATAGCCGAACACATCGATATCCTTGGGCCGCTGCCTAGTCCATGGAGAGAGAAATGCGCTACACAAGAGGATATATTTTTTGATGAGGCTGGTAACCGAAGGGAACCGGGCCTGAGGTTGTGGACGTCTCTTGACGCAGCGTTTCAGGTGGGCACTCAGGATTACCGGAAGAAATGGAATAAAGAGACACTCGACGAAGAGGAAGAAAAGGCTTTCCTAGACTTAATACGGTCCATGTTGCGGTTCCGGCCGGAGGAGAGGATCTCTGCTGATGATATCCTGGTCTCGGATTGGGTCGTTAAGTGGGGGATGCCAGGTTATGAGCGGGCTCTGGAGGCGGCGCGAGAGGTGGAAGAGAAACCGTGAGTAGTGAAGGTAGATTCACCCTTGCGCACTGGCTACTATAACCCTGGCGAATCCAACTGTATAAAAACCATCAAGACTGCCGCATAGCTAGACACATCAATATTGCTCAGCTTCGAAACCCTGAGGACATACCGATGTGGTGACAGGGCTCAACTTACGCTGCCGTTGCCGCCAAAGCTTCAAACGGCTTCGCCACCATGGCAAAGGACACAACCAGAAGAAACACTGAGACGAAAACCGTTATCACAACCAGTTTCTTCTTGAGGTCGCCAAGCGCCTGCAGAACCCAGAGAGGAGCCACGAGCATCGCCATGCCCAGAATCACAATAGCAGCCGTCACAAATCTGTCCATCCGCTTCTCGGAGTAGTAGGAAACGTCGGCCAAGCCGGGGTCCTCGGGGACGTTTCTCTTCTTGTCTTCCCAGAGCTTCAATGTCCGCAGGAAGAGCGAACTGTCGATGATGCGACGTAGTGGTGGCTTGTCTTTAGGGACGACGCAGATGAGGTCGGTGGTATCGACTTTTATCTTTCCATCCGGCGTCTTGTCCGTGCTGTTTAGATATTCCTGTTCTTCCGTGCATATTGCCTTGAAGTCGTGGTTTCGGTGCCACCGAAACAGGCTTTTCACGTCCTTTTCCGGCGCCCGATCATAGTTTCTCAGAGCAGATTGCTGGAGAAGGAATTTGTCTGTTACACGCCGCACCGGTTAGAAGGATTGAAACTGCTGTGGGTTTTGCGAGTACAGTCAGTCTAACATACTATACCGTCTCAACTTCTCATGAATGAGACTCAGAAGTTCATCGCGACCCCTGTGATCCTCCCCCTCGCGATACCACTGACCTTCCCTCTCGCGATCCTCCCGGAAGCTCCCGTTATCAATCCCTCCTTGCCGCGTGTACTTATCGTCCAATTTTTCGAGTTCTCTCTCAAGCTCAACGATTTCGTCTTGAAGTGACAGCGCAACCCGGATGTTCAGCGACGCAAAGCGCCGGAGGATGAAAAAGTCATCGTCGGAGGCAATGAATTTCGAATAGCCTCTATATCCTACATACCGCCAAGGCTCCTCCTCAATATCCTGCGCCGAAGGCTGTGGCGGCCTGCTGTCTTGCGCCGAGGATTGTGACTCCAGATCTTGGTCTGAGGTTTGAGGATGGCGAGAGCTACCGCTGGCCTTGGTACCACGTCGCATTGTCAAAGAGAAATCGATTTGTGTCCGTCGGTAACCTGAAATACGCATCAACTTTGTTGCAGTAAGGTCACTTCCGAGGAATCCTCCCAATACTCTCAATATTTCTAGATTACAATCTCGGTCACCACAGACGACCTTCAAATGTTTTAGATGCCAAACTCTCTAGGATTCAACTTTCCAGCCACCGTTCGGGTTTGGGTTCTAACATGGGTAGAATCCGGCCAGAGGCCAACGATTTCATGCAGCCTGCTGTGGCCCTGTTCCTTTCGGTCATCTCGGCGCTTCGTTCAACGAATAAGTGTTCGCGTTGGTTGAGGCCGGTTGCAAGACCGATCCAAGCCATCCTTTCGGTGGAGGCTGAGTTGTCAGAGCCTGGTGTCCCCTGCATCAAATCCTCCCTTTCTTGGGAAAAGGCCCCCTCCATGGCAACGATTGGAATCAACCGTGGAAGGGTGAGAGGGCTGCAATACCAGAAAGTTCATGAATAATAAATAGACAGCGAAACCCCCAGAGAAATTTAAACACAGATACATTTCTCAAATCCCAACCTCCTAACCTCTTCTTCTCTCTTTCCTTCTGTCTGGAAAATATCTATCTCTGTTAAACCCGTCTGCATTTCGTCGCAACCATGTCCGCCGGCGTATCAGCCGCCGCCCACTTTCAAGAAGACTGGGCCTACTTTCAAGAAGACTCGGCCCATGTCTCCGATAGACAGCGAAAATTCTCGTCGGCGCCGCCGCCGTCCACACGAACTACCGCTCGATACCGTGGCAATGAGCAATACATGGCGGAACAGAGGCGGGAGCCGTGGCTCCGGCGCAAATGGTCAAGATGGCGATGGTTCCTCCGACGACTCAGCGGATGAGACGCCTCCAGCGCGTGACAGATCCTCTTTTAATGAGGAGATTTAAGGCCCCGTTAGGTGATATGCAGAGGGAATTGAAATCGGGCGGGCTCTTGAAACAACGGGCCCAGCACCACGCCGAAGCACCATCGAAGATGAAAGAACTATTTCGTCTCCATTCAATGAAGACGAAATAGGTTGAAAGTGGATTACGGACGACTTCCCACGAAGATATGAGAATCTAATTTCAACGAATACTTGAGGGGACTTGCATTCGACAAATTCCACGAAATTGTTTTTAAATGAGCGGCAAGAAATAGACAGTTGTGTGGCGTTGTCGCGTGGACGGCAACCGGTCAGTCTAATATTAGGGATCTGTTGTTCGCAGAGTTAAAATAGATGACGGCTCGTATTGGGAAAGGGTATTCATGGTCAGCATGAACAAGGGGATCCTCGGGTTGATGGAGGGGGGCGGGAAGTGCTTGACGCTGAATGACGATGATGACTCTGATGATACGGAGGAGGCTCTGGAAATTGAGAAAACTTACTACGATATTCCTGAGATCTCCAACATTCCAAAGGTTCAGGCAGACGGGAGCCTGTTATCTCGGATATTTGGGTTCCTTGGTTTCTAGGACTCTCGAGTTGCTTGCTTTGCCGTTTGCTATAAGCATTAGCTTTCCTTGAACCCTTATACATTTGGAAATATATAGGATTTCTAAATTTTATGTGTCGTATGGGTTTTAGTCGAGCGATTTTTATTTTATCATATTTTATATATATATATATATATATATTTTTTTTTTTTTTTTTTTTTTTTTTTTTTTTAAATTCTATTCTCCCTTTATAAAGCTGAAATCTACAAATGAGTTGGAATGAAGATCTGGATTGATAGATGTGTTGTGCCAATGTACAATATACCTCTCTTCTAGTGTCTTATCGCGGACCAAGAGTGTGGTTGTGGTTGCAGTTGGGGTGATAATTGTACCCCGCCAAAGTAGCGCGTACTTCGTGGCTCCCCGCATCCGAAAACGGAAGCCGGACAGGACCGGACAAGATCATCTCGGGGACAGAATTGGGGTCAAGATTGTGACTTGACGTCCCGGCATTGCCTAGTAAGGCCCGGCTTCCTATCTCTGCACAAGATCCCATCCAATTGTTTTCCAGCTCCCGGCTGTATGGCGAGGTCACGCAGATCATTGCTAGCTCCCAAGCTCCGGTGTATCCTGTCCGAGACTTCGACCCCACCACGCTACTTCGTACATCACCCCTCCTTCAGACCCTTTTTCAGACTGCGCTTCGACTACTCTCTTCTCTCAACAGCATATTAATCTCGTTCTTTTTGGTGTCTTGGAGAAATATACACCAGCGCATTCGATACCCTGCTATCTACTTCAGACACCCATCCATCATCTAGTCCCAATGGCTTCCGCTTCCCAAACCCGCGGCCGTCTCGCTGGCAAGAACGCTATCATTACCGGCGCTGCTGGGTAGGCTGATTTTCGCAACCCCCCTTTTTCGAGCCAGCTCTAGGCCTCTAACATTATCGTCTGTCCTCTGTAGCGGAATTGGCCTCGAGACCTCCATCCTCTTTGCCAAGGAAGGCGCCAAAGTCCTCATGACCGACATCCAGCCCGCCGCCCTCGAAGCTGCCGTAAAGAAGGTCCTCCAGCTTGTCCCTAATGCCCCCCGCGTTGAAGGAAAGGTAAGATCCATGTCTCTCTCTCCTCTCAAAATTCCGCAGTATAAAAAGCTAAGCTTCCCCGTCTCGCTCCCAGGTCGTCGACGTCTCCAAAGAATCCGACGTCCAATCCGCCGTAGAAACCCTCGACTCCTGGGGCGGCATCGACGTCATGTTCAACAACGCCGGCATAATGCACGCCGACGACGCCGACGCCATCTCCACCCCCGAACACATCTGGGACCTGACCCAAAACATCAACGTCAAGGGCGTCTGGTACGGCTGCAAGCACGCCGTCCTCTCCCTGCGCCGCTTCAACAAGACCAAAGGTTCCATCATCAACACCGCCAGCGTCGTCGCCCTCGTCGGTTCCGCCACGCCCCAGCTCGCCTATACGGCTTCCAAGGGCGCCGTGCTCGCTTTGACGAGGGAGTTGGCCGTCGTTCATGCGAGGGAGGGGTTTAGGTTCAATTCGCTGTGTCCTGCGCCGCTAAATACGCCGCTTTTGCAGGATTGGCTAGGTGACGATAAGCATAAGAGGATGAGGAGGGAGGTTCATTTCCCTACTGGGAGGTTTGGGGAGGCGATTGAGCAAGCGCAAGCTGTGGTGTTTTTGGCCAGTGATGAGAGTAGTTTCGTTAACGGACATGTGAGTTGTCTCCCTCTCCCTTTCTCCTTGCTTGAAATCTGTCTCGGAGATGGTGCTGGTAATTAACAGAATCCAATCCTCTACAGGACTTCGCCGTGGATGGAGGCATGTCCAAAGCCTACGTCACGGCCGAGGGGAGCCCTCTCCCAGCTCCCGTCAACAACGCTCTCAAGGAGTCCCTTGACTCGTAGAATTTCTTACGAAGCCAAATACTAATTAGTTGAGATGGTTGTAGTTGACTTGACAGTTAATTGGTGACGCAAGATTTACATTAATATAATGAATTCTGAGCAGAACATCTATTTAATGTGGATTTACCAGTCTAGTTTGTCCGCCCGACATATACACACAAGTAGATTTTCCAACCCAAAAAAAAAGCCAACCCAAGAAACAAAAAGACGCCGCCCAAATGCCACTTATTCTTCCCAACTCTCATTGAAAACACACGACTAAGACCCTACATCCTAATGGAACTGACCCTCAGTGTTTCCCTCACCCATGCTCTGCGACGTCGAGTTACCCGACTTGATCGCCGCCATAATGCCATCCATGTACCTAGCACCGCTCCACTTCTGGTGCGTCAAGACATCACAACCGAGCTCCTTCTCCCTCCTCTGCACGATGTTTACATAAGCCAACATGCCGTCCTTCTCAAAGTTCTTGGCGAGCTCGTTCGAGATGGTCGCCGTCGAGTGGAGGCCGGCTAGTGAGACGAGCTGCAGGACGAATCCCTCCTTGGCGATGTCCCAGATGAAGGACTTGAGGGTCGCGTCGGTGAAGCCATGCGCCATCCAGTTGAACGAGGGGCTGAGGTTGTAGACGAGACCCTTGCCGGGGTGCTTGGCCCGGACGGCGCGGGCCAGGTCAGTGGCGACCTGGACGTTCGGGTCGCCGGTCTCGACCCAGAGGAGATCGGCGTAGGGGCCGAAGGCGATGGCACGCTTGGTGGCGGCATCGATGCCTGCGCGGTAGTGGTAGTAGCCCTCGCTGGTACGGGGAGTCTCCCACGAGAAGTAGACGGGGGTGGAGGTGTAGCTATTGGCGAGCTTCCTGCGGCTCGCGAGGCCGAGGTCGCGATCCTTAGTGACGGTGGCGAGGTACTCGTCAATCTTGGCCTGGGCGACGCCCTCCTTCTTCATGTGCGCAACGGCAGCCTCGTCGAAGGTGACGAGAGGAGTGGTCTTGACCCAGTTGGCCTCGTAAGCGTCAATCTCGGCCGAGGTGGCGCCCTTGGCTTCCATGGCCTGGAGGGTCTCGGCGAGGGGCTGGATGGTCTCGTCGGCAACACCGAGGATGAACTCGTGGTCACGGACATCGATGGTGCTGCTGATGAGCTTGCCGCTCTCAGAGTCGGTTCGGGCGATGACGAGGTTCTCGCATCCCATGACGTCCCACTGGAAACGGGCCGCGACGAGGCGGTTGATGTGCTCGCCGATGGGGACGAGGACCTTACCGGCAAGATGGCCGCACTTCTTGCCGCCGTGGAGCTGATCTTCGAAGTGGACGGCAGCGGCGCCGTTCTCGGCGAAGAGCTTGGCGAGCTTGAGGACGGCAGAGAGACCACCGTGGCCGGTATCACCGTCAGCAATGATGGGGCGGAGGTAGTCAATGTAGGGGGTCTTGGCGCGCTCCTCGGCCGTCATCTTGCGGCGCTCGTCCCATTGCTTGCGGTCGTGCATGGACTGGGCCTTGGCCAGACGCTGGACCTGGTTGGGGACGGTGTTGTAGGGGTAGTCGCCGAAGTCGGGGGAGACCTCGTTCGTGGTAGTCAGGAGGGAGGAGCAGGCCCATCCGGAGATGTAGAGAACCTCCTGGTGAGGAGCCTGCTGGGTCATTTGGACAGGATCAATAGCACCCACTGTTGTTTTTTCCTCATGGTTAGCATGCGAACTCGATATTTGTGAACTGTATGCTAAATGTACGTACTGGTATGAATGGGCTCGCCCTTGGAACCCCGCTCCTTGACGAGATCGAAGAGCTTCTTCGCCATCACGGAGCTGGGGTAGACAACCTGCTGCGTGCCTCGCTTGGTAGCGACATCCACAGCGCTATACGGCCTCTTGATTCCGTCATAACGCGGGGTCTTCCACCACGCCTCGATCTCGGCGACTTGGGCGTCGAAGAGGGCATCTTCGGCGGATCCGGTTTTCTGAGCCTCCGGGAGGAGCTGGAAAGCGTCGGGGGAGGCCGCAGAGTTCATAGGGGTCATCGTGTACCTGAACGGGAGCCTTGGCGTGGTGGACAGGAGCCGGACGGGACGGGCGGACGGAGAAATGGTGCGCTTCGCGACAGCAAGTCGGCGCGAGGATCGAGTGAGGTTTCTCGACAGCATGATGTTGTGCACGGCGAAGTGCTATGGGGGACAGGACAGACTGACAAGAAGCAAGCTCACGATTCCCTCAAACTTCGACGAAAAAAAAAAATATTGTGACGAAGAGAGAGGCAGTTATTGAATTATTGAAGGGAAGCAAGCAATTAATCCTATCCAATCCAAGACTAAGACCTGACAGAGCTTTGCGTCGGAAGAAGCTCGACTTTGTGGCGGACATCGAGCACGAAGCGGGCCGAAGTGGGCTGCTCGGTATTCGGAATCCGAGAACAGGAGATTCGGTGTGCAAAATTGTTTGTGGGTACACTCGAAGTGCCTCGAACCTGCTTGAGTCTGGCAACACCTGGGCACCGCTCTGATTGGCCAATTGTGCCTCGCCTTTCGCCCGCAGCCGGACGCTTAGCGCGGCTTGCCTCGGCTCCAGAATCGCTGATCTCGGTTACTCCACTGGTCCAGGTTGGTCCCAGCGATGGAGAGATGGAGAAGTTGCAGACCAGTTGCAGGGTTGTGACGTGATGCATTGGGGGGAAAGTGAACCCCAGTGGGGGAGGGGCCCTGCAAAAAAAACAAAGAGCCGGTGGCTACTTCCTGCCAGACAACGACCGAGATACACGAGGAAAGAGCCGAGAACGTGCGATCTTTTTGTGCCTTTTTGTTGGGGAAGGTTCAACTTTCTCTCTCCCTTCCTTCCTTCCCCCCATTTTTCTCCTCTTTGCATCTCCATCTCAGAATCAATTGGTCTTCCAGCCATTGGGACTTGAATCTCGCCGTCGGTGGACCTCCTCATTTGAGCTTTGCTTGCTCGCAATATAAATTACTTCGGCCTTGCACCTTGCATCTTCTAGCTCTCTTTTCCCTCCAGCTCTCTCAATTCCCTTCTCATCGTGCCCACAATGTCGACTTATCTGAGGACCAACACCAGGGTGCTCGGCGCCATCAAGGTATGTGTATCACACTCAAGCATGATGCTCACGCATTGGCAATCTCCCCATTGGCACTCCAAAAAAAGCAAAAACGGAAAGAAAAAGAGAGACGAAGATTTTCATGATTATCCATGATGATAAGATGATCTATTGATCTAACGTAGCTTTTCTACTTCTAGGCCCAGCCCTGGAAGATCAGCTGTGTAGCTGCCGGCCGCGCCGCCGCCAGGGCCTACTCCTCCGGTGCCGAGCCCGACCTCAAGGAGACCATGAAGGAGGTCATCCCTGCGAAGCGAGAGCTCCTCAAGAAGGTCAAGGCTCACTCCGATAAGGTCCTCGGCCAGGTTAAGGTTGAGAACACCCTTGGCGGCATGCGTGGCCTCAAGGCTATGGTCTGGGAGGGCTCCGTCCTCGACGCCAACGAGGGTATCCGCTTCCACGGCCGCACCATCAAGGACTGCCAGCGTGAGCTCCCCAAGGGCAAGAACGGCACCGAGATGCTTCCCGAGGCCATGTTCTGGCTCCTCCTCACTGGCCAGGTCCCCTCGACCAACCAGGTCCGCGGCCTCTCGCGCCAGCTCGCCCAGGAGGGTGCTCTCCCCGAGTTCGTCTCTAAGATGATCGACGCCTTCCCCAAGGACCTTCATCCCATGACCCAGTTCGCCATTGCCGTCTCGGCCCTCAACTACACCTCCAAGTTCGCCAAGGCCTACGAGCAGGGCCTCAACAAGGCCGACTACTGGGAGCCTACCTTTGACGACTGTATCTCCCTTCTCGCCAAGCTCCCCACCATTGCTGCCAAGATCTACCAGAACTCGTACCGCGGTGGTGGTGCCCTTCCCGCCGAGATTGACCTCGAGCAGGATTGGTCTTACAACTTCGCCGCTATGCTCGGCAAGGGCGGCAAGGAGAACGAGAGCTTCCAGGACCTCCTGAGGCTGTACCTCGCTCTCCACGGTGACCACGAGGGTGGCAACGTGTCTGCTCACGCTACCCACCTCGTTGGCAGCGCTCTCAGCGATCCTTTCCTCAGCTACAGCGCTGGTCTCCAGGGTCTTGCCGGCCCTCTTCACGGGTGAGTAGATGTCATATCTCACGTGTCCTCTTCAATTGGTTCCACCCGCACTAACGTATGTGTGTTTTTCAGCCTTGCCGCCCAGGAAGTCCTTAGGTGGATCCTCCAGATGAAGGAGGCCATCCCCGACTCGTACAGCGAGCAAGACATCAACAACTACCTCTGGGCCACCCTCAACTCCGGCCGTGTCGTTCCTGGCTACGGCCACGCCGTCCTCAGGAAGCCCGACCCCAGGTTCGAGGCCCTCATGGACTTCGCCGCCAGCCGCCCCGAGATCGCCGCGGACCCCGTCTTCCAGCTCGTTCTCAAGAACAGCCAGATCGCCCCCGAGGTCCTCAAGAAGCACGGCAAGACCAAGAACCCCTACCCCAACGTCGACTCCAGCTCCGGTGTCCTCTTCCACCACTACGGCTTCCACGAGACTCTCTACTACACCGCCACCTTCGGTGTCTCTCGTGGTCTTGGTCCTCTCGCTCAGCTCATCTGGGATCGTGCCCTCGGCCTCCCCATTGAGCGCCCCAAGTCCATCAACCTTGAGGGTATCCTCAAGGAGGTTGAGAAGAGCTCTTAAGAAAAGAAAAATAGAGAGCGGAAATTTGTAACGTGGGGAGAGTCGGAGTTCCGGACTGGAAACAGGGATTTTTTGGATGTAGATCAAAAGTGAGAAGACTGTAAAAACTGCACGAGATCGGCCCCGGTTGGGGGGAATATGTACATCGTCAATACATGCAAATGATTCTATTTTTGATACCATGATCTAGCTCGCATTTCTCAGCACAAACTTCTCCCTCTCATCTGAATCTAATCTATTAGATGGCAAAGCTGGGCATCTAAACCAGGCCACCATCATCCCCGGGTATCCGGCCATGTTGAGAAGCTGCATCTGCAATCAACAAGCAAAGACGACTAATCTCGGTAGACCCATGCGTCGGCTGTAACGAGGGGGAAGGGCAAGGACAGAAGCAGTGTGCTTCGCACGAAGGGTGTAAAATTCTTGCCCGAGGAACGGGGAGGGGAAAGAAAGGTAGGAATCAGCCGACAAGCGTCCGTTACCGAAGATTAATCTCTCCAGGTTTCCCTTGGCCGAGAGCGGGGGAGTTAGCGTTTTGTCGTTCTTGGTCAAGTGACGAGTTGAGAGGAAAAGAAGAATGGCCTTCCCAATGAAGAATAATTCCCATTGTAGAATTGACCGTGTTACCATTACCAGCTATGGTCAAGAAGTCTGGGAGCTAAAAGCAGGCAGTGCACGATGTCGTGTGGCAGGTGAGTTAATATCAAACCGTCCCCCCAATCTTTATATCAACGATGCTGGGCTCGTGTGTCAAGGGACAAAATGCGATTTCTATTCTTGGAAACTGACCTTTTCCCCGCCGTGCTGGGTCCAGTTCGAAGATGGACATTGGCTGCAGTGCTGCCGGGAGGGCCGTTGACACAAAGTTCCTGGAGAGAGACGGACGTCCTTTTCTTCGTCTGCACACCCCCTTTGGGATGAAGACCCGGGATCCAGGCCAGGGGCGGGGAAAAAGCATGCAGAAGCAAGCAAGGGACCTGGAGATGCTGATGCTCATTCGGGCCTTACAGATCTTTATGGGATGCGGGTTCATCTGACTTCATCTGGGGAATGAGTATGGACATCATTTACACTGTTGCTACGCGAAATCTTCAGCCGATGATGGATCGGACCTCAAAGGTGGTTTCCAGGGAGAGAGACAATGTCTTTGCCTCTACTCTACGAGCGTATCTTCGCGGAGGAGAGGGAATTCGAGCTCCAGAGAGCCATCAGTTCGAGACGAAGAGTTCTGCGTCATGTCCACCACAAGCAGATTCTCCACGAGTCATGGTTAATAGCTTTACAACCGGCAGGTTACCAATGAAGAAATTCAGCTGTAAAGCATGCTGGAAACTTGGAGAAAGTGTTATTAGGCAATGGCTCTTGGCAGTCAGTGCACATATGTCTGGCAACCATTACGGAAGATTTTAGCAGAAAAGAAAAATGTGCAAAGTATAAAACATGGAAATAAAAATGAATTTTTATAAAAAAATTAAATAAAAAGAAAACAAGTCGAAAGGAGAGAGCGAGGAGCGTATGTTGAGAAACTGATTCTCCATGTTCCCAACACATTTATTTTTTTCTATTTCCCATTCGATATTCACGAGCCGGGGCAAGGGCTCAGCAATGACGTCTCTCATGCGAACATGAATATCGAAGAAAACCCATAGATGGAGTTGGGGCTGGGCGGCATCTCGAATTGGAGAATGGCTCGGCAAGAACGCAACTTGTGCCGGCTATAATACCTCGGACCAGATTGTTGAAATCCGCCCCCAAAAAGGGGGGGAAATGCGCTCAGAGGGTCCACACCGCTTCGCGGAGGTTGGCTTCCTGGGCAACGGCTCGGTCGATTGATAAAAAAGGAACGGAGATCTACCTTCGTAGTGTATGTTGCTTTCAACTTAAATGACAGCATAAGTTCAATGAGATAGGAATTGTGCGAGAGCCCACCGAGCTGAGAACACCAATATATCCCAGCGAGAAGGGTGAACTCGCCGCTCCCGCAGCCGATCAGTTTTCCAGCTTTATTGGGTAGTTGTAAGCAGTCTAGACCCCAGGCCTTACAAGATGTGCCTGGGCATCAGTTCTCAACTCTCGGCCCTCGGTGAAGGTGCCGGAGGAGCTGAACGGCCTCTGATGATCGAAATGAAGTAACATGAGAAAATACCCTCGAGCGCCAGAATAGAAATTTGGCTGCTCATGGCTAGGGGACACAGATCGTACAAATCTTTCGTTCATGCAAGACCCGGGAACTCCCCTCAAAGCGACGTTGTTCGAGTCCATCGCTCTTCGATCTGTACAAACGGCACGATGAGGTGAGGCTGGGACCGAGCCGGCCTGTCCTGACCAGGATCTAGGGCCCACGATGACGCCTCCTCTCCATACGACCACCGGACACAACAGCTTTTACCGTCCCTTGCTTATTATCTGGTCTGACTCCTGTGGGAGGTGAGGTCATTCCTTGTCGACTTCATACTTTGCTGCTTACGATTGGCCGTCGAGAAAGCGGCCGACCGGCGAAATGGACAGAGAGACTTGCCACGGCCTTGAGCAAACCGGGGCGACCCACAGGTCCGTCGATGAGACAGCAATTAAGCTTAATTTACGAGTGGCAACAAAAATAGCACATGGAACATGCCGTAGGGAAGGCGGGCTAGCCATAACACTAACACTTTAGGCGGAGGCCGAGGGCTCTCCCTCACTCTCTCTCTCTCTCTCTCTTGCCCCGTACTCTCCGTCGATAGAAGAAAGCCTCGATGCTAATCAGCTTAGGTGCATTGGGGATGTACGACCACGGACGGGTGTCTTGAATCCATGGTGAAGATGGTGAGGATGGCGAGGCGATGGATTTACTGTCAAATTATGGTGGAGAAGTGGATATGATCATGATTATACCCTGGTTTTCACCAGGTTTGGAATCAGGAACGTGGTTTCGTCGATAGTCAAAACGGCCATGCTTGCCAGGCATTGCTGCGATGATAGAGAGACATCCTGAGACTTGCGAAGAAAAAGAGAGTGGGAGCCCCCCGGAGAATGGAATGACACTGTACAGGTCGTCACCATGGTTCGTGGTGCACCCGCCGTGGCGAGATGAGAAGCACCGAATGTGTCTGTGATCTTGGATGCCCGATGCCTACCGAGCCATCCTGGCGAACGTAGATGTTTCTCCCATGCACGTTACTCACCTCTATGGGCTGACGTTGGCTGACGATGGCCTCGATCGATTTCAGAGCATGAGAGGAAGACATATAAGGTGTTTCTATTTTTGGGAGATATTTCTACATATTTCCCCGTTCATCATGCTCATGCAGGCCATCTAGCCTGGAGTGTGCTCTTCTATTTTGTGAGCCGGTTTCGCTTTTCTATTTCCTTCTCTTGCAGTGTAATTACATCTAGTCCAAGGTGGGCTCGGAGCTTGCCTACCACTCTCACACTCTGGCTGTTCCAGAGAGAAGGGAAAGGGGGTCTCTCTACCGTTTCCCCTGGGGTCTCTTTTATTATCCTCTTTTATTATTATTCTTTTTCCTTCTCTCGGTCTCGTGTAAGTGGGTAGACTCGAGAAAAAAAGGGGACGACTTAAACGAGTACTTTGGAGAACGAGGTACTATAATCCCGTGGTTTAATATGTTTTCATTTATCCTGGCTTTTCATCCGCAAATTGGCACTAACAAAAAGAAGTAGAAAATAGCAACCGAGAAAAGGCTGATGAGGGAACAAGGGAAGGGGCAAAAAAACCGGCGCCATTCCGAGGCTGAGAGCTGCTCTTTTTAAATTGATGAAATGGTTTGCTGGGTCGGAAGACGATTCGATTCGGCGAGCAGGAAGTGGTGCAAGATGCTAACAACTCTCGTCTCAGGCTTGAGCTTGAGGTTGAGTTCCCTTTGCTCGTATCCCTTCTTCTCTCTTTGCTCTGTTCTGGATTTGGGCCAAACGTCTCAGAAGATAACTCTGAACGAACAACGTTGCAGCCTCCACAAAGTTGGCCTCTACCCCAGGAGGAACATGGGCCTGGGATCTGCGAGGTTATTTGTGGACGACGTAGACCGATGTTTCTCTGGTCTTCCCGAGAGATGATTTTCTTAATAGAGGTGCTGTATAGGTGGTTCGAAGATCCGTTCATGCCACTCACACTCACACTCATTCTCCACATACCCTTCGGGAGCTCTATTTCCCTATTCGCTCGCCTCTCCTCTTCATCCCGGACACATTTCCGGGTGCGAGTGCCCTGAACTGTATCTTTACGTACCTTGCTGTGCCCTCTGTTGCTTTCTTTACGGTGGAGAGTACCTCGCAGCTTGTTTGCTTCCTTCTATCTCGTTCGTAAGTGGCCCAGGAATCCGGGGCCGGAAGTACTGCTTAGCATTTGGCGAGTTTCCATGTGTGTGTGTGTCCAATGTTGTGCATTACCATTTCGGCGAGCAAGATCGCTCTCCTCCGTCTGCACGCCCCTCCAATATCACTTCGTCCCAGTGCATCCTTCCCAAAGCAGCCGATAGTGCGAATTGATTTTGTATTGATTTGAATTGACTTAGACGGATGGAATATAGTGATGATAATTTGATTGAAGAGGGCGCGGGACACCACAACGCAATATCGAAATGGGGGGTGGTGTGTGAAAGCGGCATGGGCGAGATGGGTTTTTGCGAGGTTGGGTGATCCCAAAAAAAGAAGTGCGGCCTGGTTAGCTTCTTTTTCTCTCTCACTCTCTCGTGATGAATGTTAATTGTTCAGTTACCAATTGGAGTCCGGGACCGAAACTGAAGAAAGCACGAGGGTGAAAGATATGGTATGGTATGGGGGGGGCAACAACCGAGATCTTGGGAATAAGCGGAGCCCCGGGGCGGGATAGATTGAGTATAGAGACAGCGAGAGACCGAGAGACCTAGCTATGGAGCCATGTATAGGGTCATGTAAAGAACGGGAGAGCTATATGGGTGAAGTGAAGGAGGACGAAAATAGCAACGGACGCCGGAAGACAAGAGAAACGGTTATAAATACTCGATCACCTCTCCCCGATGGAACGGACTCCTCCTGTTGGATCATCATCAACAGCATCTTTAGCATCATCTCTCACTTCTCCTAGCTTTCTCTTATATCTCACACGCTCTCTTAAACTCGCTAATACTCTTATCTCTCTCCCTCTCTTCTCTCCTAACAACTAACAACCAACCACAACAACACACATCCAAAATGAAGTCTCTCGCTTTCCTCGCTCCGGCCCTCGCCATGGCCACCCCCATCCTCAACCCCCAGGCCACTTCTGACAACCCCGATCCCAAGGATATCCAGATCGTCAGTGCCACCTGGTCCGGCAATGGCTGCCCCTCCAACTCGGTGTCCACATCCATCTCTCCTGACCGAACCGTCATCACCTTCGGTTTCGACTCCTTCCAGACCTACATCGGCCCCGGCATCGCGCCCCAGGAGAACAACAAGAACTGCGCTCTCCATCTCAACCTCAAGTACCCCGGAGGCTTCCAGTTCGCAGTCGTCGACTCCACCTACCACGGCTTCGCCCTTCTCGAGGAGGGTGTCACCGGTTCCTTCTTCTCCACCTACTTCTTCTCCCAGGACGCCGCCGCCACGACGTCGACCCGCACCACCATCACCGGAGGAGGCGTCTGGGCCGACGGTCAGGTCTACACCAAGGCCGACTCCGTCCCCACGGCGTCCCTCATCTTCTCGCCCTGCGGCGCTAGCGGAATCCTCAACATCAACAACAGGATTTCGCTCCGCTCGACCAACACCGATGCTTTCGGGTCCATCACCGACGATGATGCCACCATCGCCTTTACCCAGCAGCTCAACCTCAACTGGCGCAACTGCGATCAGTAAATTGTCGGGTTTTCAGAGAGGGGAACTTGATGTTTTTACAAAAGAACGCCTGGGAGAGTTTTTTTGGAGCGGCTTTTCTATTTTTCTATTTATCGTCTTACTGAGGTCTGTGTAAGCATTTTGCATGCGGGTCAAAGGGAAAGGGAAAAGGAACATGGAAAAAGATGGCGGAGAGGAGGGATTGTGGGGAGACAAGAGATTCCTACGGGGCTCGTCGACAACTTCAATCCCCTTTTCCTTCTTTTTTCTTTCCTTTCCACTATCTTCGACCTCGCCAACGCTTCTTGTTTTGGTTTTTCTCTCTTCTCTTTCTTTGGGGGCGCCGGGATGGGATAATCGGGGGAGGGGGGGAAGGGTTGGTGGACGCATCTTCCTTTCTCAAAGCTCGGAAATGCCAAGAACTGTTGGCAACGGGAAGTCATTCTGATCGCGAGCTTCGAAGACTACCGAATTGTGCAAGACCCTGTTGCTGCCGAGGGCTTTCCTCTATTAACATTCTTCTTCATGTCTATCCTTTTTGTCGTATATTTCTTTTCTTTTTACTATTTCTATTTCTTTTTACATATATGCATTTTATGAATTCAAAAAATATTGTAAAAAAAAAGATCGGGTTTTGCTCTCTTGCCGTTGACCTCTGTGATCTTGGTGAAATCTTCGAGATTGGAACTGGGAAAGATCTCCGGATAAAATGGCGGAAATACAAAAGAGGCGCAATATAACCCGGACTCTGCCCTGGACCGAAATGGAAATGTATCTGTCGATTCTTAAGGCCACAGTAATATAACCGCGATCGCTCAGACAAAGGATCCGGCCTGCCTACTGGTTGTGGTACGGAAGTAGCCCATGGATACTCGATACTCCATCAAGCTTCGGATGCTAGGAAGGGATGTGAACCACAAAAGAGTCGAAGGCTTTGTATATTTGCCGCCGATTTTAAGCGTCGATAATCTGGATGTTCTCCCGATAAACCCCTTTCTGGCTGGCCAGCCACGTCTTTATTCAGATTTCCGACTACGCCGTCATTCCGTCGTCTGGGAGGCGACAGATAGTTGCTCCCTTGAAAAATTCCCAGGACTTTTAAAGTTCCAAATTCATGCATAGAGAACTTGCGCTTTCCTTGGTGTTCTTTTATTGCCTTTCGATTATTTTCTTTCCTTTTTCCCCATTTCTACTATTTTGGTTTATCATTATTATTTTTACGTTATTATTATCTTTATTTTTCTGCGGTTCTGTGAAAGGGGAAGCAGTGCTAACCTCGGGCTGATCACACCGGGGCGCCCTTCCGGAGCTCGGCCACCTAGACCCGGATGCCTCCGCCGGGGGCACGTGGGACCTCCGAAAAATATTAAAATACTACATTGCAAGAACACTCCTTCAATGTACAGAACAAGTCGATAAATTTTAGCGAATATGCCAATAGGACCAACCCTCTCCATGCCCTATTTCCTATTTCCCATAATATTGACGAGCTGTGGTTAATCTACTGGCAATGTGAATCCCCTTTGTTGGTTGAATCCCGAATTCTAAGTCGAGGTCTCTGCGCTCGAGGACTCAATTCGTTCCCGCATGCTATCCTCGCTCTTCATGCTTGAGAAAAACCCTAGCGAGCGAGGTGAGATCAATGCGTAATCTTTGCCTATCCCTTGTAAGATCACGCTTCGCATTCTTCCGGTAGAAGTAGTCCCCCTCGCTAAGGCAGCTTTGGACTTGCGCAGCTCCCTGCCTGGAAAGCCTGGGGCACTTAGGTTTTTGCACTGGGCTAAGAGGTTATAGCACTTCTTCTGAAGTAATTGGCAGCTATATGACATCGTATATAAGGCAATCTGCCTCCTCCCTCCTCTCCACCCACTTTATCCCCAAAAGGACGAGGTGTATGACTACCGAAGCAGTCAAAGTAGTAGATCTCTACATCCGTTTCTATTTTTAGACGGTGGACCCCAATTTTACCGTGATGCTGGATCTGCGCGTGGTTACACCTCCTCTACGAGTATGCATGCCCAATACCACTTCACTTTATCAACCCAAAGTGTCCGGTGTGAGCTGGAAAAAGGGCTATACACACCTCCTCTCCTTGCCCTTCCGGGGACCCTTCAACTGAGGCAGCCCTCGGTCTCTGTCTTCGAAGAATTAGCTAAACTCCAACTTTCTCAACCAGCCTTAAAACACTGATCATCTCCCATGTGCTCGAGTCCCCACTCTCGCATTTCGCTTGTTCCTGAAAATATGGAGACTACGCCAACATTTCGGCCGGGAAAAGCCCGTCCCCACCATGTCACAGCTCGCCCTGCGTCACGGTACAGTGATTATAGGGTCGTGGAGATGTACCAAACGCTTTGATTTTTGTGATCGAGCGTGTTAGATAGATAGGCCATGATCCTAGCGGAGAAGTGAGCGGGAGGTGTATTGTTGCCCAAGTAGTGATATAGGCGTCGTGTTTATGCCGAGTCACCAAGAAGTCAAAAGGTACAATGGAATCCATATCATTCATACCAACTTAGAAAGTAAAATCCCTCCGCCTCATGTCTAACAACACGCAAAACATCACGCCAAAACCCCTCGAGGTCTATATATCATATACACGAAAAAGCTCTTACCCAGGATCTCGAAGGAAATAAAAAAACAAAAGAACACACAAAACATTTATCTACTCCACTCGCTCAGATCTTTCTTCACCCCTTTTCTTCTCGAACCCCTGAAGAACAACTATTATCACCGGAACCCACTAGGTCCATTATTATTCCAATATCCTCCCTGCTGGGCATACCCCTGCCCCTGTGGCGCTCCATACCCCTGCCCATACGTCGGCGCCGCGCTTCCACTCCTCTGAGGCGGCATCACATGAGCCGGGCTCTGAGCCCTAGGACCATCGAACCCGCCCTGATAGCCGCCGTCACCGCCGTAGGCACCCGACAAGGTGGCGCTCCGTTGAGGCATGCCGGCATGGTGCATCCCGTTGTCAAACCCGCCGTGGTGCATACCGTTGTCGTATTGAGAAGGCGCGGGACTGAACGCTCGCTGGGGAACTGGGCTGAATGACCTCTGCGGTGCGGGGCTGAACGCCCTTGCGGGGGCTGGGCTGTACGTCCTCTGGGGCCCAGGGCTGCCCACCCTCGGACTGTTCGACCTCTCCTGGAGAAGCGGCATGGCGTGCATACCACCCGTGGGAGACTGCAGAGGCGGCGAACGCGGCGAACGTGGCGAAGCGGGTCCACCCATGGTATTCCAATCATTACCACCAGGCTGCTGGTTACTGAACACAAGGGGCGGAGGAATGCTTCCAGAACGGGGAGAATCCAGAGGCCTCTCATTAACCACATACTCGGGCCTCTTCTCCTGAACGACACCATTGTCGTGCACTTCGGCGACCGTCCAGTCGTTGTTGCCGTTGGAGAAACCGTCTGGGTTGACGCCGCGGGACTTGAAGCCCTGGAGCTCCAGACGGTCCTGTTCGGCTTGCAGAGCAGCTGCCTTGGCTTCGCGGGCGCCGCGACGGCGCTGGCGGATGCAGTACCAGAGGCCGAAGGCTAGGATGACGGCCCCGAGGCCGGCACCGCTTGCGTAAATGGCGGTTTTGGCGGTGCTGGGGAGTTTTGCCCATTTTTCGGCCATGGTTTCCTTGTGGACCGGGAAGAGGGCTTCCTTTACGGTAGAGTTGCCGCTAAAAGGATCCGTTAGTATTTGATCATTTATTCGTCTTGACTCTTTGCCTGTGAAAAGAGACCTAGAAAAAATAAAAAATACTTACGTGACAACATGGATGCTCTCCATAGAACCTGATCTATCACTGTAGATATACTCCTTCGAGTCTGGCGTGAAATCTGTCACCTTCACGCTCTTAACCCACATCGTATACGGACCCGAGCCAAAATCCGTGTCACCACCAGCCCACTCCCGCACACCCTGCGGCATATCCGGGTCACCACCGGCCCAAATTCCCAAACTGAGCCTCATGGGCGTCTGCGGATAGTTCCTCGTATTGTTTGCGTCCTTGGGCAAAAGCGTACGCACGAGGTTCCCATCAATGTACCAGTCGAGGCTGTCCCTAGTCCAGACAGTCGTGTAGTTGTGATAGTCGTCGTGCACGTTGAAGGGCACCTCATGGTATCCACCATTGGTGAAATCCTGCTCGCCCTTGCCGAAGTAGTTCGTCGCCGCGTACGTGTTATTCGTGCCGAAGAACTCCCAGTCCACCTCGTCGAGGTCGTCGCTAAGCCACATCATCGAGCTGATGATGCCCGTTCCGGGCGCCACCTTGAGCATCATCTCCGTGCGGCCGAAGAAGAAGTAGAACTTGGTGCGGAGCGTGGGTGATTCGCCCTTTTTGCTGATGGTGAAGGCAGCGCCCTGATTCTGGTCGTACGTTACTTTGCCCGCCATGGTTTCCCAGGTTCCAGCGGGTGGCGTCGTGTTGAAGTTGAAAAAGTATTCTGTTCCGAAGGCCGGGTCGGCGGGGCAGTCCTTTTGTCTCGGGTCACAGTCGGTGTGAACCTGGGCTGTCACGGAAGTGATGGCACTCAGGGCCACGAGGGCCGAGAGCCATGTCTTGCGGATCGAGGGCATCATGTTGTCAGGGTGAGATTGGAGATTAAGATGTGATAAGTTCGTTGTGTAAGTAGCGAGGGGATACGGGGTATCGTTTTTGCGTAAGATAGTAATGAGAGGAATCTCCTTCGTTATCGTCAAGGACTCTGACCTGGCAGAGGGGGATATTCAAGAAAGTGGTATGATGAAGAAAAACCGCGCAAGCGCGAAAAAAAAGAAGTGAAACGAAGTATTGGTTTCTGGAATCAGAGATGGTTCTTCTTTGATTGCCAGGTAGATTGAGGATTGGGACAGAAGCGTCGATCGTAGACTCGAAGGCCTCACGTCTCTAACGATGTTAAAAAGGAGTGACTTTGTTGTTGGTCGCTGATAAGCAGTTGTGAAAATGAGTGACTGTTTCCGGGCCTTCTTCTATACAATCATAGTGAGAAGACGAGGAAGAGTAGCAAACAAGCACGAAGGGAATGGACGTCGTCCGGCTTCTGCGAACCCGTTCTTCGGAGATAGGATTATCTACAAAGAAAGGGACGGGGGGTTGCAAAAGACGAGGAACGAGCGAGGAAAACCTAATTCCTTGAAGGTCTGAGTTGGGAAAGGGAAAGGACGGGCGGAAGGGGAAATTTTGTTGGGTCACATTTCATCACCAATGATCATGCAAGAGGGGGCGAGGGGGTCAGGAACCAGGCAAGAACGGCTCTTGAAAGTCACTCTACCCTCTTTTGGGTGCCTCTCCAGGTCTTGTCATGCTCGCATTGGCTCGGACTCATTTCGAAAGGGGCTGCGCACCGCAATGCTCGCCCCAAGACGGCTGTCAGCCCAGCAGAGAAACCTGCGCGGACTTCGTACAGGTGATCGAAGCACGTACCCTGCAGCGAACCCCCTTGCCAAGGTGGACGTGTGGTTTCATCAGGTCGCTGGGGACCACTTAACGTCGTTGCCGAGTTTCACTCTTCCGGGTTTAGCTCAACGCCACAACGGTTGGCGCAGCCAATGGGACGAATGGGGAAAGACGCAGGTACCGTCTAGCGATCATAGATCACCAGCTAATTTACCAAGATTGGCTGATCTTGGTAATCACCGCGCAGGCGTGCCGAAAAGCTATAGCCCTAACAAGAGTTCATGCATATCCCTATGAGAACTTGTTAGTCTGCTATCGGGATCGACACAGAACGAACCTCTTTTCTTTTTCTCGCTTCGTTGTCTCTGGTACGAAGTACTTCATTGTATGCCGACTGAGTGGGCGCGGAATCCAGGGGTTTTGAAGGCTGGAAATCCACTTCCTTCCCGAAATCTTCCAGAGGATATTATGGATTCAGACATCTCGAAGGATTTCGTACGAAGTAAGATGAGTTCTGGGCTTGACATTATCTTCTGAACATCAATGCTCCTCCGCCGCTCCATGATTTAAGCTTACCCGACCTACCCCACTGATCTCTTGCTTGCTGAAGTTTAAACGGGAGGACGCGTAGCCGTGTCGTTAGCCTTCCCCTCCCTCGTCTCGTCGGCGACACCCATTTCGAGACAAGAGCTCTCGGTGTCACGAATTCCAGATGAAAGTCAGACAAAGGCGCGGCGAGTCCCTGCTCCCGTTCTTCATCGATTTTCTTTCTTTCTTTCTTCATCGCCATTGGTGTCGCCGATGCCAGTACAGTTTCGTTCATGTCTTTCGCCATTGTCGCAGTATTGTAAACCGGGGAGCATTGTCGGAAATTCCACCTTCACAAGGTGGACTTGGGGCCTTGTGCAATGATGACGACGCTCCCTCTCTTAGCGAGACAATGACCGATCATCATCCCAGGCGGTACGTCTTAAATCCGAAAGATGGGCCAGCTGCATTCCCATTAGTGTAAACTTTACCATCAATCTCGAGTTGCCCAAGTATCCCCAGCAGCAGAAACCGCTCCCAGTGCCAGCCCAGCCAAGCCCAAGACTCACGCCACAAAACCCCAAAGGGCCAGTCTACCTTCACATCGGCCCAACCCCGACCGCTAAAGCTCACTAAAAGATGTCCCTGAAAAGCGTCACGTAAAGTATCCAAAAGGGAAGAAGCATCGAAACATGTTTAATTCGGCTCCGTGTATAATGCACCACGCCTCCATGCTATCCTCCTCCACTATCAACCCTGCTCCCTCTCCAATATTAAAGAGAGGGAGCGAAGCTGGAGGAAACCTCAAAATTCTTCTTTTTCCTCCACTCCAGTCCTATTCTTTTTTTGGGGGGCTCCGTAATATTAAAAAGTCAATAACTAGGGGGTAGTCGTCCCGTACGAATAATAAAAAGGGCTCCAATCTCGAAATGTCGAAACCTTAGAAGGTGGTAGGGAAAGAAAGAATGCAGACGATATGTACATCAAGTGAACAGAAGACAGATTAGAAAAGGCCAAGGAACGAAACAGCATTCCCTCAGACTCCCAAGGGCTCACTTCATCGAGACGGTAAAGAGGGTAGACCGTATCTTTTCCAGTCGTCCGAAGTCATAGACGCCTGTGAGGGCAATGGCATTGTAAAGGGCAGGAACGTTACAGGGCATGATTGCGTCAGGTACATGTATAGTATGAACAAGCGGTCGCGAGGGAAAGCGGGTCGACGACGCGAGCAAAGACGGAAAGAAAAGAGATGAGGAAAAAGGAGGGAACAGAACGAGGAAAAGGGACGGGCATGAACCAGAAAAGTCGTAAGCAACGCCTTCCTAAATTCCAACTTGTAGCATATGGCTGGCTTGACGGGGAATATCCCGCCTTCAAAAGTCTATCGACTTCACACCTCGATGAGGGCTTCGTCTCCGATAAGAAAATGGATTGGAGTAATGCCGGGAGCGTCATCCGCCTGGTCTGCGGGTAAATGAGGCCGGCTTCGCACTCTCCACGAGAGAGGGGAAAGTAAATCACATTAGGACACATTTAGAATCCTCGCGCTCCTTCCTCACAGTAAGGGCGACTCGCGCGGCTTCGGTGAAGGCTTCGTTTACTCCTCGATTGCGCATGGCGGAACACTCGAGGTATCGGAGGGCGTTGATGCGGCGGGCGACCTCGAGGCCTTGTTCGTAGTTGATCATGGGCTTCTTCTCGCCTTGGGCGGCGTCGGCGCTGGCGCCTTGTTCTTCCTCGTCGGATTCGCGGAGATCGCATTTGAGCGCAACAAGAACAAGCTTAGTGTTGGGGCAGTGCTCGGCAATCTCGCCTACCCACTTGCTTTCTACGTTTTCGAGGGAATCTTTGCTGTCGACGCTGTAACAGAGCATGATAAGATCGGTGTCATCTAGCCAGGGCGAAGAGTTAGATCAAGTCTCGGCGCGACAGACAGAAGATTGGGATCTAAGGGCGCATACCATACGACAGACTTCGGAGCCGGTCAAACTCCTCTTGACCGGCAGTATCCCAGAGAGAAAGCTCGATGTGTACGTTGTCGACGAAAATGTCTAGACGGAGTGTCAGCCTCGGGTATCCATAGAAACAATTCGGGGGAAACAACGCTTCAGCAAGGTAGAGAACCTAAGCTAGTGGGATAGGCCCTATTGGGCTCCCGGCGCAAAGCATGTTGGGACAACAATATCACATACCGTGGACGTAATTCTCGAAGACTGTGGGCTCGTAGACCGTGGGGAAGTAGCTGCGATTGGACGTGAGTTGGGAGCCGGCCGCCAGATTGAGCACATCGTCAACTCACCCTCTCGTAAAGACGTTCAAAAGTGAAGTCTTTCCGCAAGCACCATCGCCACTGCATGGGAAAGGATATCAGCTACCGACGTCAAAGGCAATAAAAAGGAAGAAGACAAAAATCACACGGGTAGCGGAGGAGCGCAGAAGCATGTGAAGGATCGCTTGATCTGTGGGGTCGGGATCCGCGCTTGGCAGCGGACAGGGGAAGAACCCACAGGAGTACCAGCTTTCGCTGGACCGTCTTGCTTCCGCCACAGAGCGAAGGCATTATTATATCCGGAAGTCTGACAAACGACGGTGGAGATGAAGAGAGGTTGAAAAGTAGCGATAGCAGGCCGTCAAGTTTGCGTGGCTGGGTATCGGGGATCAAATTCCAAGGGAGGGAAAGAAATTAAAATCGGGACGTCGAACGGAGGATAGTCGTTGGACGAGGGCTTTCTGCGCAACGTGCCCTTGGACTAGTTGGGCGGCGACGAATGTGAATCGATTGCAAGGTATGATTGGGAATCGAATGCGAGAAGCGCGAGAGGCTTGGTGGACGGAGCAGACTTGGGTTCGTTCGGGGATCGTGACGGGTGTCGGAGATAGGGGAGGAACTGAGTGAGACCTCTCGTTATTTGGTGTCGAGATTTCGGAGCGACGGGAAACTCTCCAACGAAGGATGCCCACGGCGCGGAAGCAGGGAAGAGAAAAGGGTATCACTTTGGATCAAAGAGAAACAAGACCGAATGGAAAACTCCGACAAAAGTAAACAGTGACAAAGAAGGGCTGTGAATGGCTTCGTGTTCAAGAAGATGGGACCCGAGGGGGAAGAGAAGACACAGAACGAAATCGGATTGAAAGGAATGGATGGCTTGGAGTTGAGGGTCCTGAGTTGTTAGCCTGTCAGTTGTCAGTTGAAGCGTTTTGAAGCGAGGCAAGTCGAAGTATTGCAAGGTTCGAGGGTAAAGGAAATGAGCGGAAATGAAGTCACTGCCCCGCAAGACTGCAGCGGGAAGGTACAGGCGAGGATGGGATGGGGGAATGGCGGGTACGAGGCAAGTACGATGGATGGAGCACTAATAATCCCTAATTCTGGTCAAATGAGGAGAGCGCAGCCCCCAACGCAAGAAGGCAAGGGCGACGTTGACCGTTGATTAGAGGGTTTCCCCAGGCGCAATTTGGCGTCTCCTGGGTAGTGTACTTCATACTTGATCGTCAGCAAGAATCCCGCCCATACAATTGTACGAAGTACTTGACAGCAAGTAGTATTTCGTAATAGTGCTTTGCGCTTTTAAGTTGCTTGGGAAAGTGCAGTGTAATACATCCCAAGCCTCGACTAATTCGGTTTACAAGCATCCGAACTAACAGGTCGCTGCCAAATCTCTGTAATAATTCCGCCTTGAAGGATTAGCCACCTACTTCGTACTTCGCACACTACGAAGTACTCCGTCGGTCGTCGTCTCCAACCTAGCGTAATACAAGACCACAAATGGATCAATCGTTGGCTCGATGGCGTCGCCTTGTTGGCAGTGACACATGCTCCAAACTAATTTACGAAGGAGGGTAGCCTGGTCTTTAATATCAACCCTTGAGGTTCCTCAGCACGGACTGCGTACCTGCGTGGGCTCTCGGACAGCATGTATGAAATACTACGTCGTACTCCGCCAGCACTGCAGCAATGAATGTCAGCAAAATGTTATGTTCGACGTGAAGCTGTTGGGTCTTCATTCTAAGAGAGACATCAATCTACGTCGTATGAGGTTGTCAGTCTGAAGCATATGGGAAAATGCGACAAATTCTCCGCTATCGAATAGATGGATTCATGCACCACCGCTTGCAAGTACTTCGTACTACGAAGGGTATCAAACTGTGCCTCCAGCACCCATATCAATTATTGTTTCCTAAGTATGACTGCTGGTATCCACAACGGCTCCAAAGCCAGGCATTGATATACCCTGCTAGATACAAGACCAATTAACATCAATTGATACTTCATCAAGCGTGACGCTCTGGCATCACTGATTCGAGGGCAGATCTTAACTCTTCACCTCAGCAGGACGAGAAATACTATATTCCGATCCTTGGACACTCATCGATAAAATTGATTCTCCACCAAGGCCTCAAACTAACCAGTCTTAGACTGGACTCCGAAAAGGAATGGCAGCGCCATGGAAAAGCGTGGCCAAATATCGCAAGGCGCAGGCTCCTTTAACTTGCATATGGCCTTGTTCAGAATTGAATAAGCAGCCGCCACTTGACGAGGAAGAAAACAGTTTATGAGCGCAGGACCATAATGCGACTTCCACCGTCCACCCCAGTGACGGTTAAACCCCATGTCTGATGCTCAGTCTGGGCTTTACTTCGTAGTATGAGCTGATGACCCATAAGATCTTGGAATAAGGCCTGGGCATCTCTCATCCCACGCCTTCCCCATCCACATATTTAGTAATTAGGTGACATCTGTCGATACCTCAGCCTCCAATAGCCAAGTAAGAGAGATGGACTTGATGAATTGGCGGAGGAGCACCGAAGTGTCAGGCTCTCGCGTCCGGACCAACCTAATGAATGAATGCATAGTAATGTTAAAAGGAACGGCTGCGCTTCCCGGTCTGCAACTTCCACAAGGTTCATCACGGCGCTGAAGCTATAGAAGCACTCACCTTGGCCGTGTCGGCGGGAGTGAGCCGCGCCCGGATTCGGAAATCAAAGTGAAACCCGCCCTGCCGACAGTAGATAATATGGCATGAATACGCAATCGCCATGCACCGTCCTCGTGATTGCAACTCCTTTCATCTAAATACGAGCATCCTCAAACTCGAATGTGGGCAGGTCGCGACCATCCGTAAGAACAAATTCAAAGAGACGAAGGGGGCATATCATGTTAGACTTCGTTCAGCTCGGTTCTACTTGCAGTGACATCGGCCTCCTGGTAAGACCGGGTCAATCCAACCACTCCTTTCTTTGTGCATCACCTCATGTCGCCTGCACTTGTGTGACCGTCCCCAAGAAATCTGCATCTGATGGACTAGGCGAGCAGCGCGAGGTCAGCCGACCAATCCAGACTGGGTGAACATTCCTTTTGGCGAGTAAGTTTCTGGTTGTTTCAAGATTTCGCCCTACTTCGTGCATCTTCTGCTATTACGAGTCGATCCTTGCACAGCCTCCATGGTGTCCGGCTCCTCAAGCGGGATGTGGTCACAAAGGTTGATGGAAATAGCTACCAGGGAGAAATAACATGAAATGAGAATAGAAAGGGCGAAAGCAAAGAGTCGAGCCCCAATGTATGATTGTCATTATTTGTGATATAAGTCGTAAAAATAGAAACAGACCATACTCCAGCCTCCAAAAGCCCTCTAGTCCTCATCAGCTTGAAGCCCCCGCCGGCCACGACCCATACTCTCGGCAAGGCCCAAACTATTAGCCTGTTGCCGAATGCCATTGATGAATCGCTTGTCCCCTCCATACTTGGCTGCCGCCTCCCGAGCCTTGTCATCCTCATCCCTCGCCCGGCGCTCCTGATCCTCGACGGCCGCAAGACGTCGTTCGCGGTCAAGGTCAAGCTCCGAAGCGGCTTGCTGCATCTCGGCAAGCTTCTTTGCGCGGTCTTGATCGGATGGGCGTGGGTCTTCCCGGGGACCAGGTCTCCTGTCGTAATCTCTGCCTCCGCGGGGATGGCGGGGTCCATCCCGGTCGTTGCGCCTCCAGTCGCCATTCCTTCGGTCGCCGTTCTCTCTTCCGTTGCGGCGACCGTCTGCGGAATCGTCACGCCTCCTCCGGTCATCGCCTCTCCTATCATCACCCCTTTCTTTCTCTGGCCGACGTCTGTCCAGAGACTCATCACGTCTCCGGGAACTCCTTCGATCATCATCTGGGCGGGTAGGCGAGACCTGCCTGTCGCGGTGACTCCGGTGAGATTTGCCATCCCTCTCCCGGTAGCTCCTATCATCCTTGGATCTCAGGGTTGGTGACCTCGACCGGGAAGCCGAAGGGGATTTGTGCCTCCTCCTTTCCCTCTCATCATCGGGGGAGCGGCGCCTCCTCCTCTCGGGGGAATCGCGTCTTCTCTTGCTCCTCCGGCTGTCTTCATCATCACCCTCCGTCCTCCGCCGGCGTGGCGGGCTTCTCGACCTAGACTCTGAGCGAGACCGTTTCCGTCTCCGATCTCTCTCATCATCAGAGTAGTCACGCCGATGCCTTTCGCTCCTATGTCTATCATGCCGATCCTCCCTCCTCGACTTCCTCTTGTCCTTCTCCTTCTCTTTCTCTGTTATCCCCATCGACGCAAGCAACTGCCTCCTCTTAATCGGATCATTCATCATAGCCTCATAAGCCGCCTGCTCCTGCTTCTTGATCTGCATCAACGGATCCGCGCTAATCTTCGCGGCCATATCCTTGGCCGAATTCGCGCTCTGCATCACCATGAAACTCTCCTGTCCCGCGTTCTTCTCGAGCTTCTGATGATCCGTCCCCTTGATGAGGTTGTCGATGCGGCGCTTGCCGAGGAGGTACGCCTCGCGCTCTTCGGTGGTGCCCATCTGCCCGTCCGTGGGGCCCTGGTACATCCAGTCGACGCGATCGACTCGTTTCTGGCCGCCGGCGGCTTCGAGCTGCCGCTGCACCTCCTCCTTTGCGCGCTCTTCTTTGAGTTCATTGATGCGTTGTTGGGTCCGCTTGCGTTCTTCGAGGGCTTTTTGCTCTTCTTCGTAGACTCGTTTCTGTAAAGAGATGGTTAGCATTCAAGTCTTGCGAAATAGGCAGCAAGAGGGGAGTGTGTCCATGGATACGATACATACCTGATTGCGAAGCAAGCCGGGATGAAACGACTTCTTTAAATTGAGATCTCCACCCATGTTTGCGGTTTCTGGGTCTCGTTACTAAAGGGTACGATGCGCTCGACCGCGAGATAAGTTGATCTGGGGGTAAAGTCTCCAAGAGGTTGGAGGGGATGTTCTCTGTTGATGGAGTTGGAATGTGAGAACATCTGGTTGCGACAGGCTGCAGAGGTTGGTGTAACAATATTTTGCCACAGAAATATCGGCTTATGTAATACTCAATATCAATTTTATTGGTCGGAGAGCTGCCCTCTCTTATCGATAAGTTGCCCGCACGCTAGCACTAGTTCAGAAGGCACCACCAACTACCCCCACTGCCCACCATTGTTGCCAGGCACTTTGGAGGGGCGCCAAACGTCCATCCATCACCCCGAGCTGCAGCAGGCAACTCCCACAACACGACCCCGACCAACGCTCCGCTCTCCAGAGCTCTCTCTTGACTCGCGACACATCATCACCCACACAATCTCGGCTCTTGAGAAGCCGAAACTCTGCTGCTTCTTGTATCTAGTCATCCTACTTTCTTCTATTCGCGAGCTACCATGTCTGATGACGATTTCATGCAAGAGTCCGATGAGGAGTTCGTCCATTCTCTCACCCGCCAGCTTTCCGCTCCCCCATGCTCGTTCTTAACTGACACGCCTTAGCTACGACTTCGAGTACGAGGATGATGAGGATGAAGATTCCGGCGATGTCGACATCGAGAACAAGTACTACAACGCCAAGCAGATCAAGCAGAGCGATCCCGACGATGCCATTTCCGAATTCCTAGCCATTCCGGGTCTAGAGGAAACGAAGGGTGAATGGGGATTCAAAGGGCTCAAACAGGCGATCAAGTTGGAGTTTTTACATGCGAAATACGACAAGGTATGCTGGGGTTTGTGGAGTTCCTTTCATGGGCTAAGGGGTGCTAGCGGCTCGATGATCTCTTGCTGACGAACATTTTGGATAGGTTGTCGAGCATTATGCGGAGCTTTTAACCTACGTCAAGTCGGCAGTTACGAGGAACTATTCGGAGAAGTCCATAAACAACATGCTTGACTTCATCGAGAAGGGCTCGCAAGACGACGAGTCTGCCAAGTGCGTCGAACAGGTGTACTCGCTCACACTCGAAAGCTTCCAGAACTCCAACAACGAACGTTTATGGCTCAAGACAAACATCAAGCTTGCGAAGCTGCTTCTTGACCGGAAAGACTACGCCGCCGTTGCCAAAAAGGTCAAGGAACTGCACAAAGCATGCCAGCGCGAGGACGGATCCGACGACCCCAGCAAGGGCACGTACTCGCTCGAAATCTACGCGTTGGAGATTCAGATGCACGCGGCTACCAAGAACAACAAGCAACTCAAGCGGCTTTACGAGAGAGCGCTTAAGGTGCGCTCGGCCGTGCCGCATCCCAAGATCATGGGTATCATCCGGGAGTGCGGAGGAAAGATGCACATGAGCGAGGAGAACTGGGACGAGGCGCAAAAGGACTTTTTCGAATCTTTCCGCAATTATGACGAGGCTGGTTCGCTGCAGAGGATCCAAGTCCTCAAATATCTACTCCTAACGACCATGCTGATGAAGTCCAACATCAATCCTTTCGACTCTCAGGAGACCAAGCCGTACAAGTCTGATCCTCGCGTTGCGGCGATGACCAAGCTCGTTGAGGCTTACCAGCAAGACGACATCCACCGCTACCAAGCCGTCCTCCGCGAGAGCCAGGACCTCCTCTCCGACCCCTTTATCGCCGAGAACATCGACGAGGTCACGCGTAACATGCGGACAAAGGGTCTCATGAAGATTATCACCCCCTTCGACCGCGTCACTCTACAATGGCTCGCCAACCGCCTCAAGATTTCCGAGGAAGACGTCGAGGATATCCTCGGATTCCTCATCGCGGACGGCAAGCTCGACGCCAGGATCGACCAGCAGCAGCGCACGGTCAAGTTCCTGTCACGTCCGGACGCTTCGCGGCTCAAGTCTCTGCAGGAGATGGCTAATGCCGTGACTCAGCTGTCGAACGCGGTTCACAAGGATAATAGCAGTAGCCAACGCTACGATTTGAGGGAGAACAAGAATTCTACACCGAACACGAAGAGGAGTTACCGATCCGACCGGGAAAGCGTCGTCCCTTCGCAGCCAAAGTTCCTGGGATGAGGGACAGAACTCTCTCCAGTGCTTCGACCTTGCGTCGGCATTGGTGTGATGCCGGTGCGCCGATACAGTGTAGCGGGGATTCCATGAGAGACCTATTCGGCCACGATCGTCTATCATGACACAGAAGCGGGAGCAGAAGATTCGGGGGCTTCTGCAATGCCCTGTGTACAAGTAGTCTCGAGACTATCCTCGAACGAAGGATCAGAAAGCTCGCCAACCCTCCAGATGGGCGGTCAGGGTTGGTCTGGGAACCAAAAATAAAACCGTGTCCTCGTGCGAGAGGGGACGAATGACTTATGATAGTTCACAGGAAATGAATATGAAAGTTTTATCTTCTGACCTGATTTGTGCCACGTCGCGATGTTTACGTCCCTGGATACATTTCACCTAACCTCGTGTCCACCGTCGCTGAAGCCGCCGTAAGTTGATAGCGTCAAGCAGTATTCCCGTCAGGACCGCCGCTCTTCGATGCCTGCATGATGTTGTCATAGATAAGCCAAACCCCGGACGAGGGACTTTTCTAAGGAAGATGCAAGGCAGCCCAGACCAACTTCACCTTCTCCACAAGATGACGCGGATTCGCATTGATCATGTCTTGCCTCGGATCCTCGGGCTTTCTTGTCTATCACATGCCTACCTACGACTTTGAAAGAGAATTACCCAGAAATGAATACCTGCGTCTTATCTTACGGCGGGATGCTGATTTCAGGTGGCCATCGGCGGCGGGAGGTGGATAGGAGAAAGCAAACGGGAGAGCGAGTTCCCGGCCGTCTGCTGGCAATCCTTTGATCGATTCGCAGTTCGGCGTGTTCATCCCTTTTTGGCCCCAAACGCGGCACCTTGCATCTCGATATCTGAGCGTTTAGCAGGATCGAGGGAATACACGATGCCTGAAGTCGAGGTGCTGGATCGGATATCGAGCGATTTGTGTCTCCGTCATAGTTTTGTGCTTCGGCGACATTTCACGCTCATCATTTTCTCGTATAAAGACGCAGATAGACGCAGGCTGCCTTTCAAAGAGGTATACCGAGTCGAGAAGGATATTGATGGCGCAAACAGGAGCTAAACGAGGAAAGGCAAAGAGAGGGGGGATAAACAAAGCAAAAAAAAGCTCGCTCGCGACGCGCTCTCAGGATCGAACTCCTGATTGCTTGCCACGAGCTACGAAAATTGCAATTTTCTAACCTTCTGAGCGCTCCGATGACCCCTTGGCCACTGGTCGCAGCCGCTACTGCTTGAGCTACTCGGTTGGACATTCTTCCCATGCCCTCGTATATGAAGCTATTACACTCGAGTGTTCGTGAATGACGTGGAAGGAGGAAAGCGTTCCTTCCACAAGATATTTCTCGTGGCCTTTATCGATTGCGCAGGCTCAGTCTTGTCCCGTCTTGTCCGGCGGCGGTTTGTTCTATGTGAGGACTGACAGGTCACATCGATGCTTTGCAGGAAAGCTTTTGACGTACATGAGTGCGTGTGTCTCAACAAATAGGGAGTCTTTCAATGTTTCCTAATGTCATTCCACGTTGTTCTATGGGATCCGTTTTGCATCGCCTTTTGCTTTTCTTCCCCGCACCCTACGAGCTATGAGTGGTGGACTCTGCGTGTGTCCAGGGTCTTGAGATTTCTGTTCTTTTCCACGTCCTTTGAATCTAGCTATTCAGTCTCAATCTGTAGACGAAGGAGGTCTGCTCCAAGTGAGCTGAAAGGCCGAATGAAGGCAGCGGACAATCCAAATGGTTGTGTCGCATATTATGCCTCTTCTGACCTAGCCGGACCGATACGAACAATGGTGAGCGGTGTTACACGACACAGCAGCGCCCAGCTCGATCCAGAAACACAAATCGAAAGAAAAGAAGGAGGCTGCTTCGAGCTCTCCACTCACACACACATCCACACACACCTTTTGGCTTGGTGGCTTGCCTCTTCCCCGCTCTCCCCGTCCCCTCTTTCCCCGACTTTTTTCTTGTTGTTTAATTTGGGGGCATGATGATGGATGGGAGGGTAGAATGTCTTTCTTGCATTCCGTCTTCTTCCTCTGCTACCCTGCAGTTTGCTCGTCGCAGAGAATGGAGAGGAGAGAAAAGGTATTCATCCGTGGATGAAACGATCCGGCGGCGGGGAGCAGGAGGATGCATGACGCCGTCAAACTCTCGCCCAGACAAGGAAAGCCGAAGCGATGGGGAAAGAAGGGTAAAAAGACGAACCCGACTGTTTCTCATTCGAGAGATGGAGCCCTTGGAAGTGACCAAGAAAGCGTTGGCAACCTCAAATATTACTTCCAGCTACCACCAATGTCGTAGGTTTCAATCTACCACCCTTCATTGACCAATATCAATTGATGTACAGAGATCCCGCGTCGCAAGTGGGGGCCAGCGCGGGGAAGCACGAAGGGGGCCGGCATGAAGGGGACGGGAGAGGAGGGAAATTGAAGGAAAAGCAACGAGGTCTTGGATTGTCTCTCTTCCTGTTGGTCGGCTTCCAAGGATGTGTTCCACAAGCCCTCCTTCTGGGGGATCTATGGCAGGAGCGCATCGCCGACGAGAAAAAAGCACCAACAAGGGGAAAGCAACAGGGGCAGAAATGGCCCTGTAAAGTCCTGGCGATGGAGAGGACCGACGGACTGTGCCGCGAGCCCCTTCCCGGTTCCTTGGCCTGGCCTGGCCTGGCCTGACCTGATCCCGCTTAGTTTGCCTCTTCCCCTTGGAACCAGAGCAGAGCATGCTTCAATCAAGGGCCAAACCAAGCTGTTTCTTTCATCCATGTTTGTTGAGGGCGGGGAGGAGAAGAGAAAAATAATAAAAGTAATGGAAAGATAGGCCGAAGGCATGCAGGCCGGGGAACATGGGTATGCAGCTACCCGTCGCCACAACCCAGCCCAGGCGGGGGAAGGGACAGGGCGAAAAAAGAAAGAAAAAATGAGAGAGAAAATTCAATCCCTCTTTTGGCGTTCCAACCTTGCGTTCGTGTGTTTGGTTTACGACAGAAGAACCCTCATATAATACCCAATATTAGAGCGTCTTACGTCTGGTCCGGGACGGGATGGTTCCCCACTTCCTGCTATAATTGAAGTGTTTGTCCCATCCATCGATTGCGTTTTATTAGTTTACCAGTTCTTGACGGGACGGGCACGGGATGGCTGGCGATCCTGGACCATGGGAACGCTAAGGGTTCTACTGACCCGTGGTCTTGGAGACCAAACGAGAGCCGAGATCGACGGGATCCTAGCCTTTTGGCGTTGGCCCCTCCCCCTGTTGAGCCCAACTCATTAAAATCACAGGAGTTAGAAGAGCCAGCCTGGCCGTGGGTGGAAGAACGCAGTATGCTGGGCGAGAGTCCGGGTTGTGTAGGAGAACCCTGAAACTTAAGGCCCGCCTTCTGCCCCCCCCCCCCCCCCCCCCCCCGGGAGATTACAATTGCGGCTGCAACATCCAGATTTGGGATAACTGGATGCCGGGACACCGAGATGCCCATGTATTATCAGGTGAGATAGACCTTGACGACTTTCAAGGATGAGCTCGGCTTATTGGGCATCGCTCCTCTCACTGCGGGAAGAGACTCTCTCTTAGTTTTAATGAGTTTAAAACAGGCGGGGAATGTTGCAATCAAGGAGACAGGACGCGTCAATGTGCCCTCTATTTCGCATCAAACGGTTTTCTCCAATTCCTCCGTCCATCCCGAGGCCAAGCAAGCAAGCAAGCAGAAGCATAACAGGGTAGTAGTGCCAAATGGGACCGGAGCAGGGGCAGCCAAGGAAAATTTCTTGCATAAGGATCAAGTGTGGATGGATGGGCAGCATCCAGTCTGTGATGTACATGGCATCAACGGATGTGTTCGGGATGGGATAAACACACTACACAGCGCACGAACTTCGCAACGTTCACCCCATTCCGCTCACAAACACCATCCAAACCCCACCTGATCATATCAACGACTAGCGAGTTCAAGGCATGGACCACTTCGGTCTCGAGAACTGCTCCTTGGAAATTGGTTCGCAGCTCGCCCGCCCGGCCCTTTATGCCTCGAGAACCGGGCATGAAAGGGCGAGGATGATGGGCACGAGCACGGACACTTGCACGCCAGGACGAGCACAGGCACAATGCGATCCTTTCTTCGTTTGAAGTATTAATAAGTATCTGGCATCTCCGATGGCTCAAGACCTTGAGTATCATCCGTCGTAGGAACCCCGAGCTTGTACTACGAGGCAGGAACAAATCAGTGATATTGCATCCGTGCGCGACGTCGTTAATCTCGGCGTTGGTGAAGATGAACAGCAAGCGTGATATAAAAAGTGGAACTTTGTCGATATGTCTCCGGTTCAGAAAGACGGCGAAGACGTCATCTCAAGCGTCGCCTGGCTATGTAGATATCTTACGTTACATACGACGTACTTTAAAGGCTGCCTCGGGTAGAGCTGCATGGCGTATCGGTATCAATATCAATATCTCCAAGTCATGCCATGAAACCCCGCCAGATAAACCGAGGTCCGGTCCTGATGCTCGTATGCTCCCGCAAGAAGTGACTTGCCGGGCCTTTTTTTTTTTTTTTTTTTGGTTGGGGGGGGTTAGATGAAAATATCCTCGTCCTTTCGAGCTTGACTTGAATCTCTCTGGTTTAGTCAACTTCGTACGGCACTTGCACTTACTCCCAGACCGACACCGACAAAGGCGGTCCGGCTATCGCCAAGATAGGTCCGTTGAGGAAGGCCCTCCTTCGCAATTAAGTCAGCAGATGCAATGCAGCCGGGGATGCTAATATTAGGAGACCATATTCTGCGAGTGTGAGCTGTCCAGTCCCAGCGGGACTTCTGTCGACGCTTCAGGGCTATGTCTGTACCCATGCCCATGCATCACCACATGGATCGAATGTCTTAGGGGACAGATGTGAGGAAAATACTACTATGGACAAAGTAAGATGTATTACTTGTCGGCGGGCAGATATGGAGGAGGGCCTGAACTCTCTCATGTTTGCAACCCTGCTTTGCATCTCTACGAGTTGGTTCC